GACACGTCTTGATCAACATCAGGCTTTGTTTTTATCACCATCCGAGGAGCAATCTCCTGGACAAGCAAAAGACAAAGCATGGTAGCTTTATCCTCCATGGAGTCAGAGTACATTGGATTGAGCAATGCTGGACAACACCTTGCATGGCTTCGGACATTTTTTGAAGAAATTGGACATGCTCAAAATGGACCTACAACATTGCACTGTGACAATTAAGCAGCTATTATTCTTACATGAGATCCACAGTTCCGTGCTCGCACAAAACACATTCAACGGAAATATCATTTTATCCGAGATGACTTAGTATCAAAGGGAGAGGCAGTAATCAGATACGTTCCTACAGGAGATATGGTTGCAGACATTCTCACTAAACCCCTCACTCATGAAAAACACTGGAAATTCTCTAAAGCTATGGGACTACGGTTGCACTCGAGTGGGAGTGACAAAACCAGATAAACCCGGTCTCTGCCAAAGCAGCCATTGTTCTCCATGGAGCATAGCCACCACTCCATGGAGTAACCATTGTTGTCCTAGGAGCACAATTGTACTCCTAGGAGTCATTATACTGTAGCAAGTAGCACCTCCGACTATAAGTAGTAGGGGGTTTAGTATAGGAATACCTCAGTTGTTTCTATAGCCTCTTGGGCAGCGGCTGAGGTATGTTACATTACATTTATTAGAGATCACCTTAAACTAACATCTATTGTAGTTTCACTTAGTTTTATTAAAGCCCATAAACAAATTCCGTGGAATCTGGGAGGATTGTGTGTTAGTTTGTTTTTGTGTGTAGTTTTTCTAACAACAGTTCTCATCATCGACAACGGCAATTGACCATCCATTCACAACTTCTAGCTTGCAAGACTCTGATGTGCAATCACAAAGGCTCAGAGAAGTACTGGGTTACTCTAGGTGGATTTTTGCCAGGGGTGCAATCAAAATGGTAAGCACACCTCTGTTTAGTTCATGTCTGGCTGTGGCAATTAACTATCCACACATAGAATATACTCATCATGGCAGGCCTTGGCTTACATGTGGTAAGGATACACCATCTTTTCTAATAGCCATTTGATGTCTCTCAATTCCAGAAGTGTATGAAGTTCAGTATCTGGAGTACATCATCAAGACCTTGGGTTCCACAATACATGCTACACCTCGCAAGCAGCTTGTGGAGTTATTCAATCATTTTCTTTCATTTATCGGACTACATTGCCTTTTATCCAGTGGTTATCATGTACCAGTGTTGCATCTTCTCACACTATATCTTCTCATTCTTATCTCATCTTATCTCTCAACCATTGTACTACAGCATTGCCCTCCCGGCACCCCTGGCACTGACAATGACATTGAAGTGGGCATGTGAGCTTGAATCAAAGTGACATGAATTGCATTGACAAGATTCAGTCATCTGCTAAGGCACTAATGTCACATGATCACCTGTGACTTTCTTGTATATATCTAATGACACGCACAAAACCTTATTTTTGTCTTAAAAAATTGCACAGAAAGTTTTGCAGCTTGATTCTGCCCAACTCTGTCTGAGCCGATTGTCAGAAATATGCAATGTGCAGTTGCCATTAAGAAAATGGAGTCGGACACAGTGTTACAACAAGCATGGATTTGAGTGGGTCACAGGCTGTCACAGATCACCTGATGTTAGTGGTGTGTGCATGAGCCCTACCTCAAAGTACAAGTATTGGCGTACAAAGCATACAGTCATAAAGAAATGGAAGTCAGTGCGAATAACCGGTGCCATTTCCAGTGTCAAATTGTGAATGTGAGACCTGGTAACCTACAGTACCAAAAATTATCTTACTTTTCTATTCCTTTCTTGGACACACAGCCATAGTCTATACCAGGTGATCACAGTTCTTCTAAGGATACTCCTTATAGTCACATTATGGTCATATGCCCCTGACCTGTTATTACTATCTTCCTAGGATATTCATGTTGAACAATACCTCATTGCCCTTGACACTGGAAGTCTTTACACTGTTTGCTCTTACATACAAACCCAGCTTGGAGAGGAGCCTAAATTCACTACCTATTTATAATTAGTATATAAACCCCTGTACAACAGTAGGATAGGACAAGTTGAATATACTCTATATTTCCTTGCTACCATCAGCTGTAACAACCAAGAGTTAGTTACTCTGGCGCACACAGGAACACACTATAAAGGTAGTGAATGGGGAGTGGTTACCCCTTAGGCTGCAGAGAGTTTGTTGGTTAACAACAGGAGGACTCGCTGAGGAGTCTCCTGGATTTATTGAGGTATATATACTACTACAGGTTTTGTTTGTACATGTGTACTATACAGTTGATGAAGGCAGTGGCTGATGATGTCATAGGGCCTAGCCCGTATGGCCAGCTCCACTGCGTGAGAGAGTTTAAGTCTAAAAGTAAAAGAAAGGCAACGCGGCGCGAGAAAGGGAAATGCCGCGTGGCGCTTTAAAGTATAAAGTTAAAGCGGAGAAAAAAGGAAAGGAGATGTCCGGAAATTGTGTTATCATAACATCAGCCCTGTCATCTGAGCAACTATATCTTTGACCCTGACAGCAATCCTCAGCTGTAGGGAAGGATCTTCTATCCATAATCCCTGGGAACAATTGAAGACAGGAACCAATGGCAGCAATACCCTTGAGAGTCAAATTACAGTCATGTTGAAGTCTTGATCATAACAGGTACAGGACCATGTGAAGTGTCAGAGCACAAGGAACATAATTCCGGGAAGACCAAAGGTGTGGGAGTTTGGACTTGGGGGTTTCTGACTGTTTAGAGGTTCTGGTTTGTTTCCTGTCTGTATGAGCTCCAAGTCAGTAAGTTAGCCTTCAGGATTTGTTTCAAATCAAAAGACCCTGCAGATCTTCTCCCAACTCAGTTTACAATCAAAAAAAACACACTTCAAACAGTTTTTCTATTCTCTGAACACAGAATATCAAGCTAGTGTTCATTTGGTCACAGTCTGGCCTAACCCCATGGCTGCACATACAGTTTTCAGAATGTGTTCATTTCCCACAACTCAATTCTCTACCACAGAGAAATCCGTTCACTGTAGTGGATGACCCACGTCCCTCATACTTTTTGTGGGATAAAATAGATGTTTTCCAACTCCTTATGACCAGGTTTTTCTCCAGAATCAAACTGATCTAAGAAAAATGATCACTAGTTCTCGTGTAATAACATTCGGATGCAAACTCAATAGGGAAGTATCATTACCACAATAACACACATAGCGCAGATAGCTAGTCTGGAATTACGACTTCTTCTTTCCACTTCCACTGCCACGTTTCCATTGCTGCCAGCCTGACCTGTTGTTCTCCACTCTAGCGGGCTTAGTTGTAGAGGGGGACGCAGCTCTATGAGGATCAGATGAAAGCAAAGGATGCGCCGATGACAAACTGGGCGGGATAGGAGGTAAGCCCGGAAGTTGGCCCGACGAGGTAGGGAAAGTGGGTGGCTCGGGAGGGATCGTGGGGGCATTCCAGCCATGCGAAGTAAATGTAGCAGCCGGCGGCGGCGGAGGGGGATGAACAATGGCTTGGGGTGGCGGCGGTGGAGGAGGAGATGTAGAGCTGGGTGGAGGGGGTAGGGACGAGGAACTGGTATCGAGAGACGTCCACCCTGCGGTTCGGAATGAAGGAGCATTAAACGAGTCCCTTGGGTTTGGTGGGGGAGGAGGACCAGGCTGCGGGGGCGGTGAAGCAGGTGCAGGTATATTTACGGCAGACGCTGGCTCCATGGTTTTCCAGCCAGAGCGACTGGGGGTCTGGCTAGTACGAGTTGGTTCGACGACATTTGCTACTGTTGCCCAGCCTGATTTCTTGAATCCAGATGGTTTTGGAACATCCTCAACAGGGGCAGGATCAGTTGGTGGAGCCGGTGCGAACGGCGGTGGTACTGCCATCGCAGGTTTGGCCACCATCTTAATTCCAGCTGCTTTCGCGATCTTCCTGAGTTCCTTTTCTTCTCTCTTTCGTTCTTTTTCCTTCCTTTTCTCTACTTCCTCCTTTGGAACTATACGCTGGCTTGCTTGCATGTCCTTGAAACGTGCTTTATGGTGATGGGCATACGAGTTTGTGTGTTCATCATACTGAGCGACGTTGCGGAATTGTTTATCACAAAGAGTGCAGTAGAAAGCTTTTAGGGTGCTGCTTATCTCTGATTGAAGATTCGCGCGGCGAGTAACCGCGTCCTGTAAAATATGTTTAGCAACCACACCCAGAGTTTGGAGTAAGACGGCAAAGATAAGAACATACTTCTCGCAGCCTTCTTTGTTCCTCTGTTTCCTTCTGTTGTCGCTCGGAATCAAGTTCACGGCGTTGAGATACTGTCGTCTCTATCATTCTAACATCCTGATTAATCTTCCCTAAACCTGTCAAGTCTCGTTTGATTTGAAATGGGACCGGGTCGACACGACCTGCATAAGACAAACCCTGGATCTACATGGGGCACATCGTGAGTGAAAGGAACACCACTTACCATCGCCAGATAAACCAAGTGGCTGTCCTTCAGTCCACCCAAGTTTCGCCAACATGGCAAACCCCTTGTTTGTGTTCTTAATCTTGGTCTCAACCGTGATAACCTCCCGCGAATTCCCTCGAATGTACTCATCATACTTTGATAGATTCTCGTCGACGTTCATGGGCTCAGGTGGAGGAGATGGGGTCCTTGAGACAAGCGAGATGTCGTCGTCGTCGCTATCATCGGGATGCAGTTGCTGGAAGGAATGCAGGCAAAGCAAAAGGGCAGTAGTACGGAATGCATCTGCTACAGCGAGGTGCAAAAGAGTACCTTCATAGTAGAGTCCATTGGTTCGTTTGTTTCTGGACGTGATGCTGGGATGGCATTCCAGCGTGCTATAGTGCGTGCAGACATCGCATTGGTTGACTGTGAATCCGAAATGTTCGTTTCGCACTCTTTTCACGCCACATCACATGACCTTACTAATACAATTACTTCGAAGGTAGACAAGATTACCAGAATATGGGGCAAAGTACCTTACATCAAGTCGTTCTAGTACAACGTCCCGTACAGTGGACACTTTCCAAATGAATAGCTCGCACATGCCAGATGGCACGCTGCATCGGGATCGGGTGACAAGTGCTGAGTCCACCGTGACAAGTACAGCAGTCTTCACTACTGACCAAGTCCGATAGCCTGGAATAGGGGAACCGCAAAAAAATTTCGTAAATTCACGATGCAAAAACATGATTCTTGAACTTCGTTACGCTATTGGGACTTCGAAACCATCCGAAGAGATGAAAGGGATGGCGAGCACCACGAGGATTAATAAATGAGATACGAATGGCTGTAAATCCAGAATGTGCAGCTTTGTCGTGGGCCTCTTCGTTGAAGGAGATTACGCGGTTAACTTCTGAAGACAGTTCCATCTCGAAATCTGAAGTTGAAGTTGTGGTATCGGTCCTCAGGGCTGAAATAGCACCGTCGAAGCAGGTTGGAAAACAAAGGGTAATTCGGCATTAACAATGGCTCTCAGGAGTTTCTGCGAAGAACAAAATACGAGCATTCAAAAGCTGCCATTTAGAACTTCTGTACTGCAGTTAGGTCCAATACCGTGAGTGGAGCTTTTCAAGAAATGACGAATGAGTTTAGCCAGCTCATATATCAGACCTAAAAGGCCCATCACCAAAATCTATATTATTCAAAATCGCGATAAGATAACTCACCGCCACGTTGAAATTAAATCAGTACACCCAGAGTCGGGCTACAAGGACTACTCACAAAATACTACTTTCAAAAGCCAAAAGTTGAGATACGGCATCCAGGTAGTCCGGAGTCTCCTAGGGAGATATTAGATATCCTCTGTAGTAACGCGGTCCTATCGTTTCCGGGTTTCGTGGTGACAGAAATGAAGACCAATATGAGAGCAAAACGAAATTTTCAAATGGCTGTGCAGGATGATGAAAACCTCGAGATGGGTCTTGGCCTAGCCTGATGCGCGCAATGATTCAGATCAGAATGGTATTCATGTCACTTTTTTCCGAGCTCACCAAGTCATCTCAGGTCGTCTCGTATCTATCACTGGCCTGTAGAGGTCTCAGCTCTCGGCTGACGATAGAGAGCCTCGTGCAGCACGAATTTTGCCGAATTTCAGCGTCAAACTGACGAAAAAGTCCAGGTCTAGTCCAAAACCAGTCCAAACTGCCCTAACAGGTTCTGATCATCAATGCATCAACTGCGAGAGACAAACTGCCGACAGATTGCAGCCCAATGCAACCTGGGGGTATCAGTGCCGAGATCATCATCATCATGGATTCTGGTCAAGTCAGAAAAGGAATGGGCGCTGTGAGTAGATAGCGGCTTGGGTAGTCTGACTTCTTCTACATAATCGGTACTACTACTGGCCTTGAGGCGGACTAGACTTGTCACGGCGCATTGACGAGTTTGACAGTTGGCTTTTGCAGAGTATACCATGCTACCATTTTTATCGTTTAATAAAATTTCAGCCTGAACGTTGTAACAAATACGCAGCCGAATACGAAGATGCGGTTGCACATGATACGTCCCATAGGCATATAAGTAGCACTCCGGTACAGTTACTATCCCATGCCTCACATCCATGGACAAGACTCAAGGTTTAACCTTGCGGCGTGAATTTGGTCTGTCCATAGTTTCCAGAGTTTCGAATAAGGTGGGAGGATTTTTGGTTAGATCTTTTTTCCGGGCATCTAACGCTAATACTGCGAAGACATAAATACGAACGACATGTGAAAGCAGCCAAAAAATATAACAGGGAAAGCATGGGTCCACACAACAGCTTCGAAGTGTAGCGACAGAAGATGAATTGCAGGCTCATCAAGAGCAGAGGGGCGAACTGACATCCATATGCGTATTATTGATCCGAAAAAAAATGATAGAATAGTTTAATGAAGCTGGACGGAATTCCATGCTTAAAACACGCGTAAGATATACAATGAATAGAAAGAAAAGACATTCCACAGCATCAAAACATTGAAAGAGAGGTACTGTGCCTATATCTCCCCATAGCAATAGCAACATGATGACAATGCAAAACGGAAATCATAAATCGTTGGAGTTTCGGCGTGAAAATGTATTCAGGCGCTTAATTGAAACCTGAAGCGCTCATAACATAATATGGCGGATCTAGATACACCGAAGCATGACAATTAGCTCGCATGCGAAAAGAATCTCAAGGGCCTGAATTGATGAACGACACTCACGTTCTTGCTTATGATGGCACTAGGTAATGCAAGGAACCGCAAGAAAGTGCATTAATACATAGATAGAAGCAGATTTACGAGTTCCGTCAGAAGAAAGGCAAAGGAAATGCGATATCAGGATGTGATTTGTTTCCAAAGACGAAAGGGAAGCAAGAGAGTGACGTTATCAGGAATAGCAAATCCGAGCCAGCAGTAGATGTTCCGTTTTTTTTATACCCCAGACAGACGGCGCGCAGTAGTACGGGTCGACATAAATTTGCCGCAGATGTGTGCAGGTTGACAATGCATCGCGCAATGATAATTGGAAGATAAAAGACAAAAAAAAAGAACGTTAAATCAGCGCCGCAACTTCAAGATTTGATCGGAGAACGATGCTAGTGAAAGGAGAGAGAGCAGAGCGCGGGGACAATAGTTGAGCGTACAGTTGGCAGGGATGTCAAAAAGTTGATAGACTGGGTGGGGGGATGAATGGAAAAAGGTACTCACTCTGTAAACAACGTCAGTCAGTCGAGCATTACAGTGAGAAATATCGAAGACAGACCTTCAACAGCAGCCATAACAACTCGCAACATTGCCGTATCTGTCGCAGTTGTCACACTTAAGTGCTGTAAGTAAACTCTCCTGATACACGTAATAGTCTTAATACGCACTGTATATATATTTCACGTTCTTTCGACCGTCCAGCCTTCTGAGCGAGCCTTGAGAAGCGCTTCTTGAAATAATCTCGACCAGCTTTCGCATCGCTTGGTTCACCTTCGTAATCCTAGTGGAAATTTTGATTAACGGACGATATTCTGGGTAGATCGAACTTACAGGGAAGAAGTTCTTGATGTCTGAATGAACTATCTTGCGCTCGAATAGATCGTTCTTGTTCAGGAATAGAATCTAATATCGCGAGTGTAATTTCGTTCCAATCTAGAAGTAAAATTACGTACAATTGCAGTTTGCTTAAACCATTGCGAATGACATATGGAATCCCATATGGTCATTGCATCTTGCATTTGGTTCTGATAGAACAAAACAGAAAATCAGATCGATCACATGACGCCGTTACAGGTCTTGCGGTTCACTTACCGCATCTTTGTCCTCAACCAAACATTGATCATACCCGCTTAGACTAACCAAAAAGAGAATACTTGTCACATCTTGGAAACAGTGTATCCATTTTCTCCGCTCGCTCTTTTGACCGCCGACATCTACCATAAGCATTTCATGGTCGTGAAGCTGGAAGTTTGTCTCCGTTATACCGATCGTGCGTGCTCTACATTGAACAATATCTTGCTCTGTTGGTTGATACGCAGGCTCAAAGAGACGTTCTAGGTCCGGGTAGAAGTATGACAAGCTATACGTGTGGAGCTTGAGCCACTTCTTTTAACAGTGAAATACCACGTACTTTTCTGGGATAGCTGCCTCATTGCCTCGTTCATATGCCTTTTGTATGTTGGGGTCGTCCCACAGACACCTTAGGGGCTCGAAGTAGTCTGCTGGGAAAGGTTCCCAGTCACGGATATCAACAGCATTTCTCACTAGCTCCACATGGGACATTACGTCTTCAGATGGTTCGAGGTCCATATCCTCCATGGCCTCAAAGAGGTAGTTCATGCCAGTAGTCAGATTATTGAAGACAAGTTGCCGATAAGACTCTATTTCCCCTGGCGAGAACGGCACCCTATGGATAAGCCGCATTTGCTAGCCATGAGAAGTTAAGCGTCAGGTACAACCAAGAGAGCGCAACTTCAATATACCTTGAGTATTGTCGACTTTCCTGAGTCACCGGATCCAAGTAATAAAACCTGGAAATAGACATTAGAATGGTATCATTATACAGTTAGCTGGTGCTAGTCACACCTTGACTTGAGAAGACATCTTTGCTCTAGCCTGTGAGAGCGAATGTCAGTACCGATCAAATGATGAGCAAATTAATAGTTGAAGAAGGCATAAAAGAGACTGCGTTAATGTCGGTGAAGGCTTACCTCCCTCAAGTATTTCTCAGCCTCTCGATGTTTCTTCTTATCTTCCTCCGACACCTCTATCATACCCCCCGAAGACATACATGCTCCCATTATGACCTACGACTAGAACTAGAATAAATGTGTGAGGAGGGGGTGGCAAGGGATATGTGCCAATACAAGCGCGCAAAGCAATTGAGCGTCCAGGAAAGTGAGAAAGACGGGGAGGGTAAAGACTGAGAAAACCTGAGGACCGAATACACAGGCTGTTGACAAATTAGACGCCGAATGATGGAAGCAGTGATCAATGAAACAACAAGGATCAACAACAAGCTTTGAAACAGAGCAAAGAACGCAAAGCCTCCAGGCTGTTGGCAATGCAGAAAGGCAAGGCAGGAGAACGAAAATGTGGTAGAGAAGAGAACGATAGCGAGGTCAAGCCAGCCCTGTAAGTGAGACTCTGTCGTCGAATGCTGTGCCACGCGCCCGTCGTTGGGAGTAATTGAGGAAAAAAATATATCACGAAACGTCGGCTATAATTCACTCGTAGTCTGAAATAGCAACCAAATTCGCATCAAATCTGCAGAAAGACACAAGTCGATCATGATCTCTTGCTTAGTACACACCGCATTCCATCACTTTATGACACATCCTTCATGGAATGTCATACAAATGGGAGCTCAGTGACAATGATCGTAGTCGTCTGCGTTCAAAGTATAGAAGTACTTCTTGCAATACTGGCCGGCCGGTTACTGCATGGAGCGAATGCTTTTTCACAGAAACATTCGACAATGCACACAGCGACGACATCAAAAAGGCGCGATAATTAGGGTTGGAATATATTCAATTCCTCCGCGACAATGCTACCGGTCGCCTACAAATTAGCAGAAATGTCACAATGACATATAGTCAGTAGTTGAGTTATATTGGGAGTCAAGGTCCCTAGTTCCTCACAGCCCAACTATTCGACAACCGTGGAGATCCTGTGCATTTTTGAGGCCACCCTTAGGACCAATATCAAGTAAATTAATCCTTCACAGCGGGAAACTTTTAGTCTCGTGCGATTGCGTCGAAATCACCACAACATCCTTCCACTAGTGTTGGTGGCGCTAATTGTGTTGAGTATCATGGGAATGAAATCGGGCCGTCAGGTAAGTCAGGTTGACAGGCCGCATCAGAACCTACGAGGGAGGCCATCAGAAACAGGTGCGCTCTGACAAAGCACAACACTTTTGGACACCCAGGTGGTCTGCCATGCGACAGGGCGGGATATCAGCTTCTTTTTGGCTGTGCTTTTGATTCCTCCGAGTGGCAAGACCAAGGATCCTGTCTGCATACATGAGCATTAGACCGATGAGGGCGGCAACATAACTAAAGGTAATCCATTCGGCCCTTGTATCAACCTAATAAAGTTCTAACTCTTAACTAGTAAAGATGCGGCGGCAGTGGCGGTGTTTCAGACTCGTCACCCGAGAGTGCTGTTTGAATATCATAATCCACGGATGAATCGCCACGATGATCATCATAGACCTCTGCAATCAGACCAAACTAATGATGACACACAGTGAGTGGGCGTCGTACGTGCAGTGACAAGAACTCGACAGGAACTTACACTGTCGCACCTGCAGTTCATCAGATCATTGACAACAACAAATCTTATCAGATGCGGAGCCGCGGCGAGGTCCTTGCGGCGAGTCGGCTTGGTAATGAAATCTGCCTGGGAAACATATACGCGAGCAGGGCAGCGGGTGTTGCGGCTTCAGCAATCCTATGCAGTGTATGTAAGTAGTTGCTCACTATCAGCACAAAGATGATATCGGGGACATGGCCGAGCGCTGCAATGCAAGGTGTCTAACTGGCACTCCCACATCAACAGGGATGCCAATAGAACGACGAACAATTGTCGCGGGATGACAGGTCGATATGCCTTTTGGGAGTGCGCAGTCATAGCAATTGCTAGTGCTAGTTGCTGGAAATGTCGATTTCAGCGCACATGATTGAAAAACTAATCTGGATACCAAACATACGATATTAGCGGTGCCTTGTGAGTGATCATCATCGTGTCATCACATCAATGTCCGGGAAAGACAGCCATAAGTAAAGCACTGACAGGACGGTGAGATCGTAAGCCAACCGATGATTCTGGGCGACACAGGCAAGACACATGCACGAAGATTTTTACATCTAGAACTTCGACAAGTGGAAGGACGCCAGCAGCGGCGAAACAAAACATGATGACTTTAACGCTCAGGAGTGATCGGTACTTGTCTTGGGTCGATGACTTGAGTATGAGCACTGAAAGGAGATGATCTTTCAAAGTAACATCTGAAACATGGTAGAGGGCGACATGCAAAATGCTGAGGAGACGCTATGATGCAAGGCTGTCAGTCACATCTGGGGGTAATGGTACGATAGGGTGAGTGGTCTCCCGAGGGATGTGCCACAGCGGTTCCATAAAGCGCGTTACAATGGGGATGCTTGTGTCTGCGGTACGTGCAACCACTAAAACGTTGAAGATAAAGCGATAAGAGGTAAACACGACTTACCTGAAGCTTGCATATATGCAGGCCCAGGCGGCAAATACATACGTTATTCCCTGTAGAGGTGACCGATCGGAACCACATAATGTATCGCAGAGGTCCATGAAAAGAGAATTGTTGAAAATGTGTCCTGACTTCGCCCAAGGCTTGTTATCCTTGCGTATTGGGTTATCAACCAACCTATAGAATGTCGCGATCGGTCCAGAAGCTATGTTCCTCTGAATTCACGATAAACTTGGATCCATACGAGCATTCACGAGCGCGCTCTCCTTGCTTAACGTTGATGACTACAATGGCCACAACCGGCAATAATCAGAGGATTACAGGTGAAGGAGAGTGGTGGTTATAAACTTGGGTGTTGGCTGGGTGACCAAAATGGAAACTTTGCACAGCCACATCCTTGTCTTCCCTTCGCCGACTGGTATTGTTCAATTTTGTTCTAAAGCTTGCACATATCATCAACTAACGGATATTTATTTGCTAGTTAGCTCAAAGTTACCATTTCGAGTGGCAACCACACAAAGGAAAAAAGGAACATACGTATCACATTTACCGTATGGCCAAAAATGCTCGCAAACGCCAAAGAACCGAAAAAAACCAGGACGAACAAGCTCAGCCATTAGGAGCAAAGGTAGCATTGGACGACGATGCTAGTAAAGATGATGAGGAAAGACGTCTGGAGAGCATTCTTTTTGGCGTTCCTTACAAGCCATCGGGGAATAAAGGCAAGGATGTGCTAGCGTTTTCTGACGAAGAAGAAGATCTCGAAGATGTGGGAGCCGGCAAGGAACTGGAGAATATGCTGGATTCAGATGTGAGTTCTCTATATCTTTTCGCGCATATATTGACAGGTGATTGATCTTCCACGTAGCTTTTCTTCGTAGACGACAGTACTATGCCGTCAGGAGGTATCCCAGACTCACAGACAAGTCAACAGGAAGATGAAGATAGGGAGCAAGATGACGAAGCGGATGATGCAGAAGTTTCTGATGCTGGGCTCACAGAAGTACAACCACAAGATTTCTCAGAAGGACAGCTTGCACCCTCGGAAAACCCTCTGTCGTCAAAAGGCCGAAAAGCCCCTGCCTGGATGGACCCTGACGATGCTAACATCCAGATATCCCTCGCTTCTAATAATCGGCTGCGAAAAATGCGTGATGCTCCCTCAGATGACACCGTCGGAGGTCGAGAGTATGAAAGAAGACTACGAAGACAATACGAGCGCATCAATCCAACTCCAGATTGGGCATCTAATGCTCGCCAAAAGCTTCACAAGTCAAAAAGGAGAAGGTCGTCGGTTTCGGGTTCCGAGTCAGAGGATGGTGATGAATTCGAGGACTTTATTCCTGATATCCTCAATTCCACTGCAGGTATAGTCGGTACAAGGAAGTCGAGAAAGCTTCCCCAGGGAACATTGTCCATCGAGCGCCTCCGTGATGCAAATCAAGCTGCTCCCGCTGAAGGCGAGATTAAAGCCTTACACTTCCATCCGTCTCCTCAGGTGCCAATGCTTCTCACCGCAAGTTCAGACCGGCGGCTTCGCCTCTTTCATGTATGTATCCTTACCGTGAAACTCAGCAGCCTTTAATATCTTCTCTTACCTCTTACTACGTTAGATTGATGGCCTCACGAATCCACATATGCAGACACTCCATATCCCCTCTCTTCCACTTTCAAACGCCGTCTTCCATCCTGACGGGTCCTCCATTTTATTAACGGGTTCACGCCCTTTCTATTACACTTACGATCTACAATCTGGTGCGTCACATCGATCTCCGAGGGGACTCTGGGGAACCACTTTCTCCTCCGACCGTACTGCACAAGGCGCTACCATGGAGATGTGCGCATTCAATCCAACAGGCGACATACTCGCTGTTGCTGGTCGGCGTGGATATATTCACCTTGTCGACTGGCGGTCAGGTACGGCGCAGGTCACCGGGGAACTTAAAGCCAACACTGCAATCAAGTCCATATGGTGGGCACGCGGTGGGCGCGGGGAGCTCATGAGTCTCGGAGAAGACTCACAGGTGTATGTCTGGGACATCGGGCAACGGAGATGTGTAAAACGGTGGCAGGATGAAGGTGGTTTTGGAAGCCGGTTGATGAGCGGTGACAAAGCAGGGAACTACCTTGCTATAGGGTGAAATTGATTCATTTGGTTGTGTGTTGATTGAATTGACTGTTAAAAATTTCTTCTTTTTCAGATCTACCGGTGGTCTTGTCAATGTCTATGGATCCCATGGCACTTCTCAGCCAGGAGATGAAAGATCAAAGCCCCTGAAGACTATCGGCAACATTACGACTTCTATTTCAACGCTTCGTTTCAACCATGACTCACAGCTTCTTGCCGTAGCCAGCAACGTTAAAAAGGATCAACTACGTCTGGTAAGCTTCAGAACTTCTTCAAACCACACACGACTTAGACTACCATCAGATCCACTTGCCTTCCTTGACTGCTTTTGGAAATTGGCCGACCTCAAGCACTCCGTTGGGTCATGTCACTGCTATAGACTTCTCTTCCACCAGCCAATATCTAGCAGTTGGGAACAACCGCGGACGTGCTTTACTATACAGCCTGAGAGACTTCACGCAACTTTGATCGTCTCCACATTACGAGAGAAAAAGAGTGCTAATTAGTGCCCAGTTACTATACATAAGTCGTGTGGGACATACCCCCGTGCAGAACGAAGACAACAAAATATACAGTAATTCTGCAGACATAAAATGGGGGGGAAAAACAATGACGACATTACCTGTTAGCATACCGTGCTAAAAGGTCGGTGTATGTTTCAGATATCTATGAAAAGCTAAGTTCTGGGAATGTTGGACATGCCACGTTTGCCTTACTTTCTCCGCACGTCGTCTCCCGTCGGGGACAAAACGGCAAATGACAGTAGAACATTCAAACCAACGTTTGGCCTCATCAATCAGTGATGCGCTGTCAAAGAAAACAATCCATTAATACAGACGTCATCCGGATATTGTAAATGTCGAACTGTAAACATTCGATGCCGGTGTTGTAAGACGTGCTGAGAAGCCATTGACGTTCATCCATCGGGTATAGCTTCAGTGTGACCGTTACCATACGGGTGATTACAGTTCATGGTGGGCACGTACGTCACCGCTGTCATCGTGTAGATCGCCATGCTCATCGAGCACTGCGACGGCTTGTTCCATGTATCCAATAGCCTTGGTCCTATCTGACGCAGTGTTTCGTGAAAGGAGTACTGTACAGATTGATCGTAACCACCGAGAGAACTTTTCCACGGATAGGCACCTGTGGTCCAGACACGCATGCAAAATCGCCTGGTATACTTGAGGCATCATACGCAAGGCGATAAGCGTCAAGTTCGTACCTCTAATGCTGTGAACAAAACTGCGGATGCGCTAAGTCCAGCTGCCCACTCCCTTTGTGAAACCAAATCAACTCACCGTTGACCGGGCAACTCTTGTCTCCCCACTACATCACAATCAGATGAACAAAACTCGCTGATCAGGTGAGAACGAACTAATATGTCGGCAATTGCCTCAAAGGTTTCCAAAACTGGAGCGTCGTGCTGAGCGGCCTCCTAATCGTGGTCAGCTTCCATTCCACAACCAGGGCTGATCAGATCAACAATGCACCTCGATGATATGTGAAACCGAAATCCAGTCCTGTAGCCCACATAAAATTTCAACCTCGAAAACACCCAAAACGTGAAGGAAAGATTGGGCTCGAGTGGAATCGTCAGCCGGCAATTGTATTTTCCCCATGATGTTTATGATTCGTTGCTTGCATGACTTTATTTCCGTAGCAAGGGCCCGGAGGTGCTCCGGCTGGTAACATTTAGGAGAGTTTTACAAGAAAGGAAAGTCCTCACCTGTATGAGACTTTCAGCGGCACGCTGACGAGTGAAAATCACTATGAAATCTAAATAAGCCATAGAATAAATTTGCAAAATATCGCTCAAGACTCACCCCGGCCCGCTATTGCCGCGAAAGATGCATTGATCGTGTACATGTGGGTATTTGCATCCACTTCAACCAAGGAATTAGCGGTAAATAGCCCCAATAACTATGTTCGGCAGGAGCTTCGTTAGCACATATGCACTCGGCAGAGGAATGGGGCCGACCTGTCTCGAGACGTCAAACATTTCTGGTATCTGCTCCTCGTCTTCCTGCCAGTCGGAACAGCCTTGGATGGCACAATTATATGCCGTTCGCCATAGCCACGATATATCTTTGATCACCAGGGCCGAATTTTCAGCAGATGCGCTTGCTACCCATGTCTTCGCTGAAATAGATCATTCAAATCCGTCAGCTCTCAAGGAATTCGATTGACCTACCATTTGTGAAGTGCTCAAGCAATGTTTGTACTAGAAGGCGCCTAGAACAGTCAATGATGGTGGCGTACCTTCGCACGACGGATGCGCTTACTTATTTGCGCCGGGTTGTCCGAGGAGTTGCAGAATGAGTCTGATTATACATCGAATCAACGTCATGGCTTCCGTTACTGTGTCCACGTTCTCTCGATATTTCAGCGTGCTAAGTAGCGCGTTCAGTACGGAAAGGAGAAGCGCCTTCATGTCAGAATCGCGTGATAGTTGCGTAGCTAACAGAAGCATCTTCCGGTCAAAACCGGGAGCTGCCACCATTTCATGAACACATTTGATAGCTAAACTACCAGGTCAATGGTTGAACACGACGTTTCGGCACCTTGTTGACGAACCTTCATCTTCAAGACCTACATATGGCGTTAGTCAAACCGGTTCGATATATCACTTTAACGCTCAAACCTTGGTGTACACTAATCAACAATTTCACATAATGGGTGGTAGCCTCATTGCTGTGACATCGCCGTATGATAGTTGCTGCTCTGGCATATTCCTTGCACTGGAGATAGCACAAAGCGGTCTTTCGGAGACATTTGGAGGAACTGACGGACCCTAGACTCTTGAAAATTGAATGTGTGCCACATAGGAACCAATCAGCAGCCACACTCCATCGCCCGGCATGATAATGGCGATCACCATATTGCCATATCAGCTATTAATGGAAAAATCAAACTTACACGCTGAAAGCAGCATTATGTGGCATCACATTTGACCGACTTACTGTGAGACATGCAGTGGCAGGCACTTTGGTGATTTCAATGTCGGTTTTGGAAATTTCTACGGATTTGTGCTCCCGCATCAGAAAGTGCAGTTTAGCCTATGCAATGTTTTCAGTACAACTTACCCGTAAATGAATTTTCTACATCCGCCATTGCCCTCTTGTGATCTTCATCTTTGGAACAGTGAAAAATCAAAGAAAGCAGAAGTCTGTCAATAAATTGGACTCCAGAACCATCGGGATGTTCTAAAGCCCGGTGTACACAATGCTGAATCGCGGTAGTTACCAAGACGCTAGAATGGTATTTGCCTGAGAGTTTGGGCGAGGAAAGCCAAATGAATCTTACTGCTGTTGGGAAAGCGTACGAAGTTCCTGTAAAATACTTGTGAACGGGTTAGCAAAACCACGGACGCTGTATCATGATGGCACAAACTCTGTTAGATTAGTTTCAGAAAAGGACATGTTGTCAATGATAGATTGTAACGCTATATGCGATGTTGGGATGTGATGAAAGGGTCATCTTCGTCAATCGCCGCACTGTAGAACAATCGAGACGGGCAACGGAAGCTCACCCTGCAAAACGGCTGTTTCGCCGGCCTTTCGCCGCTTTACGATGGCCAATCTCATCCATCGAAGCTGCTGAAACTCGGAGCTTGCCTATTAGAAGCATGATGCGGATTATGATTAAATGTGCTGATATGATAGATATACATACATGGTCAACGGAACCGTCTATGGACGAAATAACTTCTTCTAGTGCAGCTTCCGCTCGGTTCAAATTCTCCGAGTCTTGCGACGATGAAAGGAAGTACCCGCGGGCTAAGAGAACGGAAAAGAGGTGTTGATCATACGCATTGGTATACCTAAAATGGTTGCTCACCCAGACTCCTGAGAATTGATCTCTATTTCAAGGGACTTAGTGCGTTCGCCGCATTCGAATAAACCATTCACATCACTGACCTTCAACTCCGCTATACCGGCTGTGGCCGAGCTATCCATTGGCTCAACCACGGAGAACGCCTTCTGCATCCAACGAACAGCATCAAGCGCTTTGACCGCGATGTCTCTTACACCTGTGCTACTTTGGTAGGAATTTCTCAAGAATGATTTTCCGATTTCGAGTAATTTCGAGGCAAGCATTTCCCGCTTATGGTCCGTGAGCTTTCACGGATCCATAATGTTTTGTATAGGAGACTTACGTCACGAGGAGATAAAAGGGCAAGCTGTTTGTCGTTTTCTGTGCCGCAATCACGTTTTCAGTATGGATGGCTATGATGTGACAAAACAGGCACGGAGATAACCTGTAATCTTATCTGCCATAAACGTTGCCAGACCATCGTTTTTTTCTCTCCACGCCTCCGTACAGAAAGTGACGTTAAGACGGCTGAGTCATATTCAATGGTTTGATCGAACACTCACCGCTTCCATTCTACTGCAGTAATAGAGGGTGGTGACACGTGCCTTAGACTGCTGTTGCACCACATCTTGCGTATTCATAGTTCTCAGCGAGTCTTCGAACTTACAGGCTGATGGTCAGTTGGTATTCCCAATGACGAAGTCAGAATGAAATGGTCAATATATCAACCTTGGCTGCGCATGTCAAGACGCTGGCTGCTACATCATTCTTTCCCAGTTCTGAAACCCGTGATAAGAGAGCAAAAATGATCAGCCTCGTGCCCTATGCCATACGCACATCAAAACCCTGGTGCAGTGAGAATCACATACCTGAAAGCGTCGCTCCTGTCTTACTTGCGACTTGAAGCATATGAAGTAGCGCTATAGGTATAGGTTAGTTTATCATGATACGCAATATCCCCGTAGGGTCGGGGCATTTCTCAAAGACCTTCGAAACTAGGTTTTGGCTCCAAACCAGCCTCCATGAGGCGAAACCCTGCTAATCTCACTGTTCCCCGCCCAAACCACCGCCCCGATCAGTAAAGAAATCAATTCTCGCGAAAATTTTGGACAAACGAGCGGCAAAGATAACACTGCTATTGTTCTCCGAGTCTCGACGAAAGAAGCCGGACGTGTTCCATAGGTTGACACCTTTTAGTTCGACAATTTTCCTATCTGTGACTGTATGCAAAGAATATGCGTGTACGTACCTTCCTGATCGAGTACGTCTGCCCATTTATTCCAGGCTTTGGTTGATTTTGGACGGTGATCCGTAAATGATTTCGCCAATGCTGCTATGTGATACAGGTCACCGACTGTGGAGGAGCTATCCGTAATCGAATCGTTGAGCTTGGGTTTTGTGTTGATCAGGAGATCTAGTATCATAGAATATGGTCGGATCAAGCATGGCACGATGTTGTCGGGAAAGTTCACCCTTTATTTCATCATATATGCCTTGCAGGTTTGACGGCAATGTTTGCTTTTTGTTAGCAGACATCGTAAGATGCGACGGCTCGTAAGCTGAGGACAGCTAGGCGAGTTAGGAGAAACGCGTAAAGTCACGCCGTGACCGAGCGTGTTTGGAAACATTCAATTATTTTTTTATTTTGTAATTTTACAAATGTAATTCAATTATCACTTGGCAGATACGGATACTTCTTATGTAATAACAATTCGTATTTATTTACTCGGGTGCGCCCAACGCCGGATTGCAAAAATAATTATGTGAAATAAATGTCTCCTATAACGGAACCTTGAACGGAACTACAACCTTGCTGAACTCAGAATGGCCGAACAAAGGAGTGTTCCTACCATTGATGCCGGAGTAATAGCACATAATCGAAGAGTCAGTATCGCGTTCCTTTCCACTGGAAATACATGCCATCACATTTTACTAACAGCAGCATCATGATCTTTAGGAAGCTCAGCGGGATGGAGCGTTTGCTGGTCTGACGTCGGGTCTAGCAGGAGGCAAGTGCATCTACTGTCACCGTGTGCCTGGTAGCTATCGTCTGAATTGCCTCATATAACTTTCGCAGCGTTGTTGGGATCCAAGGTCATGGGCTTTGGCAGAAATAAAACAATAGTCTGTGGTATTTGTAAGTCGCATCTGTCCTTGTATCCTTCCTGAGACCAGTGCTTCAAGTTACCCCTTCTGAGATTCTATCTACATGGCCATATTGACCAACTTGTTATTTCCATGTAGTCACGGGAGCTCTTTCCGGTTATTACTTCACGCAAGCTTTCTTCTCGTCTAATGTATCCCGTTTGAAGCCCAGACAGAACAGTCACACCGATAGTATAGAATGAATCAGGCGCAGCAAAGGGGATACTTGGCTGCTGTGGGCCTTGCTACTCGTCAAAGTTTGGCTATCAGAGCCATGATCTTTAGATTCTATTTCTCCGACTAGTTTAGTCTATGACATGATACCAAAGTAGGCCCTGTCTGCTCCAGAATCTGGAAATCACATCCTTGTGCTTACAACCAAATCTAGGCGTGTTTATTAGGTCAGGGCACAGCGCATCATGCCGCTCTACTTGATGGTACTCCGACGTGCAACCAGGTCGATAGGTGATTCACAAATTGTCTCATAGACTGCCCATCTGCATCCTGTATTATTTTCCGCCCCACATTCTATGAACGGGGGTAGACTACATTGGGAATCACCAAATTCAGAATTTTGCACGCTGTACGTCGTGTATGTACAGCATGTGTATGTGAGATCCACCGGTGAGTGACGCGTTAAAATTCCATCAGTTTTCTCCGCAAGGGATTCTGTGGCGCTTCAACCTCACGTACGTTCCATACTATCGTGATAAGGCAACTGGACTCTCTAAACCTTCTCATATTTATATTCGCTAATTGCTAGGCCCTCGCCATTCTATCACCAACATCCACGCTGATATCGCGCATCTTGCTCGGGCTATTGCTATTTGCATTACAACCAGTGCTAAAGGCGGTTTTGGAGGCTCACTTGAGCTCTCTAGAACATTGATATATACTTTCAGGCTGCTTCTGATCGAATCGACCACATATCGTATTTTTGATTTCCTAACCCGTCCCGTTACTAAGACCCACCTAACAAGGTCGTAGCTTCGTAGCTAAGATCTTTTGGAACCGAAACCCTGTATGGTATTATATGTTGACGTGGCGCGCAGGTCCCAGGGGTTTAAATTTTCGGAATCATATAATTCTAAAGTTACTTCAGCGAGAACCTCTTTGGGGATACCGAATCCTTCTCTGTATGGACCACATTGAACCTCAATTCTGTGAAATGATGGCTGAGCGTGCGTCAACTATATAAGATACTGATCAACCGCGGATCCGGACTTGTGATTGTCAAACCAGCGCAAGCTTTTTTTGTTGAGGGAAGATGTCGATGCGGAAGTCGAAAAAAAAAATAATAAAAAAGGCTCCAGCCATAGCCCCATCAAATCATACGACGGTGGCACTAGTATCCTCAAGCGTAGTATTTCATCGGAACCTTGTGAATCTATATCGCATCATGATGTTACTAAGTTCAGCAGAGAGAAGTGAAGATTTGTTCTGATTTACGGTGGGATCGGGATTCCACACTCGTAGTAACCTGCGCTATAAATTTCTACACTATTTTGAACAGTATGTAAGATATGTGAATGGCCCCCTCAAAACCATCAAAACGTATAATGAATAATGCGGAAAAAGTACAACAATGAATGATGAGAGTCTATGCCAGTGAAATAACGTGATGCAGCGAGTGAAAGTGTGCGTATGGACGGTAATGAGACCGCATGCCAAAGGTGATTAAAAGAGGATAAATTGTTAACGTGAACAGAGAAGTAATGAATGTGTGCATTAACAAGAACTGTAATAATTATCGCCTGCAAGTATTCCAATTATAAGGATATACGGGAGATGCCCGTTGACTAGAAGGAGTGTAGAACTGTACACCGGGTGGACCAGCATTCGCAAATGGGGCCGAAGGAACGGCACTTTCTCTGAGAGGAGGAAGATGATGACGGCCATCTGATGGAGACTGCGTATAGACCGGTGGTGCGAATTTGCGAGACCAGACTGAATCGTGAAAGTGGGGCAAAGAGGCATGTGAAATGGTCATGTGGACTTCATGTGGACTAACAGACGCTGATTGAATATCCATCGGCATATACGCGGGAGGAGGAGGCTGATAATAAGTCAAAGGTGGTGGTGGTGGCTGATAACACCGCAATCTAGCCTTTCGTCGATGTTCTACTTCGCTATCTATTGAGGAACCTGCAAGTGAATAATAATAAAGATTCTGAAGTAGACGTGAGAATCATTAGACTGAAAACATAGAGGGCACTCGTACCTGAGGAACGTTCACAGGCCTCTCTGCGCGATAAGCAGCCACCAATGTATGGGGCATGGTATCCACTGGTGGTACAGGTGACACATGTGCCGAGTGGACAGTGCGTGCAGAATGTGGCGAATTAGAAGAAAGGGACATTTTCGCGAAGGACTGCAAAGACTCCAGTGGTGACGCAGAGTTAGCACCGCCAGAGTAACGCTGTTCGGGAATCTGTAGCGTCATACCGGTCGGGCGCTTCAAAGGCGGTAACTCGTGGAACGAAGCTGATGTTGGGGAAAACGCATCTGCAGCCGAACGCTTGGACCCTGGATGAGGCGTAGGTGAACAATCGGAAGTAGGTACAGTCACGTGATGATTCGACGAAAGAGTTCGAGCGTAAGTGAACGACTCAGTTGGAGAAGTCGAGCGAGCGCGATATGACGACGAGTGGCATCGCAGTCTATATGTTCGTGCGGGAGGAGCTGATGTGACCGGGTTTATCGTACGCGATGGCCTACAGCGTGCTCGTGATTTGCGCCATTGCCGACTATCCCTCTCTTTCGCCATCACCAAGCCTTTCAACAAATTCAACCAGGATTCGTAGGTCGAGTTGTCGACATACAGCCCGAAATCTATCCCAACTAAAAATTCCCTCTCCATCTTATTTATTTCTGTGAGTTCTATGCCCGACACCTCTGACCACGTTTTATTCGTATACGTGTTACTGTACACAAAGAATTAAATACAGTCACAAGAAGCGTGCGTGCAACTTACTCGTCAAGAAATTTATTAGCCATCATGAGAGCGGCGACGGCTATGCGGAATTCACTACCAGCAAGTCCGGCGGTGAAACGATTTCGTTCCTTGAGGCGATATATGTAGTGTAGAGACAGAACGATTACAGACTGGCTGACTTGAGTTGTCTCGAGCACTTTTTGCATGAACTGTATAAACGTCGTAGAGGCAGTGAATTGAAGGGCGGAAGTGGGGGAAGGTGTTTCAGGAGAGTACGGAGGAGATGGAGTCTGCAATGACGTCGAACGAAGTCGCTGCGAAGTCCCCGACAAAGATGTTGAGAACCACAGGTAACATATCATTTCACAGGTCTTCTCCGCGATGAAATGGGCCGACCGCTTGAGCGAAAAATCAGACCAGTCAATGAGATGAGGAGCATCCTCGCGCATTAGAGGTTTCTGCAGAAATGGTTGATCCAAGGTAGAATCTTCACTCATCCGGTCTGGCGAGTGGTAGACCATCTCACTGGTAGGAATGGACTTTATCCAGGTGGACGCGTCTTGGGTTAGTGGTGGCGTCACTGCAAGTTAGCTTTAACATGAAGAAGCCAAGTGTAGAAGTGTTTGAGATACGTACAAGGAGCCATTGCCGAAAGCTGGCGATCAAAGTGAGTTATAGGAGGTAGGGAAGTGACTTGGGACTGAGGTGTGAGTCTTTGTAAGGCGGAAGTCATGGGAGGGGTTAGGAGGTTTGCTGGGTTTGGGGGGCGCCATGAAGACCAAGTTGCAAGGAGCTCAGCGGGGAGGGAGGGGAGGGTTGTGCGCATGGTGCAGGAGGAGGGCGTTCGAGGTAAGGACGGAGGAGTGTAAAGAGCCATTTGACCGAATGTTTTTCAAAGTAGGGAAAGGCAATAGATGAACATAATGATATATAAAAAGGTAAAGACCTCGATAGGATTCCATGGAGGAGTAAAAATTGAAGACGTGGATGGATATTCCGCTTAGAGACAAACAGGGGATACGGTCAAGCAGCCGCGATTGTAAGGGTTGGTGGTGGAATTGGAAGACACAGCGCCTTCAGTCCCGCTTCGTAGGCGTACTGCTCGCGCTGCGTAGATCTTAGACATTTTTTTGCTAAGATTGACTACGTTCCTCTGATCTCTAAAACTTAGCAACTCACATGGCCACTGGGGACTTTCCAGGGATTCCCCATAGCCTTACCCTTATCCGACTGCCTTTCCTGGGTTATGCTAACTGTTTATCGCTCTCCCACGCCACCGGGTTTCCTTTCCAAGGCCCAGGTTGGCTTCCTCCAACGAATCTCGGGTCGCAGTCTGCCTGTCAATGTTCACTGTCGCGTTACCGCTGCCTTCCAACATCCCTTTTCGTCTACCGCTACTTCCGCTTGTAGACTCTGACCGCATGTGCGCTCGTCAGCTCACTCTCCATTTTCTCTTCCGCCAGTAATAATAAGTCCATAGAGCCCGAGTCACATACTTACTCTTCCAGTTCAAACATGTCCTAAAAAATGTCATCAATCCAGAACGCCAGGCTCATCCTATCAACAAGATGAAATTTGCCTTTTATGATTTTCTTCTGATTGTTTCCTCCCTCCTCTTCGCAACATGCTCATTCGGCAGTTCACCTTTGCTCGATACTCCTCCTGATACTTCACATATAACAATGTCTCTCTCGTGTGTGAGATAAGACGGCAGTGCCGATACCTGTATCCTATCAGTGTGGTGGCACTGCCCTCACATGGTCTCTGCTCTACGGGGTTCTGGAAGATTTCTGAGCGGGATCAGCTTATTGAAATCCAGCCAGGATCAAACTTTGAAAATTTGTCTGCAAATTATTTATTTGCTAAGGGATCTCGGTAATTGTTCCCAAAACGGACACTCCTTTGACAGATTTTGATGCGGCCACTTTGCAAAAACTCAGAACGCCGTGACAAAAGCACAGTGACAAACGCGTGACGACAGCCCTTTACCGTCATAAATTATGCGCACCTGCTAAGTCCACGTGGACTCGGAGACTCGCAGGCCTACCATTAGCCGCCTGTACCTTGGCCAATAGGCAGAGATGATGATATGTTCGAATGGGAACGAGGAGGCCTACACAGTTCAGCTGCCGTTCCTCACCCATCCACTCCGATATCGACGGCAAAAAAATCGGACCAGAAGAGAATTACGGCCAAGACAGGACTTGATATGTCCAACTTGAAGGGTGTTTAATTGTAAGTTGCCCAATTTACAACTGAAAAATGTCGATAGATACTTAGAATAGGTTGCCGTTTATGGATCGACTGCCACTCCGAGCATGAGGCTACACGTAAAAGTAAAGTCCGTGGTCTGTCTTTCCGCTTGCTCCGTATTTGCCAGGAAGAAGCTTGGCGCTCAAGCGGAGTATAATGACTGCATTGGTACGGAACTAGCCTTCCGTGACCTGTCTCATGCTAAGGGGGATGGCGCAATCACGAATAAGAACATGTTTCGCAGTGGTCTGCACTCCGCCGCCGCCATCATCGACCTTGGAAAGTTCAAGTAAAGTAGTGAATTGGTCTTCTTTTGACACGATCAGGTAAGTTGCACACTCAAAGTTTGCAGTGAGGTCTCACGTACTTTTATTTACATCCGTTCGTGGCTCTTCACTTGATTCGCAATGTACGTGTCGTATCACATTTGGTAGCAGTGAGTGATAACTTTCAAGTCAAATGGGTACCCAGCGGTGATGAGCCAAAGGTATGAACTTTCACAGCTATTCCTGAACTATTTTTTGCCAGTGGGTTTCATGGTTGCCGTTTGGGTATGTGAGTTTCTACTTAGCACATAGTAGGTAGTATCAAAAGGTCATCAAAAGTTCCCTCGCTGTCGTGACTAATCACAGAGGATGAATGGTGCGTAATACCAGGATCATCGACGAATTATACTATTATTATTGATTATCTACAGGCTCGTGCTTGTCGCACCTATAGTTCCTCCTTTGACATCGCCCGAACGGAAAGGAGCAGCAGGTGAGATATTTTCGCGAGGTACTTGTGGGCATCTTAACTATACTAAGCTACTACTGCTTGCTGGGTTTGGTTATCTCGGGTGAGTAGCAGCAACACTGTTGCGGAGGCTTCTTATGTGGTTGATGCGGCGGCAGATGCAGTATCCCTGGGTTACAGCTATAACGGATGCGCAACAGCGCTGAGCGCTGAGCCACTAAGTCCGTAGCATAAGTTACGAGCTGACCGCAAGGAACTTCCTCAACAAGCCCTGATTTTGATAGCAAGCACCATACCATACTGTAAGTACTTGATAGTGACCCGATTCTCCCGCTTCTGTATTCGGCTACACAGCACACTGTCGTGTCCGACAGTATTGATGCTGACAGGGTGTGCAATGCCAAGGGCTCGGTCCTTTAAGGCAATCGAAGGCAACCTCGGCACATATACATCCATTTTGCGTGTACGTATCTCATTAGCGCCCTGTTGTGTTCATTATATCCTGAGGATTTTAGGTCACTAGCAATGATCTAAAATACCAACACCGCGTCCTAGGACTTCCGAGCACCCCAAACCACGGACTGATAAGGTTTCAAATGATCTATGTCAGGTGTCACGTACTATGAAGTTCCACTGCTGGGACAGTCCTTGTGTCAAGCGTGTCATACATTGAGAAAGTTAATCGCAGATGCGGCTGACCTGATCCATTATTCCTGTCAAGGCGGAGTAATTACCGTACCGTGCTGCACCGTCCCCATTCTCCACTCTTCAACTTGTTCGATTTTCAGCATTGTATACCGTGCTTCTCACAGGCCACGGCGATCACAAATATCAGAGTATAATAGATCCGTTCATACTTTGGCAGAATTCAAACGCAACCGAATTCTCCTTGGAATGCTACTTGTTGTGAACACAATACCATGGGATGGTCCAAGGTTTTAAAGGCACAGAAAGTGTGAGGCTGCTTGATATGAAACCTTGCACCCGAAGCTGACAAGCCGCCGATAGAGTGCGACCTGTGGCAAAATAGAAGAAAAACCCTTTTTGTGTCTGTCAGTGCTGGTAGCTCGTGGACCATTTTGAAACAGTAACTGTCCTGTCGTATATTTGACATACGAATGATGCAGAGAATGTGGTGGTGACCGTTCTGAGGACCTAAGACCGCCTGAAATTGCTGTCTGGGTTTCATATTGTTATCGCCAACATTCGGGCCTTGAAAATAATATTCTAACAAGACGTTTGCTTGATGCGGCCGTCGTAACAAGAATTGAAAACAAATCATCGAATTATCTTGGGCGGGCGTCCCGTTATGGATGGTGACGTCAATGATCATCGAGCAGCCGTCGTCCAAAATGTCGCTGTGCCTAGGAGAACACAGCCACATTATATTGTTTGGGGTAAACTTGCTTTTCTAGGTCTCCGGCCGTACCTGCCATCTTTCATTGCCCCAGCCTTGACAGTGGCTGATAATCATGCTTGTTGGAAGACCTCAAGGTTTCTTGCAAGAGCGTTTGATTGGGTATGCCGGTTGCCACTATGCACTCTGCTATGCCCTATTTAGTAAGATTGGTAGTAAAATGTAACTCCCGAAGCTGAAGTAATTTCAGAAAATACGTGGAAATTGAAATTTGGCTAAAAGTTACGCCGGATTGGGTACGATAAGCTGCACGGTGATAGGTACGAAAGCAAAAATGGAAGCCGCGAAAGTAAACAAAAAAGAGGTTATAAAGAGGGCATACCAGTACAAATGTTGTGCCCATGTCTACCGAGCCGGACCAGTCCAATTGAAACCCGTGGTGTCTCCGGTTCGAATGTGAAGGGCAGTAGTGACTGAGTCAGTGACTTCATTGTACAAGGCCCTGGCTCCTAACACACCTTCAACGTGCGCCCGCAGTCAAAGAACCCTTGGATAAATGGAAGTTGGTCAGACCGAAATCAGATCAGACCGTAAGCGAAACGAATACGACCTTGTGGTTAAAAACCTTGAGGGGACGCGGGTGTAAGATTAGCGGCTCAGTCTCATGCACCTGGCACCCCAGAAAATGGCCGTAATCGATGCGGCAAGCCAATAGGCCAGGAGAAAATCTTAAGCACGTTTCTGAAGTTGATAGTCCAGACACATCGGAGAGCTTGCCGTGCCTCCGTTACCCCGGTCTTCTCATGGATATACAGCCCCTTATGGAAATTTATGGTGCCGCATCTCTCAGATTGAACCCCGGATGCGACAGGCAAAAAAGTTAACTGAATTTCACATCGATCTTTGCAACAACGCGGGCCAACTTGCGGGGCTACTTAACGAGCCTGGCGGTTGCCAGACCAGTTCGCAAGCAAGGCATTTTGTTGGATAGTTCGTGGCGCTAATACCTTTTCGTTGTGACTTCCTAAAAAGAGACTGCTGCTGAGCCCGTCATGATCACACATGGAACGCGCACCATATTAAGCTCAGACCAATGGTATCTGAATTGTCGGTACTGGCCACGCTAGGACCGCATTGCCTCGAGGCTTGAGGCTGAAAGGGATATGGTGGTGCAATCTCTGAGTAAAATCAGTCAGTAATATATCATGCACGTAAGTGCTGTATTCCCAGAAGAAACATTGCTGTCTCCTGTGCTTCAAGTGATCGTGGCTGAATGCTCACCATTCCGATTTAGTAATGCAGACGAACCGAACCAAGCGTTAAGATGAAGATGAAGGCGGTTCGGCTTTCGAGGAAAGACCCGCTGTGATGTCGGACCTGCGATGGTGAGTATCTTATCACCTTGTTCAGGAACTATGATCCCCGTATCGAAAAAGCCACGCAACCAAGTCTACCAAGTGACTTACTTGAAACGCTTTCGGCATATTAAGTAATTTTCCAGAGTGTTCCGAGCGGTGCTAGTGCCATGGGACACTAGCGCATTACTACTACAATTTTAGTCCGAGGATAACTTAGACTTTGTTCGCATATGAGCGCGGCGCAGCTACTGTGTCCAAAAGAGATTATAGAACTTTGCCGTGCCCAGAGTGGTGTAACCAGGGCTGATGCGGCAGATACATAGTGAGGGTCAAAAATCTGTCGTCAGGTTATGAGATAAACAAGATATAGTAGAAAGTAGACGAAGCCATACGTCCACAGGCTAGGTCTGACATGTAGTACCTGTCTGACCAGAACAGCTTGCCAGGGGCCTGAACGGAAGTCCAGACCAGTAGTAGCCGGCTGATATGGCCGATACTGTATATTGTTATCTCGATGTGCCATTGAAGCGACGATCTGGGGATATACGCCAACACGGACATGAACGATGAGTGTGATATTTTGAGCCTCACCGTCACCATCCAACGACGTGATACTTCGAGTACAAAGACCCGAGGCTGATTACAGGCCCAGAAGCAAACCCTACCAAAGGGAAAATGTCATTGAAGCCCCTTTCGGTAACATATATATTTTCATACCGCTGCTATCCGTAGTAGAAGTTTGTGAACACAAGGTTCGTTATCCTGGCGGAAATATAAATCGAGCGAGACCGTCACATCACTGATCAGCAGCCTATGATAGGCTTACAGCAATGATATTAATGGCAAAAACCATCTTCTATGCATTTGTCATCTGGCATTGCAGGGGGCTAAACCAATGAACCCCTCGGCGTCCTGTGACAATACATGATATATCTGAACAATGGAACCACAACTCCATTTAGTAGTAGAACTGGCCATTGATGTCGATATTAAAGAACTCACCTTAAACAAAAAGCATTTAAAGTATGCAAAACGAGTTTCTCAGGCAACAGAAATATTGTAACACCGTGACATCGTGCTTCGCAAGCCTGGTACAGTTTAGCCGTCTGCACAATACATATATAGGTTAATTCGGAGGCGATATGAGAAACAGGCAGTCACGTCCTTGGTGCAATAGTCTCAGAGTGGAAGCTATATTTCCAAGTCCCGTGGATACCATTGCCCAGTATTTCACCCAAGTTGATGATGTGGCGTATTATGTGAGCTCCAAGTACAACCGTAACTTCTCGAAGCCGAGAAGAAAAGTACAGGGCCGATATTGAACTGTGCGTGACAGACCTATAGATCATTAGCCTGGGATAACGTTTGATACCAGGCGAAAGCCCGGACTGCGAGGGGTGCTTCTGTCCAATACAGGTAATTGTGGCACGATGCGTACGAGGGTTCCGGTTATTTCGCAGGCTCATTTCCAGGTGCAAGCCAACACAGCGAATCGAACATGTTCCAGAACTTATTTGATACGGAAAGGTTTCATAGCGGGTAGCTATATAGGAGTCAAAGGCCTATCTGTCATAACAGCCTCCGCAGAACTAGCCTTCTAAGACAAACAATGCTGCCATCTTCTGCATGTCATGATGGGGTGATATGAATGCCTTGTAATATTATTCTGGAAGCCATCAGCAGAAATTATGACAGCAGTAATACCCAGACTGTACTATACCTCAAAGAGACCCACGTCGACCCATTCGAATTCGCGCAAGTAACACTGCCATATTTTCCACTGGTCACGCCAACTTACAGCAAATAAGCAAAGTTTGAAGGAGATAATGTAAAGCGGATATCATCCAGAGTGTTTGAGCGTTGTGGCATCCGAACAGTAAGAAGGAATAGCAGGCACATCGACTTTTGCAAAAAAAAAAAAATAGAAAAAAAAAATAGTGCTGCAATGAGTGTCAAATACCAGGCATTGGGCAGAAGGTAATCATCAGCACAACGAGTGCCAACAATGATTGCGGTGAAATGACGAAAATACGACAACGGTCCAAATGGATGGCTTTGAAGGAAGATACTTCGTTATACCACTCTGACCAGCTTGACAGCATCAAAAAGAAGCGGCTCACTTTAAATGACGACTATATACCATGTTACTACGCGATTTCTGGTACGTCCTGTAGATTTACCGTTCTTCCATTTGGCAATGCAAGAATTCCTCGAGCGCTGTTACTTCGCCTACTTTGAATGCTCTGCCATGGGCATTGGGACATTGGCGCCGTTGGGAAATTTTGGCCACCTCCGCCGATACGCAGTGCTCGAACCATGAGTAAACGCGCTACATCTCACTCACTGTCCTCCTCCCGATACCAGCACTCAGGATGTAGACACCACAATGGTTCAGCTGTCAACACGTCGGTACACAAACCAGCTTATACGCACTGGCAAGTACCATCTAGTCAAGCATGTTTTAGTGGTACTTCTCATATCAAATTATAAACACATGATGTTCACCGAGTAATGAGCTGATAATCTAGACTCAACGACATAAGCCGCCAGGGACAACTTCACGGCACGATGTAACCCTATTGAGAAGAGTAAGGATGGCATCGAGGGGGGTAGTGAGTCTGGTCCTTAACCAGAAGAGTGAAGTAGGGGCCTAGAGCAATATCAAGCCTGAACGAGCCAGTCGGAGCATTTGATGCTACCAATTCCTCTGTCGAAACCGTTCCTTCTGCCGCCCATCCTGCCATAATCATCCGCCGCGTTTCTTGCGCAATAGCCTGCCCTGTGTCACGGTACACGGAACGACCACCAGCCCTATAAAGACGGTCATGCTTTGTATCATAATCCCTAGTCTTCTAACCCAACTCACCTTGCTCATATTCAGCTCACAATGTCCAAGCCATCTGCCGGTACCTATGTCATCTACAATAGAGTGCTCGACGCTTCTGGTCGCAAACTCGCCATCACCTACAATGGTGAGGGCAACTATGCGACCGCGACCCCGCTGTCTAACGGGGACCTGCAAAAAGTGAGCACCGCTGTAGCCCTGTTGAGGGCTAACCAACTCATTTCGGAACCCATTTTTAGTGGATAATCAGAGACTTCGACCCCCAGACTCAATCCGTTACTCCAGCAACCAACAGTGGCCTGCAAGCTGGATGGGGTAGCGAAGGTGTTGAGGTCCTTCCAGCAGGGAACTATGTGTGGACCATTAGGTCCAGCGACAGTGGATATACGTGAGTCTCATGAGTCATTTCAAACGCATACAGGCAGAATTTACTCACATTTCGGCCGCACAGTATCAAAGACGGTGGCGTGACTGTTAACTGGGGACTCGGCACCGCGGTTGAAGGCCAGAAGGCATGTTCTACCCTTGATTTCACTGCAGCTTTGCTAATGGCTGAGATACATCGAACAGATTGCTATCGGCAGTGACACTGGCAACGAAAAACAGAGGTGGATCCTTGAACGCGTCTAATATGTGAAATCGCTGGAAAAGACGCTCGAAATTTTGAATACTGCTGTAAGATGATGTACATGTACACACCCAAGTGAAATGTTTTCTCGAATGTGAATGGTCGTATAACTGCAGGAGTGGATTGCCTACAATATTCAACCTATAAGAGCTCGAACACTGAGGCCAACAAATCAAACAACATGCATTCGCAGCTCGATAGTCTTCAGCTATTCCATGTTTTTTCCTGCAGAGGTAAATATCGGTAACTGGGACCAGAAGATGGGAAAAAGCTAAGATTCAGTAAGAAAGCCAAAACAGCAAGTCTGAGTTTCCAACGCGTCCCACGGCTTTACCCCGCTCACGTGCACTAAGCCACACCACTACTAGTAAGCCAAACCGCGACCATTGGAACGAGGATATTCGTTATCCATTGAAGCCACTGGCAGAGACAGCGGCTACGACTCTTTTACGACGATAAGAAGTACAGAACGCAATCAATGGCGGATTTGATTTCTTTGTTGACTTTTCCGAAGACGTCTAATGGGTTCACTGCGTTGCGTTCAGCGAGCGAAGTGGTAGATGACGGGTCGGCACCTCCTCCTCGCAAGACACCCCGCTTGGACGCCGACTCTGACTCTGCATCTGCATCTAGGTTTCGCAACAAGGGCAAAAATGTAGAACAAAACGGTCCCTTTAAGATGGAGATCCGTGGGTTCGCTCGTACGTGTCTTATCTCTGTCATCTGCACGTCTTGAACCCATGTTCACTCCTAGCGGCACGAATCCCTGAAAGCGTCTTCAACGCCGAAGTTACACTCTTGAATAGATTCATTGAGACAGCTCTAGGAAACTCCGATATCAAATATCTTCCAGCATCTTATGAAACGATCTATTGTGCTTGTCGATCTCTCATTTGTGCTGCACATAGGGGTGAGGCATTGTATGGGTTCACTAAAATACAGCTCGAAAAATGTACCAGTCGTATTGCACGCGAATTAGAGCAGAATAGAGACAGAGGCGTAGATTGGATTGATCAGTTTGTGCAGGCATGCTCATGGTTCGAAAAGCAAGTAGTACGTTCAGCTTGTTTCTTGGTTTTTCTTAGAGAGGTGCTTATGAATGTGCTATAGGCACTTCTTCAATCTCTTTTGACATATCTAGATCAGGCCTATGTCCTGAAAACCCCGACGTTATCCACCACGCGGTATGGTCCTTGGGTCATTTCCCCCAGAACATTTAATCCATGTTATTTGTTTGAAGTGTCCTCGCATACTCACTTTTTAAGCGAAGTATCCTCGAAAACAAGGTAGTCATCGACAGGCTACGTTCTGGTGTGGAAGCGTGGGTCACGAAGGAGCGCAATTCCAAGTCCGGAGCATTTGTTTGATATCTTACCGTGTTTATTCACCTGGCTCTCACAGACTCCCGCACGAAAAGCGAAATGTCATCAAATCCCTTGTACACCATCTTGTAACCCATCACGTGTATAGCACGATCTTCGAGACCTTTTTCATTCAACAGACCGCTGCGTTCTACACTGCCGAATCACACCAGAAAGTGGAAGTAGACAAGATAGATCCGCAACTTTTCCTTCATCATTGTGACGCCAGAATTAAAGAGGAGGAGGGGAGAGCAAAGACCGTTCTACTCGAAGGGACTGTTAATGCAGTGGCGGAAACAGCTCGGCAAGCCCTCCTGGAGGGAAGGTTGGAGTGGCTAGCGAAAACAGGTACGTGATTTGTTTTATTCCTATGCTGGGCCAGGCGGTTCAAGTTCCAGCAGCGGTGGGCCCATTAATGGGCAAGAAAAAAGTTGAAAATCTTACTCCCATGTATGGCTTATTCTCCAAGGTCAATGGATTAAAGATCCTTTGCGCCGAGTTTAAGTCTTACGTCGAGGTACATACTTCACTGTTTCATGGCCACGTCATATAACTAGCTAAATAATCTGTTCTAGGTTACCGTACGAGACATCGTTAATGACAAAGACAACGATGAACAGATGGTAGACAAACTGCTAGAATTCAAGGTTTTCACGGATACGGCTATCACTACGTCTTTTGCAGACTCGCTGCCCACTCCTACTTCCCATGGTGTGGACCTTAAAGGACCGAAGCAAGTCAACCAAGAATTCGCTTACGCATTGATCGACGCATTCCAGAAAGGATTTAGAGCGCGTCGAAATAAACCTGCTGAGCTGATTGCGAAGCACCTCGACCGTCTCATGCGTCGAGGCCAGAGGTCGCTATCTGACGATGAGTTCGAAGCGAAGCTCGATGATTCGCTGGCGCTATACAGATTCACAGATGACAAAGATGTCTTCAGGACATTCTACCATCGTGCGCTAGCGAAGCGGTTGTTACTCGAACGTAGTGCATCAGACGACTTTGAGAGGGCAATGTTGAAGAAACTGAAAGAGAGTAAGCACGCCGTCTCAACCTTGTCCAGCATACTCACTTTTTCGGTCATTATAGAGTATGATCCCGAGTTTGATATGGGCGATCAAATGTTTAAGGACCTTGCTCTTTCCCGCGAGACTATGCGGGAATTCCATTCTCGTATTGCGGACGACAGTTCAGCGTCTAAGCTCACTGTCATGGTTCTTCAGCGTAGTGCATGGCCATTTGTTGCGAGGCAGATAGACACCGATCTTCCACCTTCTGTGAGTGGCTTCCTTTTACCTGCCCGTCCTAGACTCACGATTCGGAATATCAATATTACATATAGATGCAAAGCGATATATCTTCATTCTCGACGTTTTACAAGATAAAACATCAGGGCCACAAGCTCGATTGGGATCATGCGCTTGGGACGGCTACTCTGAAGGCCAATTTCGCGGCTGGGACGAAGGAGCTTACTGTCAGTCTCTACCAGGCTGCTGTCCTTCTCCTCTTCAACGAAGAGACAGAGCTTGGATACAGAGAGATACACGAACACACGAGAATGGGTAGGTAATTTCTGCCTCTGTCAATGATGGTTCGGGAGGTGCTGAGGAGGTGGGCTCCACAGATGATGCCGAGTTGAGACGGACGCTTCAAAGCCTTGCTTGTGGGAACAAGAAAGTACTTACAAAAGTACCCCCTGGACGTGATGTGGATGACGATGATGTGTTCCATTTCAACCCGAACTTCACAGACAAACTTCGAAGAGTACACATCAACACTATTCAAGCAAAAGAGACGGTACGTTCCTAGCATGATGTAGTATCTGCGAAGCGTTGACACTCTTCCTCACCGTGGGATTCAACTGCACCTTAGCCTGAGGAATCAATACGCATGCAAACACACATAGAGGGAGACCGAAAGCTCTATCTCGACGCTGCGATCGTGCGAATCATGAAAGCGAAGAAAGAGCTGCACTTCGAGCAACTCAAGGTGTTGACCATCGACGCAGTGAAGGGCCATTTCATACCTGATGTGCCCATGGTCAAGCAGCGCATCGCGGGTCTCGTAGAAAATGAGTACTTGAGTAGAGATCCAGACGACATGAATTTGTATTTATATGTAGCATAGCATGAAGTGGGAGAACGGGGAGGGGACAAATTAGGCTCTACATCTCCTTCCATGCATATAAATACGACGCCCACGGTGATTTGGGCGGGGCGTTGTAGACAGATTGGCTAATCACCCCCCTCAACATTTTATACCGATGATATCCGCGCCAGTGTGATACCAACAAGTTCATGTTGATAAATTCCATATGCTGTGGGACGGACTACGTTGTATAAGAAACATCCTTGAAAATGAGTTGTTAAACACAGTCAAAACTTACGAAGTTCCCGTTTCTGTAGGCTACAAATGGCTCTCAATGCTCGACTGGATTACCCAGTTCCTACTGATACATCGACATCGATATCAGCGTTGTTCAACATGGTGCGAAGAACATCTGCAATTTGGGCGTGTAAGTTCTCTTGAAGTATATCAGTATAACAGCAGTAAGACAGTACAGGGAAAAAATATTAAGGCACTCACTTGCACGATTCACGGCTTGTATGTACTCTGCATTCGCCACCTCCATCTCTTCTTCTAATTTCTGCAAACGTTTCGCCTAAGATATCAATTAGGGGATGAATAGTCGAGACAGGTACAATTCACAACTCACTTGCTCTTCTTCAGGTTCTGGGACCGGTAGTGATTGAATAAGATACTCTACTTGCTTCGCCTTGACCATGAGATCTGTGACGAGCTCTCTCTTGTTTGCTGATTCAAGTGAATTTAATACCCAGCCATATTCAAGTCCTCCATGAACGAGGAACTCACCCTCGAACACCTCCGGCTGATCGTACTTGTCGGGGTTGCGTTGCTTCGTGATCGGTATATCATTACTGACTTGCAGAAAGTTGGAGCGTGATGTAAGATAGGCAATGGTGCTGGACATGATGGTAAGTAGCTGTACAAGAACGTATGGTGAGTCGACTCATGGTGACAAGTTTTAGTGCAGACAAAACGTACTTGCTGGGTTTCATCTTGGAGTTGAGTTATGCGGTCCATGTGTGATAATTCCTGCAGCATTGCGCTGCTTTGCAGGCGATGTTGCAGAAATTGTGCTTCAGTCCTGGTGTTAAGGACGGACTCGGATATTACTAGTATATCTTCAACATTTCAAGTTATCACCATGACCCGGTCACGGTCGTGACAAAGTCGGGAGTCACTAGTCACTCCGAATTCCGATTGTATCGCAGTGAACATTCGAAATTTAGTATTTTACACTCTCCAAGTCCGAGTCATTCATCGATATTCATCACTGGAAGTTCGTGGACTCTATAAGCAGATGTAAGTTTGTGGACTTGCCTTCTGAAAATGCAGATTCAACGCAGCCTTCAAAAGGCTCGCACTGGGCCCAATGTGTTTGAAACTGCAATATGATCTAGCTGTATTGCGACAGCCGGCAAACTGTTGGAGATGTCTTCTACCTACCAGTGGTTATAGGTCGATATCCCAGTCATTTGAGCCGGCCACGATTTTTTCTTATCAAATGTGTTCGCTTGCATCTCCTACGATAAATTCGAATATGCTACCGGTGCAACTTTCCAAGACTAGACTACCCCCAATGGGGCTTGAACATCAATCTTATCATTATACCGATATCTGTGCCATGAAGCTCAACCTAGGATCATGGACACCGTGATCACCACTCTGGCTTCATCTGTATTATCACAAAATCTTTGAATCACTGTAACAGCGCACCTGACATTATTTTACCTATGCTCAATGATACTCCGGTGGTATCACAGGATCAAACACTACATAACAAAATGTGCAAGTTTCCGGTCCACCTGTTGTCATTCCTGTGAAGGTCTTATAGAGATGCGGCTTTAGTGCATCGACTGGATAATTGTTGAAGTTTCTCGGGGTCTGTCGCCTCAACGTTGTCAGCCATAACTCATACACGGGAAAGGTTGCAATTTCAGTTTGTTTCATTAATGAGGGTACTGACAACCATAATATGCTCCAACCAAACTAAGAAGTGTTAGTAACTTCTCTAGGAGATCTCTGACATCCTGGGGGTAATTATGTGAGCGGCCACACTCATCTTCACTCTTCCAATACGCCTGACAATATGAGTCAAACTCAGCCGTGCTTGAGAAGCAGTTTGGTGTACGACCTAACACCGCTGCGCAGGTAACGCAGCTTAGTTCTTGTGATGTTTACGGATGTTGGATTGAACGCAAGCTATCAATCCTTCAGTACGATTCTTACCGAACATTCCCGCACACGTCTTCAATATTTCATGAAAGCTTTCGCAGTGCCATGACAGTGGGCCTGTAAAAGAGTTTGCCAGATTAATGTGAAAGCAACCGGATTCCTCGGCAGGTATGGTACTTGTAAATTATAATGCAGTAATAATGCACTTCATTAGACCTTCTTATCGTTCACTTAATTTCTGGTGTAGATTTTTTTTGGACATACTTCAAGTTTCGACACTCTCATTTCTGGATCTGGACCGAGTTCGGAGATAGTCTGTGTGCATCTTGTGATGGCATCTGTCTGGAGTGTCTGGCAGCACTGGATATGTGAGACGTGGTGTTACTGCGTACCTTGCTCTAGGGCTCCCCATTATGTATCAGGTCTCTCTTCGCTACTGCTATACTGATTTCCACAAGCTCCGCGCTAAATGAATTTGCCACAATGCCAAATCAGGACGAGTAGTTCAGGAATAAGATGCATTATGGTCTTGCGGTCATGCAGCGCCTTTCAAGTTTTGTATTAAACATATAATTGTTTCCTTCTGATAGCTCTTTAAATATCCCCTACTACATAGGTTCTACTTCCCAGTTCAATCGATGGAGTTGAGGGCAGTGCATCCCAACGTATCTTATCGTGGTCGCTGGCATCGCTCTTCAGAAGATACTTGTATAGCCTCATGGTGCAGTTCCTCGTTTGTGCTTCAGGTATCTGGAGGATGTTTGAAGATTCGGTGCGGAAATTAGACGTGTCGAAAAGATCCATGGAATGGCGGTACTCCCATGCTCGTATGGACTATCACGCGTGATGGCTCTTCTGAGCCCTTTACAGTCGAAAGCGGAGATATGGAACCTTCTCGGGAGCTCGTTTTGTTTGATGCAAATCGTATACCCGACTTTTCTGAGGGTGTATACTGTATAGAAGTCACGCTAGTAGATTGGGCGTCCAGTTTGGAAGTGGAAGCTATTATTGTGGATTCAGTTAGTCGAATTTTGCAGACGATAGCCGATGATATCGCAGCTAATTTTTCTCTCCTATACGCAGGAATCATCGTTGCTGCCCTATTCTACTGCTGACGCTATCTTGGGGCCGACTCCCATACTGCTGATCGGCGACTCCATATCTTGCGGATATGCCGTATCTAAGGAAGACGGTGGCCAGCCTATTCCTCGTGGTTATCTTGATGCCTTTCCCACTATCGCACAGCGCTTGTTAAGCAGATATGGAGGCTCGCCTCATATACTGTTTGAAACTATATCGTATCCCGGTGTGACTTTGGTCAACCCTACGGCGGAGGAGGCCGAAGAGGGCATGGCGGAAGGCATGTTAGCCAAGTTTTTCCAGGTCATTGTACTCTTAGTATTCAACGTTTCACTTTTCATCTGATGAACACTTTACAGGTCTCACCCTGGGACTCTGCCTTGTGCTCCAGTCATAGAAACAAGCCATCCGTAGTGATGATCGCTCTTGGTAACACATCTTTCTTTTTCCTTTTATGCTAGTGCTGACACTTAAATAACAAGGCACCAATGATGATGCATTAGATGTATCAACAGAAAGTTTCTCAGCGTCATTCAACGAGCTCATCGGACGGCTTTTCCAGCTGTACGAATCGTCGCTCGCTTGCGTTATTTTCATTGTCAGCTTTTCAGGATCCCTTGAAAGAAATCCAGCTAATATTCCTTACTTCACAGGAACCATTTCCAGACTTCACGGAAGGCGACGACATTGAACCATCGACCCTGTCCTCTTGCATTCCAGCCGTCTTCGAACAGCTCCGTCAGCGATATGAACACGTTACGTTTCATAGTATTAACATCAGCTCGGGGATTGAGCGCAGACACACTATGGATGGATTACATCCCAACGTAAAAGGGCATGAAGTTCTTGGGAAGAATCTTGCAGATCAGCTCTGTATTATCTTGAAACCTGTAATCTAGGTGCACAGTTCCCTGTACACGCTGTAGCATAGATTCTAAATTTATTACAGATATCACCAGCTTCAATTCAATGCAAGTTGCGTTACAGTGTATTTGTCATGAATAAAGGGGGTCAGGATTACATGGTATGAACGTTTTACCCTGAATCACTCCACTGATAGTTCGTATTTTACAACAGTGCTCCATACACGCCCCCACATACGATATAAGATGGATACGGTATCCCGTGTAGGGATTTCTCTTCTCGCGCTGGCTTGACTCGGGGACCACACTGGAACCCGCGCTGTGTTACAGATCAATCATACTTTTCCATCTTAAGAAACCATTCTCACTTATGTAGGTACCACTTGTATGAGGCGTCAGTTAGCACAGCGATACCACTTGACAGCCCAACCTCGAGGTAAACGTCAGTTCAAGACCTTGCACTCAAGTACCCACCCTGCGTCATGAAGGTATTCGTTTCAAAAATTTTTAGAATTCCGATACGCTGGCGACACGTACAGTCTACATAATCCAGGGATCAGCCGGTTGGTGCCTCAGAGACACAGGTCTTAAAAGTCTGTCAAACAGATGAGAACGGTTTGTACCATTGGAAGTTATTCGTAGCAAATTCTGGTTCCCAGACAGCAGGGACCTGGCACAATATTGTGTAATCCAGCGATAAAAATATTCGGATGGAGCACCGCGGGCTCAAAGAAGCCAAATCTCGCGGGACAAAGGGGCTTTATAAGGTCGGGGATATCAAAGCAACAGATGTTGAAAAGGTGGACCAAGTTTGTGCAAGCACAGGGACGCCAAAATATACTGTGGATGATAAAGATAAGAATTGCCAGGCATGGGTTTACGACGTTGTGCGCACTTTGATCAAAGAGAAGGTACTAGCCGCAGGTGCCATTGCGTTGCTGGACAAGGTGCCTAAGGAAGAGGACCGATACGGACATACACTTACAACGGCTGCTTCTACGATAACTTGTAGTTTATTTATGTTGAGCTCTCTTGCCGTAGATTGTATAGTAGTGAACTTACTCTGCTTCATCGGAATTTCTTGCGAATGCTGTCGTCCATCAGGAATTCCTCGTCATAATGTCTTTCCAGTAGATTCTGAACATGAGCCGCCCAATCACACTCCGCCATCTCACACTACTCAAAGCCTTCACATATTCCCAATGCTCCGGATACCACCCTGCACACTCCCAACCGATCAGTGCTGCTATTCCCCATCGCTGTTCACCATCGTCCAAGGCTGTGCGATGGACTAGAATGTTCGAGATGTGGAGATCGCCATGAGTAAAAACAATACAGTACGCATTGGTGCGAGCCAAAGAACGTTCAACTATGGATAACCAGTTCCAGCGGAAATAAGGGCTTGCGATCTCGAGTAATGCTGTATTGAAGGACGAGATATCTGTGAAGGGACCTTGATCAAAGATGATATGATCCGTGCATGGTTTATGTCCCGCCCCGCCAACATAATACGACTCTCCAAGAGGAGTAAGGCGCCGGAAGACCATCTCTCGTAGTTGTCCAAAGACAATGTCTTTTTCATCACCACTAAGCTCGTCCCAGGCCTCCTCCAAGTTTTCACCATCTACCCACTGTGAGACTATATACGTCTCTATTATTTTGTCTGGTTCGTGTGACTCGGTTTGATAAGTACCGAGAACCTGAATTGGAACAGACGGAGCATATTCGCGAATGAAGTTCATTACTTCAGCCTCGCTTTCACGAACGTTGCGTCCATACTTCACAACAGTGTTGAATCCCTGTAATACGATCTTCTTTGTAGTGATGACACCTTGATCACTCAAAGTGTCTCCATGTACAATTGCATCAAGTAATTCTGGGGGGTGGCAGCGTCGTACGAGGAACAAACTGAGAACCACAAATGTCGCCATGGTTGGACTCCGTTTCCTGCTAAAAACGAATATATTTATATAAGTCAATTCGGTGAATATTAATTAGTATTCAGTGATAATCCGTCGGGTAGGTGAAAATAGAACGAGTGCTCACTATCATATTACACAGTGGTCTTGGGCTAGGGACAACACTGCAGAAGACAAACGAACGCAAAAGCTGGGTCAGATTAGCAGATAACGAAAGTCTAAAGCGCCAAAAGCTATAAACGGATGCACCACCGACCTGTTCACTGACTTATGTTGATAGTTTGCTCGAAAAAAAACAGTGAAAATCAGAAATTGCACATCATATTTCATCAAGATGAGTCAATGAATTCGCCGTACACCAATATGGTTTTCGGTGCAACTTGAACACTGCACAAAAACGTGCGCAGTTGCAGATATATTGAGCAAACTCCGCGCGAACGACTTCCCACCTGCTTCATCAGCTTATTGTCCGTGCAGATCGGAAACAAGCACTGGCAATACGAACGTCGGATGCTATGGAACTATCGTTTCAAATTAGTTTCGAACCCTGACGCCCAGTCAAAAGTTAGAATTATAGATTAATAAGAAAGGATACAAAATTGCAGAAGTCGTTTGAGATCTTACAGTAAAAATTGCACTATCATATATATCATTATTTCCCAAATAACCCGCCCCAATTTCGGGATGGTCTAATGATAAACATAAACAATTCTTTTCCCATACGTTGAATCATTGCAAAATGTGTCAACACTGAAGAAAGAAGTTCTAAAGCTACTAGAAACTTGAACTAAATCCAGATGATATTATAGTGAGTAAAGTTTTCATCATTCATCAAAGATATTCCAGCTTACCTGGCCAAAAATTCAAATACGCAGTTCAGTAGCCTTTAGCGCAAAGTTAGGCCCGGAAGATTGCTCGGAAGAAAGGATGGGATCGACAGCCAACACGCTGCTAAAATGGTCCACCAAAGGGCCTTGTGTCACTGTTTTGACCTGGTGATGTCTTACATTCAAGCTGTTCGACATATTAGTCTCATAACTCGAGTTACCAAACGGATCAGTACCTGGTCAAAAATGAATTTGCAAGAACTGTACGTTACATGTGAGTTTTTCCCCATAAAACAGGACTTGGGTAATAAAAAACGGACTCTTTGTTTGTACCAGGACCAATCCAAGATAACAGATAGTTCCTTGAGCTGTTACGTACTAGCGGCCTTAGATGAGTTTCCATCGAGCCATGCCTATTTGTTATGGACATACCACTATCATCTCTAAGATGTCAAATAAGCTGTCATAATGTAAGAGATATACTTGTTTAAAGGTTGTGAAAGGTACCCACACTGCTGCCACACCAGCACCAATGGCATAAAAAAGCAACTGGTCGATAAGGCGTCTGGTCCTGCATTACAGCTTTGGTGATCAGTTTAGTCGGACACGGAGAGTGTACATACCTTTTAAGGCTTGAAGTCGGACATTGCATGTGCAGGAAATAAGCTAGGATTGCCGCACTTGCCGTATCAGATACAATGCCCATTGCAAAGCATCCATAGACATATGACTATTAAATGTTATCATTACAGGCTGACCTATGGTGATAAAATCACTTGCACCGGCATGCTCCCTGAAAGTCAGCCAAGACTGTCTATATATTATGCTATTAAAGAATGAGTTTTCATACATCATGATAAAAATGCAGCTAAGAAATCACCTATATGCACAAACTGCCAAGGTCAGACCTTGAATAAGAATGATGAGCGCCCCTAATATTTTTGTATTCAGCTCTTTATTTCACGTACTATAACGAATCATAGCTAAAATGACCTGTTTGCAAAATTAGATCATGTAAGAGCAACTGTTCAGACACTCACCAATAATATTGGGATATACAGCTTCATACTAACTATGCAACGATAAACGTTAGGGGGGTTTTCAGAGGTAGATATCGGCTTACGGGTCCATATTCGCCAAGCGTAGTACCTTGAAAATTAATGAATAAATGCTTATAACTAACACTTTGGTCATCTTACAGGTTTACAACAAAGATATTCAAAAACTAAACAGCCCAAAACCATAGTCAAGTACAAGGACGAATCAAAGGAGGAAAAAACTGGTACATACCCCGATAATGTATGTCACCTACAAATGATGCAAGGAATTATGAATGGATCAGTTGTTTCTCGAACGGCTCAAGCTAAGAGGCGCAGTTTCTACTTACCGACATAAGGCTAGCGAAAGTGAGACGTTCAAGTCAAGTAGGATAAATGGCATGAATTTGATCGCGACTACTCACTGGCTAATAGACAGTATGACATCACTATCCGAGAAATTTACGATGAGATAATAATCCATGGAAGCGACCGCCATTCCTGAGTGAGCACTTTCCAGTATCCTGCACAATTCATTCATGAGCCAAAGATCTACGGAATGAAAAGAGCTACATACCAAACAACAGCAACCTGTATTATTATGATACTTTCAGATGAAGCAGAAAATAGGACAAGGGTATTCAAACTCACAGTCAACTTAACGCCCCATCTGTCCTCGGGGTAATTCCGGTAATATAGAAAGGTCTGCATGCATGTGATACCATATAGCCTGGATGCAAGTAAAGAAGGATATAAGACCGCCATACATACTAAAGGATTCTGCACTTACACCATAGCAAACATGGTACCTAATTGAGGTCCCCGCATAATCAGTTCTGCTAAGTCTGCCATGGTAGGGAATTACAGCTGTTTGGACTCGAAAGGACGAGTGGCAGTAACTAATGTAACAGAGACAAAGCATCGATGAAGACACTACTGTATATATGAATACAGCTAGCCACTGAAGTTCCAATGAAATCTTTTGCTGTTCACAGCATCAACCATAAAAATCTGCCCAGACACGGCCTTCATCGGTGTCTCGCATCATCAACATGATAAACAGCAAATTATCAGCAATTGTCTGCTTGTAGACAACGGATATCGTTGCCGAGAAAGTGATATCCCCCACCTTTCCCCACGCATGATTACTCCCATGTTCCACCGAGGCCGGGGAACAGATAGATAAATTTAGCAGCCTCCTTCAGGATATCTTCAGACCGGAACCTCATCTCTTCTCCTGTTATTATGATGGCTTCATCTGTCAATAACTTACCTCACGGGATTTCCCACTCAAATTTGACTGATCTTCAGCCTCCTAGTGAAACTCCCAGGTTAGTGTAAGAACGCAACTGATAGTTCACGTCTGTTGGACCCAAGTTGATAGTACTGGGATGGCATATTCTAGAAACGAAAGTTGATTTAGTAAACAGCCGACCATCATTGTATCGTCCTCCAGGTAGGCCAATGAGGTATCTGTACAACGATAACACGATAACAGATAGGGAGTATAGTATTGACATGCAGCTGCAGAAAGGGAAATTGGTGACGGAGTTCAAATCGATGTCTGGGGTCCGCACTCACCAAGTGTAATACTGGAAATGCTGTTTAATCTGGTAAAACAAGGAGGTATGTTTGAGTAGCATTCAACGTTCAACACCCAGATTCCAGTTTCTGGCAGCAAATCGCGAAGATATAAAGTGGGGAGCCACCTGCTTCTGATTTGAGTAGGAATATTCCTTTGCTTCCGCTTATATTATCTATCATTGCACATCTAGTCTTTGGGTAACAGTGCAATCTTGTCATCGTCATCACGATCTCTAAATCCCATGCTAAATAAATAAAAACCATATCAGAGCTATTCGTCTCTTGAACCAAATCTACCATCTAGCAATAAACTAATCCACAGATATATCCCGGAGTGTCAGTTGTCCTTGAAAGCCAAGACTACTTCGTAACAGATTGCGATGGAGGCAGAGCTGAGGCACCATCCGCGAGTAAGATGGGTGTGGATTTCTTTGGCTCAGGTTCGCCCATAGCGTCCTTCACAGCCTGATTATTCAATAAATGAGCATAGCGGGGTTGGACGAAAGTGGCACTAAGAATGACAAAAAGAAAACATCGTGAGTGTCTCGTCATCATTGCAATGTCAAATTTTTTCCTACGTTGCTTCGACAAGCACAGTCCCTTTCTGGTCCTCTACTCGCCCAGCTACCTTGGTCTTGCGACCCTTCTTCTCAGTGAGAGTAACTCTTACAGTTATGAACTAGAGGGGGAAAAGGAACGAGCGATGGGTATGGCATCGAAGTCAGAGACTGGTCTGGATACAACTCATTGGTCCACTTACCTGATCAGCAAAAGTGGGAGCACGGTAGTTGATAGACAGATTCGCAGTGACACCTATTTTATCAGGAAGATTACTGATCGCCTTGCCAGTGAAAATCAGCGAAACTGCCAAATTGCAAGTTTACGAGGATACACCTAGGGATGGAAACTCACAGTTCGAGCTAAACTCTCGTCCAAGATAGTCGCCAAAAGACCACCGTGTATTATACCATCATGCCCACAAAGACCCCTTCCGACATGTACAAACACATAACTCTCGCTCTCGTCATTTTTACACCTAACCAGTGGCGGCAGGGCTAATTTTCCAGGTCCTTTCAGAGCTCCCGCTGTGAGATTGTTCACTCGTCGTTCCTCCGAAAGCCTCGCATAAGGACGAGTCTCATACCACTCGTCTGCATCAGACTGCGCGCGAAGAGATGCGAGAAGTGGGATTGACTGGAGTTTTTCTTCGAGTGATGCGGTGTAGGCGAGCGAGGATGGCGATTCTGGATCTGAAGGTGGGCCTGGCGCAGGTCGGGGTGATATGAAGGTGAAGTAAGGATGAGGGAAAAGAGCACCAAATGTGTAGGCTGAAAGAGACAGTGTTGCTGCTAGAGTAAAGTTACGCAGAATTCTGACAGGTCGAATAGCCTGAGGACGCGCGGCTGTCGAGAAAAGCTTCGACGATGCAAAATGAAGGCGAGGAGAGAAAGACACGCCGCGGCGAAGGAGGTTCGTGGTGGACATTATTATGGCCTGAGTAAAAGTTCTATGATAATAATAAGGGTGTATCTGCCCTCACGCTTGGACACGGTGAGTTTTGATGACTGTTGCACCTGTAGACAAAAAACTGGAAAGACGTGGACTGAGCTAGAGCGGGCCTTGATATGTTACTTGAACGTCAAGGGATGATAGGCACTGCCCGTAGTACTCCGTGGCTCCTTGTAAGCTTGATCATACTAAGCAGCGGGAGCAACTTGAAAACAGCCGACATGCACAAAAAAACATTATCACATGATGATCATATGAGTAGTATAACACACCTCATTCATGTGGTCTCAGTATTATAGGACAGCACTAGCTAAAAATTTGTCTATATATTTTGAAAGATTTCCTATGTGTTGTACTGTACTGAATCCGACCATATTCGGTCCATAGTTTTCGATTGATCATTAGCATGGACCAGTTACCTCTAAAATGTGTAAAGCCGGGGGTAGCATAAATAGCAAAAGGGCGTTAGGGACTCGGAGCATCTCTCCGTATGTGGCAGGAACTACATCTCAGGATGACGGGAAATACATCGACCTCATTGCTCAATTTTCCATTGGGCTTTGAGATAACATGGAAGGTGGTTCAATTATTACCACTTCAGATGCTCGAAAGGGCGATTTGGCACTGGCATCCTTAGGCTGAATTTCATGATCGCGAAGTCCTTTATCCTCTTTGTCTGAAAAAGGCTCCAAGGCAAATTCTGAGACTGGATTGGAGGTGGAGATCCGATAACGATGCTGTTGACCTTTCTGTCGAAAGCATATCAACAAAGATAAAGCTCCATTCTGGTGAGCCTGAGGTAACTCAAAGAGTGCCGTGGTGACGCGACACTGATTTGTGTCATCGCTGCGTAACCCCCCAAGTCGAGCGTTTAAAATGGCCATCATGCAGTTGGCATATCTGTTAGTTTTGGTGATTCTGCACCTAGTTGTGCTATCTATTTTCCCTTCTTTCTAAATCACTTTCCTCTTTATTCTTTTTGCTCTATTGTTCAGTATTCACTGAGCATTCTAATTTTGCCTTTGTGGCTGATTTGCTTACCTTTGTTTACAAAACTTCGGACTAGTATTGCAGAGTCCAGTATTCCTATTCTTTAGTTACTCATATTGGACTCTAGTTCTGTCCCTGTTAGCTCTCAGCAAGTGGCTAGACACTTCCCAGAAGTTCTCAATTGAACAGGTTATGAGCCCTGTGCTCTAGCCATCTTCCTGACTTCATACCTCATCATCCAAGCACCCTACTGCTTATCCCTCTTGCAAATTGTCTTCTGGGTCTCTGATAACCCTCTCTATCATCTCTGTTTGCTTTGATTCCATCTGGATCACTCCCTATAAGCATTTGTTGCTTGGAACCTCATTTTGGACGCTTTTTTGGCCTTATCAGTGCCATATCTCACCCAATCCTTATCTGATCGTCCCCAAACTCCTACCATTGTCTTCTACAACCTTGAAAACCCAAGGAGACTCCTCAGAGTGGTGGATTTTGAGTTTGATTCTCCCTGTGAGCCCCTATCATTGTCTGATCACCACTTCCACCCCTATTATACTCCTCCACTCCCTGTGCTTCGTTTCTGGCCATACTTGGCCTATCTATTGCACCATATACTCGCTCTACACACCTATAATTTGGGGGCAATTTATCCACTCCGTCTGTCCCTGTGACAATTTCAATTTTTTAGCCTATATTTTCGCTTTTTGGTATATCTGGTGCTTGCATAAAGCTCCAATCTCTTCTGCTCTGTCTATTATCAGATAGAACAAGCCTATAGCCTGTGAGGCTCGCCTGCATTGCCTCAGTTTGCTGTTGCCTAGAGCCTCTCTCAGTCTGCGGTGTTTGGGGAGCTTAAGTCACTTTGTTGACTCATATACAAGCCCTTTTAACCAACACTGTCTCAAGGTGATTTCTCTGTTAATATCAGTGTAGTATTGAAAGGGGAACGCATTTGTAACCCTGTAGCATCACTAGGAAGCCTTAGCACCCTCCTGGACAGCTTTTGGACCACTTTTTTTTTGGACTCTTTTGGACCTTCTCCATTATCCACCTCCCTGCTTTGCCAGCTCATTTCCACACCATGGATAAAACAAAATATACTCCTCATTCATCTTCTGCTCCTACTCATTGTTCTTGCTCATCTCCTAACTGCCATCATTGTAACCAATCTGCCATACCTGGTGCAAAATATCATTTTTCTACTATGGTTGCAGAGTCAGCTAGAAATGCAGGCCTCCACTCTATTCATCCCTCTGACCCACACTGCCCTCTCCAACTTGATGCCGACATTGATTGGAATGCAGACACAGGTGCCACTTCTCATATGACACCTCATTGTCACTGGATTTGCAATTATGCACCATATCGTGTTCCCATAAAGCTAGCAGATCATACTGTTGTTTATTCAGCTGGTATTGGTACTGCGGTGTTTAACCCTGTCATCAATGGCAAAAAATCAAGGACTGTAGAATTCTCCAGAGTGCTGCATGTACCAGATCTTCGAAATAATCTCCTCTCTGTCTTGTACTTAACTCACCAAAGTGGTTTTAAAGTCACCATTTCATCTCAATCTATGTCCTTCATACGTGGCAACACTCTCTTATTCACTGCAACCATCAACAACAATAATGCTGCATTCCTTGATGGATCCACTGTTTCTTGTGTTGAATTGGGACACTTTTCTGCAACAATTCCACTTGACTTAAACCTTTGGCATCAAAGATTGGCTCACCACCACTATGCTGATGTCAAGAAATTGACACAAGGAAACCTTGTTACTGGAATGACACTTGGGTCTAAATCTACTCCTGATCCTATCTGTGAACCATGTCTGTCTGGAAAAATGTCTGCCAACCCATTCCCTTCATCTTCTCATCGCTCTGCTCACCCTCTAGACCTCATCCACTCTGATGTACACCAAGTCTCCTCCCCTTCATTCTCTGGGTATCAATATTGGGTCACCTTCATCAATGATTACACTCAATTTCGTGTTGTTGTCCCTTTGAAGGCCAAGTCAGATGTCTTTAATGCTTTCAAGAGTTTCAAGGCTTATGCTGAGACTCAATTAGAGCGAAAAAGAGCAAAAAATCAAGACTCTGCATGATAACAAAGGGGGAGAGTACATCTTCAAGGAGTTTGAGCAATTCACAGATGATCATGGCATTGTCAGACAGCATACCACCCGGAATAGGCCTCAGCAGAATGGAGTTGCAGAAAGAGCAAACAGGCTTCTCTCTGAAAGAATCACTACCATGCTTTCAGAGTCTGGATTGCCTAATATCTTCTGGGGTGAATGCCTAGGTGCCTTGGTGCATGTCTGGGATAGGTGTCCCACTGATGCAGTGGTCAATGCTACTCCTTATTAATTGTGGCATGGACATAAACCAGACATGTCACACCTTCGTGTTTGGGGGTACACTGCTTATGTGCATGTGCAAAAGGATAAGAGAGGTGTCTTTGGCTCTCACATGGAGAAATGTGTGTTCATTGTAAGGACCGTTTTATTATTTTCTTATCTTCATTATGTCTTGGTTCTCGAACGCGTTACCCGTTACACCTCTGGCTCTAGGGCTAGAGGTATCCTTTGCCGTTTTGCTTCTCATAGCCCTCACAGGCTTTCTTAACCATCGCTACCATTTTATATCACAGATCAGAGACTGGGTATCGCTCCCAGCCAGCCAGCACACTGGGTAGGGACTGGTAGTAGGCATCTCGCCAACCAGCACACTGGGTAGGGACTGGTAGTAGGCATCTCGCCAACCAGCTCCAAACCCCAGTAAAAGCCTGGTTATACTAATAACACCTTATTCAGGATCGTACCTCATTATGAGGATACGGTTCCTGAACACGCATGACAATCCTCTATTATTAGTACAAGTCTCTCACCTGCTGATTAATCAAGTCAAAAGTCGTACGATAGTTACTCTCCCTTTTTCTTATTGGTTGATTGGTTCCTCAGACCACTTTTTGTATATTCTCCTTTCGGTCTGAGGAACGGACAGTTCACTATATAAAGCCTTACCTATTCATGTATGGCTCCTTAGTTTTCTATTACTGAATTTACCCGCTTTACTCCTCAACAAGAACCTTTGAAGCTTACCTCTCAAAGTCCTCTACTCGCTATATTTACTAGCGTCTGTCGACCTCAAGCTCATCGAACCCCTTACTCCCTGCAAGTGCAGAAGGAGACAGGTTTCGTTTTTGTTATAGTTTATCGTTGCCTCACATTCATTGGTTACCCTGCTGGGTACAAGGGATGGAAATTCTATAATCCTGAAAGAGCTGACTTTGATGAGTGCTACTTCCCTGGCTTAAAAAAGACTTCTACCACTGCCATTCCTACTCCACCTTTTCCACCTTTGCTTCCCATGCCTTTGGGCCTGGATGAGGATGTCCTTGCACCAGGTCCAGGGGGAGACATTGACCCACCAGCTGTACTTCAGCAACCTCAGCACTTGCCTGATGATGGGCCTGATTTGGACCTTGATGCAAAACCACCTGTGAATCAACCTCCTGAGCTTCCAGATTACCCTCCTCATTGCTCACCTTCTCCTGACTTGCCTATTGCACTGAGACGCCACAGAGTCTTGCTCATTTAGTTGCAGGTTGGCCTCAGTGTCGACAGGCAGAATCAGCGTGATCTGTTACTGGAGAGCAACAGCGTGCTCTCTTCACTTTACCCTCATTTTTTTTCCTGTCTGACTTCCATTTTCGCTGGAATATGTTGTGAGTAAGCAATAGACTATTGGCACACTGGCCTGTATGTGCTGAGAGCTGTTTTTGGGTCTCAAAGGTAGCATCACAGCCTAAGCAGTTGTATTGAGCCATACACTGTAATGGGGATGAAATTGTGTGTAGAATTATATGAGCAATGAAATAGCATGTGAGAGCTGTGAGAAACATACTTAAGGTTGGATGATAAAGTTTATGACTTCTTGGTGTTTTGATAGACCTGATTAGATGAATGATAGATGATGGTATGTGTTGATGAGTGTCAACAGCAATGATAGATGTCGAGGCCTTGTGACTGAGCGTGAGAAATTGATCAAAGGCAAGGACGGCCCGGAAACCATTTACCTTTCATCTGAAATGAATGAAACTGAATCTTTCAACTCACACTACCACCATGCCTAAACAACCAAGAAACACCATTGAGTCCAGTTCTACAGACTCAGACTCCACCAGTGACAGTGGTTCAGAATCAGAATCAGCACAGATCAAGACTTTACCTGCAAGTAGCAAGACCAACAGTAAGTGTGGTAGAGAAGTGATGAATAATGTCTGAAGGATCCAGTGGACAGAGTTCTAAAAAACGAAGGCAATTTCTGTGATACATGCTTGAATAAAACTGACCTTGAGTCAATCAATAGGATAAGTAGCCCCATCAAGAGCTCGAAGAAAACAGCTAGAGACACAAAAAGGTGAGATGTCTGAGTCATCCATATCCGAAAACGGTTACACTAATGGCTATCTGAATATGGCAGGAAGCCAAAATCATGTTGTAGGGTCTTAACTCCACAAGAGGAGTGCCTGCAGGTTGCACGCTGAATTCCTCGTGGGTTAGATATGTTCAGCAATGTCAACGAAGTCATGAATATATGCTTCCTACTTGAGGAGGAAGCTGTCCGAGCTGAAGAAAATGAAGATAATCTAGAGGATGAGAGATTAGTGAGGGCACGAAATAAAGTTCTGAAAAAGGTGTAAGTTATTCCTATGTGGATATATGCGTTGATTTTAGCAATTTACAGAGATGACAACACACGCAAACATTGTCAGTGTGTGTATGACTACATAATGGATCACGCACCTTACCTTGCCAACTTAATTGGAAAGAAGAAGAAAAGACACGAGCTTCAGGTTCTCATCAGCGATGTAAGTGTATGCACATATGTGTTTGGTACCACTGAATTATTTTATTAGATGCAATCCATGCTGAAAAGGACCCGGTCAGATGATTCAAGCCATCTGAAGCCTCGCATTGGACTTTATGCAGCCCCAAATCTGGACAAGAAGGCCATTGAGCCACCTCTTTCCGACGAGAAAGGGAGTCAAGCGAGAATGGGTTTCAACCACCCAGAGCTGGCTTGGCTCCTCTGTCCTGTAAAGCACTTGAATAAATATCTTGAGGATCCAGTTGAGTATGTTGTTCTATTTTTCCTTGATTCATCTACTAGTAATATACAACGCTGGCAGGACAAGGAAGAAGCTACAAGATGGCCGCTGTCATGCACCAAAGTTGATTGGTAGCATGGACAGGTGTCAATAACGAAGCGAATATTCAAAAAAACTCGCCTTTGCGCCACACAGGCACAGTGCCACGTGGAATAGTAATTAATATTGCCCTTTTTGAACTTGTGGCTGATCAGCACCACCTCTATTAGGCAATCCAGTCACGCTCACCTTTGCTTTTCCATCCGGTACTTTCCGCATTTCGGCATTTCGGCAAATTTTCGCGTCGCCACTGGCTACACATTGCATTGCGCCCTCGCTTTTGTCGTTTCCCTTACTCCCCTTCCTTTGCCTAGCCCCACCATGGGCCCCTTCCTCTCCTTTTTATTCTCACCTGACGGTCGTTTCTGGGTCCCCATTCTAATCCACTTGTTTGTCACCTCCACCCTCCTCCTCCTCATCTTATTTGCACCCCCACCATTTCTGATGTCACCACTTCCTATCCGCTTCCGTCGCCGATCCGTTGACTACCACGTGCCACTGCTGATATCAGCAAAGCCCCGGCGGCCGGTCCAAATAGGGCAACAGGTCCATCTTCATGACGTCGATCTGCCATCATATACTATCAAAACATCGGTCGCTCGTCTTGCCTGGTTGGAGGGTGGGTGGGTAATTTTTGAGCTGGAGAAGGTTCATCCCCTTGCGTCGCCCATGTTCATCGCTGTCCCATTCACTTGGGTACACTTATCTTTTGTCCATCGTCTTCGCTACAGCTACACCTACCACACGCTGCCTGGGACTCACTTGTTCCAAATTGGAACTACTCCTCTCCCTCCCTCGTTTGATCAGGTGGTCCAACACAACCAGTCCATTGGTAAGGCCATGGAACTGTCAGATTTGGACTAGGTGGTGGACCGGTGGCTCCAGTTTCTTTTTTTTCAGCAGAACATTCATTTACAGTGCGATTATTTTTGATTTTTGAATCATTTTTATGGACACATATTTTTTTAGAATGCCTGACTGACAATAAAGGAACTGTGTTGATACTGATAGTGTTTTGCCTTGCCCTTTTTTTTACTGCATCTTCCCATGACATCATGATTTTCCTGCTCTCCTTTTGCTATTGGACTTTACTTTATGGCTGTACAAACCTGTGACATTACTCACAGCATTTATTGTTCTATCCCTTTCTTTTCCTTTTTTTGACAATCTTATCCTGTACTACCTACGCAGGATTTGTCAGCGTACATTCCTTCCTTCATATTCTTTCTCATTCTTTTTGCACAGCTATACTGTGCATAGCCTACTTTTCTTTCACTATATAAACCCCTGTATTTTACCTTGTAAAAAAAAAAAACAAGAACTCGAATTCAGACTTCTTCTCTACTCTCAAGTTCACTACTCTGCTACTTGTGATCCAGTGTGGTCACAACACTTCCCACTTCTACCACTGTTAACTGCTGTCATCGTCACTCGTCACTTTTGAAAGTGATTGTCATCCCCTTCGATTAGAGTCCTTCTGAGCACTACAGTTTGTGCGTCAGGAGCCTGCTATCACTGGGAACCTCGTCACCTCGTCATATTGTCATTCTCAAACCTACCTTGTGCTACGATTAGCAAGGTAGTGCTCGTCTATACTCGTCACTAAGCCCCTATCTTCTATAAATTCAACTATCCCTCCTCCTCAAAACCCACACTCATACATCTCTGGGTTTTACTTTGAAGGATCCTCATACATACCACCCCACGAACAACCAGAGCACCCACTGTTCTAGGAGGCAAAGCCCATAAACAAGTTCCGTGGAATCTGGGAGGATTGTGTGTTAGTTTGTTTTGTGTGTGGTTTTCTAACAACAGTTCTCATCATCGACACCGCATCATTGCTGGTGCCACAAATTGGCCAGCCTTCCTTTATGAAGGCAACATCCCTGGCGAGAACTTCAATCCGGCGGAGATTGACTCAGGTTCCCTTCAAGGATTCTTGTTGGAATGGGTAAATGTCGCACATTGTCCCTGGTTACACTGTTCCCATTGTCAATACCAACATCATGCTGTCGTCTCTATCAATATTTTCATCAACAACTAACTCGAATAAATTTGTATTGTAGGTCCTCAAGCATATTTTCACCTCACCCTCTTCGGCATTATCAAAAAGCAAATCCAGTGCAACACGTGCCTGCAATGCAAAGATCCGTGGTATGCATGAAGTCACTGCTGAACACATTGCATATGGTGCCATTCATGTAAGTGTATTCATTATTGTATGTAAATGTCCCATGTATTTGTTCAGGCTCATCATTGCCTCACCTCACGTGAAAAATGGAGTGAGATTGATGGTAACTTCAAATACGCTGACTTTTATTACAGGATTATTTGTTTCATCAAGAAGAATAAAGATACAGCCTGGGTAGAGGCTCTCCTCTCCCACTACAACAAGTGAGTTTTGAGATATATTCGCCACCCTACTGACTAATTTCACTCAGGAAGCTATTTGGAGACGAGCGGGGTGTTATAGTAGCTCCCCAATCTGATGCAAAAAACAACAATGATGACTTGGCGGAAATGGAACGACAAATTGCCCCTCGAGTGGCTGCTGTGTCACACATCAGATCATCGCCACCCCTGTCATCTCCACCTTGTTCTCGCTCTACCCCTGCTCCTTCTCCTTCTCAAACACCTCCATCTTGTGCTGTAATGCCCCCACCTCCAGCTCGGCTTCATCTTGTATCAGTTCCACCTCGTCCTGTGCCTCCGTCATCCCCACCTTGTGAAACACCAGCTGGATCACCTCCCTTGAAGTTCCCAGAGTCTCCTGTGGCACCGCACGTGAAACCCAGTCCAAAACCCAAAGTGCCAATCTTGAAAAAAGTGACCGAAGATTCGGACAGCACATTGACAGAAGAGGAGGAGATTATCATGCCACCAAAACGTAAACGAGGCAGAGCCAGACTTGTGGTGAAGCCTCAAGAGAAGAAGAAGATCATCAAAAGAGCGAGAAACTAAATTCCAAGGTGAGTTCATTTTTACTTTTATTACCTCATATTCACTTTATTGCCTAGGACACTTTCGTTAATGAAAACCACTTCCATTCTCAGCATCATTGCACTCTCACACTCATCAAGTGGCACTCAGCTCACCTTTCAGCGCATTTTCATTCAGTCTTTCTCGACACACCTTCAACTTCAAGCATTATATCATTGTATTGCACAGTATCACTGACTCTCGTTTTGTACAATTCATACCTACAATTAGGTCCTGCTTTTTGCCATGTATTTTATTAGCTATAATTCAAAATGTTACCGAATGCTAGCTATCCGCTGTGTGAATATCAAGCAATAGCGACACTACACTTTCGACAGAGGATATCAACTTGCGGCCAATATGAACAAAAAAAGTGTTTTATTATATTGGTATCCCTACGTGAGTGCGTTTCGACAGCACCGACAGCATCGACAGTCGAGCTATATGACAAAACCGGATAAACCCGGTCTCTGCCAAAGCAGCCATTGTTCTCCATGGAGCATAGCCACCACTCCATGGAGTCACCATTGTACTCCTAGGAGTCATTATACTGTAGCGAGTAGCACCTCTGACTATAAGTAGTAGGGGGTTTAGTATAGAAATACCTCAGTCGTTTCTATAGCCTCTCGGGCAGCGGCTGAGGTATGTTACATTACATTTATTACAGATCACCTTAAACTAACATCCATTGTAGTTTCACTTAGGTAAATAATAAAGTTGTTTCTATAGCCTCTCGGGCAGTGGCTGAGTTTCACTTAGTTTTATTACTATATGTATATATGTGTATCTAGACTCTACGCAATTTTGGTGATGACGTACAACAGCCACCAGGTTAATCTCAGCACAGCCTTACACTATCACTACTACTATCTAATCAGTTCTCTGGTTACGCTCCAAATCGGTGGCTCCAGCCTGAGTGCCTCCATCATCAACGCCAACTACAACGCCATAGCACTAGTACTACCAGCAGCACATAGACATGCCCCTCCTCGACCCCCTCTCGTCCGTGACCGTCGCCCTCCAGTCTGCAAAACTCACCCCCTCACTCGTCCCTCCCTCATTTCTCCCCTCAGCACTCCTCTCCATCGTATGGCCCACTGGCAAAGAGGCCGTCCTCGGGAACGAGCTCACGGTGGGAGACACGACCGACGAACCCGCCATATCCTTTACCCCCATGGTGATCCCAGACTCTGTCGACGATGCCAGCTACACGCTCGCCATGGTCGATCCAGACGCACCGTCGAGAGATGACCCAAAGTACGGTCAGTTTAGGCACTGGGTGGTGCGTATCTTACTAGTGATATGATCACGATTTGAGCTTACACCCAGCTCGTGCTATCCATGCGTGCCTGTAGGTAACTGGCTTAAAATCCCCCGCAGCTACTTCTTCTGAGACTACCCATCTTAATGCACTCCACACCAAACCTGCAACCACGCCTTACAGACCACCTGGTCCACGTCCTGGAAGCGGTGTACATCGATACGGTAAGCTGTCCTAGACCCCGTTGTCTATGTGCTGATCTTCCTCACCTGCACGTGTAGTATTTCTCCTCTTTCAAGAGCCCACATCTCCCCCTTTCTCTATAGCTGCTGATGCACCAGAGCATGGTGCGGCGCTTGAGGAAAGACGATCATGGAACGCACTCGATTTTGCAGAAAAGCACAATATGAAGTTGACTGCGGTTAACTTCTTTCATTTATCTTCTTCCGACTGAATTGTATCCTCATACACTTGTAGCAATAATTCGAAAACCACGGACTCCTTAGCTATCATCGTAGTCAATTGTATCTCGTATCACTCATACCGTGTTTCTCAGTCAAGATTATGCTGTTGGGCAGATCATTCACAAATGACGCAACTCAATGCGTTAACAAGTTTGAGCAACATTGCATTGTGTCAAGATGATAAGTATATACACAACCCCGTCATCAAAGCAAGGAACACCAGTGTCAAACCACTTAATGAGATGGCGATAACTGATTCGTGAAGTGCTGATGCAAGAGTAGTACATCGTATGCGTTGCGAGTTGTTTATCAGTGTCAAAAAAAGGAGAAAATACAGCATATATCAATAACCATAGCATACGAGATGTGGATACGGAGCTTTCAAGACAACAGATAGCATCAAGAAAGCGGGAAGGATGATTTATGGGGATTGAGAGTGGTGGATTTGTTTGATTTGTTTGGAGTCTTGGTGAGAAGATGATCAGGAGGTAACCTTCCAGAACATCAAATTCTGATTGGTCTCGCAGATGCAGGCGTAGGACGACCACGCGGCCGGGGCCTGTTGAGCCTCAATGATTCCGCGGGACTGCAAAGGTCATTATTAGCCTGAATAAAACCTGTACAAGGGACAGAAAGCGTACGTCATGGTTATCCCTTGAGACATATTCATACTCTGGCTACTATTGGCGTTTTCCTTGTTCTCCCGTCCAGTGCTTCGCTTCGCCCATCCGAGAGCTGTTCGACGAGCAGTTGAGGCCACCCTGGGACGCGGTGGAAGTCCAAACACTTGCTCTGGTTTCATTTTCAGCACGCCCATATCCTTGTCAGCCATTTCTGGTGGAGGTGACATGATGTTCGGATTAATAGACACTTGCTGCAATACCTTGGACTGTGGTGGGGCTGCGGTAGTTTCAGCGCTCGCGTTTCTGTTGTCAGTGAACACGAATGCTGTAGCCCGCGCCTGTTCTGCTGCAGGTGAAGAAGAGAAGGACGTCTTAATTTGGCGAGGGTAAGGTGAAGGTCGTGAGTGAGTACGTGAGCGCATGCAACGTGGACGAAGATCCGAAGGAAGGGGTCCGTAGTTCTGTATGGAGTGCTCAAGAAGTGCCTGCATTCCGTTTGGATGCCTGGGAGGGTCAAAAGCTAAAAGATACAAAACGTCAGTTTTTCAAAAGCGCCAAATAAAAGACCTGAACGTACATTGAACAGCGAACACCGAAAAGGGAGTGTCCATCCAAACGCGCTTGCTCTCCTGTACAGTGTCTTGGGCCTCGTCTCTGAGTGCATAGTACTTCCGAAGTGCTGTAATACCACGCTCGTCGTCCCAGAGTGACATTGAGTCGACAGACGCAGTTTCAGGGTCAACGACATACACGGACGACATAGCGGCGGGACCAATAGTCTTGGTGGCAGATCCAGGGGCCATCGAGACTGTCATGGGAGAGCCTGCGACCGACATCTCCTCTTCTATTGTCTCGTAGATGGAAGCACGAGAAGCACGAGCTTGTGAGATTCGCCGACGATGACCTTGTCCGCGAGCACGGGGGCGGATCCTAGCGCGAGCAGCGTTTGACATAGGATATGTAGTGTTAGACAACATGTAGTTGATGTGAGAGAGATCGATGCTGGATTGAGAGCCTTCCGAGAAAGAAGAGTAGCCATCTGATGCAGAAAGTGGAGGTGTGTCTCCGCCAGAACTTGACGTACATGTACTGGATCGTGAACGTGTGGCGGGGCCAGGTCGAGAGAACACAGGTTGCGGGCGGACTGGAATAGGACATTAGTTCATTGCACCCATGGAAGAGATGCAAAGGCTTACAAGACATTGACAAGGATATATCCTCGCCGTCGGCAATGAGCGCAGATGCTTCGAGACTCTGTCTCTCTAGCAGTCCATGTTTAGCCCTAATCATACGTTCGTCGCCAAACTTGAACGAGTTGGCAGTCGACGCGATGGATGGCTTCGGTATTATCCTTGACATGTTTGGTGAGTCGTAACTGTTGAAAACGTCACCTTTGATCTGGAAAGCGGGTTCAGGAGCATCGAAAACTGTGTGCTTTTTCTTCTCCTGTCGAACACAAGGCGAACCTTCGATCTGCGACACGAGAGAGCGACGTCGAACGTGGCCTCCACCAAGCATCTACGGAGATGTGAGACAGGAGGGGCAAAAGTGAGAAATATATACTTACGCTGATCATGGTGTCATCTTCCCTAGCAGGACTGTGGACACTCATCTCACTAAGGACAGAAATAGGTCTATATCGACCAGCGGCATTTCGTCGCGGGTAGAAAGAGTCATCATTGCCAAAGACGCAGTCGGAAGAAACGGATGTCCTATGGCCAGTCTTGTCAAACAGCGAATCGTCCGGTAGGGTGTATGTGAATTTGGGTTCTTCGCCGTCCATGATGGAATCATACGAGGTCCTGTTACCATAATGATCATTTCTGACGCTGCCAGCTAAGCTTTCGGGTGGTGACGCCGAAATAGCGGTCAAAGGCATTCCATAATCAGGAGCCGAGTCGAGCATCTTGTCTCCAAGCCCGGGGCGCCCAACCTGAACAGCAGAGTAATCACTTGCCATGGAATCGACCGAGAAATCGGGGCGATGCCTCGCCCATGCAGCACGGCCACCATTAGCGCCATACATAGCATACGACTGAGCAACTGAACTTGTACTGGTGTTGGATTCGTTCCGGCGGTGGTGCCCAAAGCTACGATTGTACATACTAACAGGAGGAGCCATGGAACTGACCGAAGCAGTGGACTCGTGTCGACGATGACTGCGGTTGTAGGGGTGGACCTGTGAATGGACCGAAGACCGGCCTGCTCGGAAATAGAAGCTGGAAGCATCACTGTCAACTCGTTTTCGAGGTGCTTGACGATGAATGAATGAGAAAGTGTCGTCAACGGACATGGACATCGAGAAAGAAAAGTCGTCTGACGATGGCCTCTCGCGCAGGCTTGGCAAACCAGAAGGACCATACTCGAATGGATCTGATGAACCTGGGTTGATGACATGACCGTAAGATGAGACCGACGCGATGCTGAAAACCGATTCATGTCGACCATGGTGACCGTGAGAAGTAGCGCCTGGGGGAGGATAGAAATCGGGGCGATTGGCGAATTCAAAGCCACGTCTAACCTCAGCAAAGGAATCGAATCCTGCGAAGCTGAGGTCTGAAGAATTCCTGTAGTGACCCGGGATCAGCGAAGTCCTAGCCACTCCCCGAGCACGACGCTTCGAGCTGGAGTCTGAATCGAGACGCATCCGAGGGGCTGGGGATGGAATCTCTGAGGCCTTGGCGAAAATAGACTTCAAGACACTGTCATCTTCGATAGCAGAGCCTGTGGATAACGCACGAGCGTGAGATAAAGGAGGGATAATATCAGAGAGCGTAAGCTCCATTGGCATATCCTTAGGTTCTTCCTCAACCACCCTCGGAGGCGAAGGTCTGCCACCAAATTTGAAGTCCCTGTTCAACTGACCATCAGACGGCCTCGAACCCATTGAAGATACATTCTTGAGTATTTGGCGAGGTTCATCATCCATCAGTTCATCCTCGGTATGTTCGCTGCTCGCCAGACTATCGGTACCAGGAAGCAAAGATGGCTCGAGGTTGGCATCCAGAGGAAAGTCTTGACCGGAGTATGAAGCACAATCGCTGTACGTGCTGTCGGCAGCCATGGCCAGCTCAGCATACAGTGACGGGATCTTTGGTACAGGAGGTACATCACCGGACAACAAACCGTCGTTGAGCTGAACTCCAAAATCGTAACGGAGGTCAATCTTAGCTGGCGTACGGAAAGCATTCTCCAGCTGTTCCACGAAACTACGACGGTCAGATCCTCCAGATTCGTTGAGCTTCTGCAATTCTCCAGTGAAATCGAACGACTTCTTGGTGTCATCCTCGGAAGACATCCCTCCCTCATCGATATCGGCATGGTTGTCGTCTTCGTCGATAAGCTGAGCGCGGAACACAGGCATTTTGTCAGTAGATGATGATGGGCTCAGCTGTGGGGTAGGCAATGGCATCTCGGGAGGAAGACCTGGTGATGGTAATGGGGCCTCAACGAGATCAGGGCGGAAGGATAGCGTGTCGTCCACGTCATGAACAGAACCCCCATCAGATTGGCCAGACAGAATGACCTGGAGCTCGTCAGGGATATCAGAGTCAGGGTCACTCGCATCTAACTCCACATTTGCATTGCTTCCAACGGATCCACCCATTGTACCAGCGAGACCGAGATTCCGTCGGGCATCTGGGGCTATGGGCAAACTCGGGCTGCCAGAGGATTTACCAATGCTGCCTTGGTTCTTCAGGTACTCAGCAGGCACAAGTGACGAGTGCTTTCGAGAGTGGCTATGAGCCTTCTTGAAGACCGGACTAGCAGACAAACTACCATGCGAATCAGACTTGGAGTGCGCAGAGCCAAATGTAAGAGCTGACGGCGAGCGGTTGGCAGCATTGTCATTGACAGCAAGAGGCGTAGTTACGGGAGATGCGGCCGCAGTCCTAAGGGCAGCAATGGAGTACTTTGCCTTCGCAGGGCGCAATGGCTTAAACACCGGCGACGAATCCGTAGGGGGTGCAGGACTCATATTGTGGTCAGTTGGGAGCCTGAGAACAGGAATGTTCTCCTGCCCCACACTAGCCCTGACAGTGCCAGATGACTTCGCTGGGGAAATTGAAGCGCTGAGAGTGGTCCAAGGAGCAATGTTCTGACCGAGGATCTGGTCCACACGCGATACCGTTGAGGCCTTTCCCCGTAAGTGACCATACGGCCGAAGAGAATTCAACGACGCCAAGCTGGCACGTAAACCATTCTTCAAAGGGCTGTCCGCTGTGAGCCTATTCTTGACAGGGCTCCCATCGTTTTTGTGCTTCTCAGCGGAGAATGGCGATGATTTGAATGGTGTTCGGTCGGGGGTGGCAGGGGTGGCTTCGAGATCCAAATGGTTAATCAGCTGCGCAAGATCGTTGGTCGCTGCGTCCAAAATTGATATGACCCCGATATCTGGAGCAAAATGTGAGCTACAAAGGTGGGATGAGCATAATTCGACTTACCCTCGTCGTCTTCATAAAGTGGCCGTGGACGACTACGTCCCAACAACTGCTCAGAAAGAGGTCGAGGTCGCGCGCGAGCTCGTTTCACGGGAGTTTCCAACAGCGAACCATTAGACTCCTCGTCTATAGGGCTATGACCGTCAGCTGTAGCCTCCTCTAGGGTCAAAACAGGTGCCTCATGCTGTGCTCGATCTTTCTCAGCGAGTGGGAACACAGCCGCCAGCGGTGTACGTCTCCTGCTCTCCGAGGTCTTCCTACTCCCCCCATCCTTCTCGCTCTTCGACTTCCTCTTGCTCTTCTTCTTCTCTTCTTTCCTAGCCTCTTTGGCTTCCTTCCTGATCAACTTCTCTTTCTTCCTCCTTTCCCTTACAGTGTCCATCCCAGCCTCATCCCATCGCACAGAAGCAGCAGCTGAGCTGCCACCAGAAGATCCAGATACTCCCGAAGACGTTGACATCGGTCGGAGTGATGAAGCAGTTGACATCACCGAGCCAGAACGATCTCTCATCTGGAAGCCGCCCAGTATCGTTGCCGAGTCCACCGACAAACGGTTGTTCGCTGGTTGAGCAGTAGCCACAACCGAAGACGCCGTCGACCCGCTGCGTACCGATGGAAGTCGCATAGTCGTAGGCAAGCCCAATCCAATACCAAGGATGCTCGCCTTCTTCCTACCGAGGGTCTTGGACGTCATACCTTCAGGGCTCGCTGACAATGCGCCAGCCTCAAAGCTACTCCCAGAGTAACGTATCGTCTGCGCCTTTTCTTTCTCCTTCTCTTTTTCCTTCTCCTTTTTTTTCTTTTTCTTTTTTGGTTCGCCCTTATCCTTGTCTTTGTCCTTGTTCTCCTTCAGCTTACTCTTCACAGGTGCGTCGCCTTCCTCTGGATTGCCCATGTTTTTTAGCTGCGCCCAGCTGCCTATTCTTGCCAAAGACCTGACTGATCTCATGGCACGGATGGCGACAGAGTTTTTGCCATTGCCTACCGCACCAGGCGGTAAGAGTAACCCGCCAGTAGCAGGCGCGGCAGGATCAAATGTGGGCGTAGCAGATCGCTTGGGTAAGTTATCTGTTGCGAAGGTTGGAGAATTGGATCCCGATGATGGACAGTGCGTTTGAATGGGACTATCAAGAAGGATACCCGAGTCTAGCGAATTGAACCGTGCCCGCGAGTCAATAGGTTTTAAAGGCTTCGCGGTCGGTTCGGGAGCTATATGAACAGATGTCAGTAAGAATTTGGTCGATATGTGTCTGAACTAACACTTTGCTCTATCCTTCTCTTTTTCCTTCTCCTTGGAATCTTTCCTCCCGCGGCCAATACTCCACCACTTCTCCTTCTCATCAACCTTCACTTTCAATAGGCCATCCTTGACCTTCTTATTCTCCTTATCCTTCTGCTTCGTTGTCGTTGGGACATTCGTTACCTCTCCCAGGGCACCCCACCGAAGCCCGTCTAACCCAGCTCGTGATTTCTTCTTCTTCACCATCAAAAGCTCACCAAGATCCGGATCCTCCGTAGGGTCGACATATATTTCGTACCCTCCATTCCTACTTGTCGAAGTCGAACCGCCAACACGTCGGACGACGTCAGAGAAGTCCTGTGTGCGTTCTTTGGGTGCACCGATCCCTGTGCCAAGCATACCGAGCTTGGATTTCTTGGGGACGAGTCGTTTGCGTGGTAGGTTGGCGTCTTTAGGTGCCAGCGGTGATGGTGAGGGACCGTTCGCCCATGGTGCTACTTCGTTGCGGTTGACTGTCGTGTTTGCCTCTGATGGGGTTGCAGCGACGAAGCGGATCGTGGGGATCGGTTGTGGTGGTGTTGCTATTAGGGAAGGCGAGCCAGCGCGGACGTGATCAGTGGGTTGTCGAGCGAGGATTGGAAGCGTATTGCGCATCTCGTGTTGTTAGAAATAAAAATTGAGAAAAAAAAGTCGTTATATGCAGATAGATGAAAAACGGAAATCGTTAAATCGTATGTCGTTAGTAAAACAAGTCGTTGAAAGTCGAAATAAAAGAGGAGAAAGATATGTGCAGTCGTTAAATCTATGTGTCGTCAAGGTCAATGCAATAAACTTGATGATGTTCGTTTCGTTCTGTTCGTTTCGTGAGATACGAGTCGAGTCGATGGCGAAAACTTGAGTCTTGATGGACGCGTTATGGTCGTGTTGTCGAAAGCGAATTCGTGAGCTGAGAAATTCTCGTTAATTCCTGGTTTTTTCTGGGTTACGAAGCGGAATCCCTGAAAAGTTTTTTCAACTTCAGCTTTCGCATGAACATTCGGTTCACGACAGAGGACGAGCGCACCTTGAATACGTACTGTGCGAATGTTGAGGAAAGCAGGCCTCGCTGCAGCAAACGGCGACGACGACGCCGAGGACAGCGAACACTTGTCTTGAGGATACTTACTGGCTTTCCTATGCAGAGACGCGAACGAAAGAGAAACGCCTGAGGAGAACTTCACCGCCTTCCGAAAGTCGAACATGGATCAAACACGAGGCGTTTGTTGCTGTGGGCGTACAACGTCCGAATCGACCAAACAACGCGTAAACACGGCGCGTCTCGAAATCAAGAAGCACGTGATGCATCGTTGCCGAGTTCATTCATTTCCCTTCTCCTTTCCCTTACCACTTCATTTCGCACCTGTTGCAGCACTCATTAACGCGTCGACAACGACAAAAAAGCAACATTTCGAGATGGATAACTGCAAATTCCTCTCTTGAAGACGCACTCGGGATTGCGCAGCCTGTGTGAAGCCCTCTCATGGCCCAAATTGGAATAAGGGCGCGGTCCTTAGTTCCGAACTAGAATGGCATCGTGAGTTGGAACCGATCAACTGACCTCACGGCATTACAGTCAACATGACGAGACTTTGAACTTGTATGAAATTCATCTTGGAGTCGCAGCACGCAGTGGTCATTGACAATAATGCTGCATATCCGAACCCCCACAAACCTCATCGAGCCCGTTGTCAGTCGTCGGTGAAACTCGGTCTCCAATATATCCACCCTGCCCGAATGAGACACTTTACATCGCGTGCCCGAGTCTTTGTTCCTCCCGTCCTTATGCTCCTCGGTATGAATCTTCATTCAAAATCTCACTGCATCCGCATGGCAGCCAGGGGCACGCATGATCATCGGACTCGGTGTACTGTGCTAATACCTGATATGCAGATCTGCGTCGTGTCAGATCGATTAGAAACTCAATCTACATTGTACTCAAATCCCATGTGGTCCGGTCACTTCATTGGTTTCAAATCGCGCATACAGTAAACGTACACCCTAAATTTATCAGCCAGCTGCGGGGTCGCGCTGGCGGGTATGGGCCTCCGCAGTCATTTCTATCTTCCTCAGGGGCCGATCGTGTTGTACGATTACCAATACTGTCTGTGTCTCAGCCATTCTCACGTCAACACCTTCACTTCTCCATCGATTGCAAACACACGAACACTATACATGATATAAACATCAACAACACTCCATACAACAACATCAAGGTCCGATCAATACTAAGAATCGTACACTAGATCAGTATATATAACAGTAGTAAGTAGGTAAGTAAGGGGTCCAGTAGTAAACTATTTAGTCGTAACAAAGCAAGGAGTGTAGGTGCTATTGTGCATTGTGAGCAAGTTAAAGGGTTCCAATGAGTGGCGATTTAAGTCGGTATCATAGTATGAAACGAAGGTTAGTGTCCTACAGTCCAGTCAAATCCGATCAGCTGAGCCCATGGTATGACAGGTGCGTGTGCAACTTACGATAGGATGAGAACTAGATAACTGGGGTTTCTGGCTATAGCGACTCTTCAAAATCTCTCTGAAATAGTACGTAACCTCGATTAGCCAGCGTCAATGATCAAAACGAATAACGAACCTGATAGATCTCAACAGCTCCTGATAACTCTGGTTCGGATTCCGGCCTAAACATCGTACATCAGTCAGTCTTGCCATTCTTTCCGCAGGAAACAAGGCAACGAACTCAGTGATGTCGCAAACGCCTAGTGCACAATCAGGGCTCCGCTTAGCTTGGGTGTTAAACACTCAAAATAGAAGCAGAAACGCACATAGCTCATTGCACCAACAGCCACACCTCCCTGGAACGTATCCGCGCTTGTCTGGTCGTCGCGACATCCACACCAACTTACAACATCCGCTTGAGTCGACTTGTAGGCTCGTGCCTGACTCGTGACATGGCTACCTTTCAGTCGACCATTGGAATGATACTAAAAAATCATCGGGTCGTTTAGTCATTGTGCTGTTCACATGCTGGTCGAAATGGGTAGTTTGTGCTCACAATATAGGGCAAATCTAGATGGAGTACGTCAGCGGTTTGACATTGCGGTGTAAAGATCGCTTGGGACGTACCAAGAGCAGTCCCTGAATGACATGACTAGCGCCACCATATCAGTACTTCAATTGCCAGAATTCTCAATTCTATAACCACTTACATCGAAAACGGCCTAAGGAAGCACTGTTAGACGTATTGAACGGAGTAAAGTATCGGAAAAACCTCACCGTCAAACGGCAATGTGGTGGAAGAGATTTAACCTTTAGATAAATGAGTTGTTTCAGAAGTTCGGATGGAGCTCAAGGTGACAAACCATAATCCTATGCATTTCCTATTTCCACGTTCTGTCAGCGACGAAATCACAAGGAATATTCATAGACACTACTCACGTCGTCAAGAATAAATCCGGCCCTCTTGTGGTCAACGGGGTATATCACTGGCTCGCGTAATCAGAACACTTGGACTATCGACACAATCAGAAATCCTACTGTACCTTGGTCATATCCATCAACTTCATCGCCATCTTTATCAGGGGTCTGTCCTCCATGACCCGAATCTGGAAAACGCTCAGACATCATTTAGAAGGGTAAGGGGAATGCGTAAGTGCTCACAATGAAAGAACAGGGAATCGTGGGGCTTGGCACCTTTCACAAGCCATGCCATGCCGTCAAGAATGTTCTGTCTAGTCGGCATCTGGCGTGGGTTCTCCGTATCATCGATAAGCATGACAATATCCCCATCTCTGTATCCCCAATAACCTACAACTCCCCCGTCAGCTACTCTACACCGCGCACTATAATTATTCATGGCGGGACACGCACGAGTCAGGAAAATCTTAACGTTCTTTACATCATTTATACATCCTCTTAGAGGGCGAGCTTGCCCTTTATAATTAATACCAATCTAGATATCATGGAGAAACGATCGTCAGAACAGGCACTAGGACTGCAAGGAATAAATATACTGACACAAAGAGCCTTCTTCTTGCCTGTGCAATTCGAAAGTTGGGAGCCGGGCCGCTGGAGATACTTCTGCGGCTGCGTGCTTACAGGGGGACGAGGAGCCGGCCGGCGGTAAGGCGCCTGATTATGCTGTGTACTCTGCTGCAGTGGCGGTGGCTTCTGGCGTAACGTTTGGTGGTGACTTCGCGAGGGTGTTTGATGGTGACTGCGTGAAGGCGTCTGTTGGTAAGCGACAGGCGCTCGGGGCATACTAACAGACGGAGGAAGAGCGCCCGGAAAGGGTCTAATACGTGTCGGCGGAAACAAAAATATGAGAACTAAATCGAACTTCAGGAAAAGACAGGACCCACTGAGAACTACAAATCAGTGGGATATAGATATTAATAACGGTGGAAAACTTCAAATTGTCTATTAGCACTCACCCTCGTGAAGGGACCCTCTGCGTAGGTTGACGTGGCCCTCTCAGACTATTGGAAGGTGGGCGAGATCCGCTCGAAGGTGCAATACGAGGCGAAGCGCGGGGTAAATTTACAGACGAGCTACGTGGACGGGGCACGTATGGTGATGGTGCTGGCACTGGAGGCAAGCCCAAGGGTATAACAGGGGAAGGATACGTATTGCGTTCTCTCATTGGCCTAAAACTCGTCAGTTACAATTGCTGCATTGCTCGATGAGAGAGAAATGCTACCTTTCAGAAATGCCAGGTCTTCGAGAGGTCAAATTGTCAACTAGGTCCTTCAGTGAGAGACAAAACGTACATACGATGGCACTGGAAATCCCGGGGGACTCTGAGGGGAAGACGGTCCATTTCGCGGGACCGGGTTGCCTCTGTAGTCCCACATCATGTTGACCTGCGTATACGCCTTGACGCGGGGGAATAAAACGAAGGGTAGACATCCGGGCATGGTTGTAGCGTTCCAGTACGGGTGTGTTTCTGTCATCGGATGGTTTAAATAGTGCGAAAATAGGAGAACTCACACTAAGACTAAGGATATCTATGGGGGGGTGAGACAGGTAAAGCGCTAAGCTCGCTCGCCGCCAGCGGCTTGTTTTGTCCTGTGACAGAGCCCGAGCTTCATCTGAATCTCAGGCCGAGCACTCGACTCGGACTTGGTCGCGGAACTGTCGAAACGGCTTAACGGGGGACTTACGTCAGCAGCGACATTTCCATTTCAGGACTGGTCAGTTTCGCTGGCGCGAAGTCTGCATTTTGTCACTCGCGTCCTTTTGTAGAAAAAGTGAACATAGCCTCATCGCAACTGATGACTCACCGATAACTGCGTGTGCTATGTGTCAGTGTCTCCATTGTATTCTTCAGTAAGTCCAAGATCATTCCAACTGCGATGAGTCAACCACACGTCTTTGTTTTACTCTGGTGGCTTGTGCAGTAGCGCACCAGTTATTCGGGTGAATGCAAGTGTAAGGGTATATATATACTCTGCGTATGTGCTTGTGCCCATGCTCAAACGTCTCTATTTCCAGCTCAGCGCTCACAATGCGCACAACTGTGGTACATAGCCATTAGCACTGGAAAGCTGTCATCGACCGGTGTCTTTCGTGCGATTTTGGTGCATGCCTCGAGGCGTACGTTATTGCCTTTATACTATACTGCTTTGTTTGGTTCGTTGACGCACACCTGGGGCCTATCTAGCTGGCAATCTCGACTTATTGTCCTTCTCTTATAGCCACCACACATGGCATCCTCGGGACAGACTCATCGGCCTTTCCAAACAACCTAGTGGCTATCCTATGCTCACACAATTACTTTACACGTGTACTGTGCTATATAATGCATAGCGATCCTCTGTTTGGCATAAACATCGCCCGCCTCTCTACAATACCATCTCTACAGACCTGGGTAGTATATACGTCTCACCCCAGTTACGTTCTAAAACCGACATCCCGATCCTCCAGACAAGAATGAGCCAGCAGCAGGTCATGTCGCCTCCATCGCCCTTCAATCGGGGCGAAATCTATCCCACCTTCAGTGCATCTTATGAAATATATCGAGGGACTATCAACAACAAACCGGTGTTTGCGCAGACATGTAGACTTCAGAGTCCTCTGCAAACACGCGAGCACCTGTCCGATGATTTTATGCAGGTGAGTTTACCACGATTCTTATGTTGACGCCCAACTGGACTTCCATCTACTCACAGGCTTTTTCGAAACGCCTGGAAAGCTGGTCAAAGTGTAACCATCCGAACATCGTAACGCTGATAGGACACACTCTGCTGGAAGACAGTATACCGACGTTGTTTATACCAACTTACAAGAATGGTTTCGCACACGATTATCTATTGAAAAACCCGAGTTGCGACAGATTGCGCTTGGTAGCCTAATTCGTCATATTCCAGCGTATGTAAAGCTCACAGCCCTGGTACACAGGTTTCAGGCATCGCAAAAGGTCTGCAATACCTACACGCTATAAAGTCTCCCATAGTCCATCAAGACATGAGATGTGTACGTCGTGGTCGTGTTCCCACTTCTGATCTTTTGCCTTACTGACATCCTTTCAAGCAAAATATACTCGTCGATGACAATGGAGAAGGCTGTCTGACTGCCGTAGGCACACGTTTTATGTTCAAGGATCCTCTCGGACACTCGGTCCACTGGACTGCACCTGAAGTCTTACGATCCAGAGAAAACGATGACAATGACGATGTGGAGATGACACCTCCTTCTGATGTATACAGCTTTGGGATGACTGTTCTTGAGGTATGTCGTCTGGGATCTGAATCTGCTTCTTTTTCTTAATCTATAATGTCATTGCTAGATCTATTCGGGACGTCTTCCTTTCCACGAAAAAAATTCTTGTCAAGTGTTGCTAGATGCCTTGAACCCTCAAGGTAATCGTAAACTGAAACGCAGCGACTATCCATCCCCCCCGGACGATATCTGGAGGTTGATAACAAAATGCACTTCAGAAGAGCCGTCACAGAGGCCCACTATGGACGAAGTTATTCGAGATCTTACAGCTTGCTAGTAGCTCAATCTTCATGTTCTCAAGTTCTTCAATTCGTTCTATTTACCGAAGTATACCGTATTTTCGCTGGACGTTGATACACTTACCTGCTATGATGTGCTCATTCTCGGGAATCAAAATATTGCGTGGCGCATAAGGTTGAGATCGGTTGAAATGGTAGTGGGATCCAGGGAATGATCATGATCGATCGTACGGGAGTCGATCATGGCTGGTGGCATTCATTCTCGCATGGTCGATTGGTTTGACGTCACAGGTTCCTTTTCCTTCGAAATCTGCACGTTTATAGAAAGGTCGATAAAACCTGAAACGTACGACGGATACGGATCTACGCGCTTCGAGGCTAACAGGAACGACGAAGTCATGCAGGGCGGGGGATAGCTCCCGATGCGTGACGAGTCAGATGATTATAATCAGTGGTCATGGTCAGCGAGGACTCGGAAAGTGTGGCGTTGAAGCTGTAGGTGAGAATGAGTCCTTACACATGTGAAACAAAGGAAAGATACACTGCGGTTGAGCCCCTAGGTTTTTTCGAAAATGTCAAGGAGGAAAGGTCACAGCGTTTAAAAAGAAATCAAAAAATCAATAGGCATAGGGCCAGACACGGATCATCACGCTGTGTATCCACTGCGCCACTTCCATTTTTCTGGGCTGCATACCAGAGTAACGCTTCTGATCCTGCATCCTGTGGGGATCTAGGATCAGCAAGGCTATGTTAGTATGGAGAGCTCCTTTGTCTTTTCCGCGTCCTTGCGATTATCCCAGGGAATATCTGCATCTACAATGTCTATTCGCACCTGGAGCAGGTGATCAATGCAGCAGCTTGCCTCAAAAGATCGGACTCGTCACCCGTCTTGTCTAGTTTTACGATGTCCGCAAAATCCAGTGGCGAGTTGATTTCATTCTGTGTCGCCAGATTAAGCCATCTAAACACTAGTTCTTTGGATTTCAGCTGCGACAAACCACATAGAGTGAAAGGAAAGGAACGATTGCAACGATACGGACATACCTATATGAAAAGCATATGACTAATTAATGGATCATATACAAACTGAGAAGATCGTCATTAATGAAATCCACAATTACACGTAGACTTACATTCACTCTATACTTCACAAATATACTGCTTCAGCGCGTCGTCTGAATCCAAACTCTAGGAAGAGTTCGGTTTCAGAGGTGCTCAATCCATACCGGCGTTGCTGGCTGTGAAATTTCCTCGTTATCTCTGCAAGCCAAGAATAAACGAGTAAGTCAGACTAAATATTCCGTACAATGTATTCCATGTGTCGACAATAAGTCTTCTAGTCCTCGTGGTCAGTGGAGTACTATATAACTGGTTTATAAAATAGGACAAGGAAATGTATTTGTCTCTGTTTCTCGGTTTTATTCGTGACGTTATCTTGCTGTATCGTTCTCTTCGTAATACACCAACTCTACACCAGTGTCTCCACGTCCTTGGAAAGAAACGCACGAGCCAGGAAAATTTCAACTTTCTCCGCTTCACCAGTCCATTCTCTTAGTGGGCGAATTTACTCTTATAATACACACAATTTAAACGCCAGCAAGAAAGTGAGCAACTGAGCAGCGCGAAATGCAGGCTTCTAGCATAAGTTCTCTATTTTCCTGCTATATGGCACATTGAAAGATAAAGAAACATCCTACTGGAGTGACACGATCATGCTCACACGCATCGTGCTGATCCTAGACTCGATCCCCTCCAGCGACTTATCTGCATGGCCACGGCTGTGCCCTGCGTCAATTCGGACGAATCATCAAACTGTCAGCTCTTTGCGTATCCAAAAGCTGAACGCAGAACGTATGTGTACGTACGTCATCAGCGACTTTTTGAACTTGCTGGCATGGTACAGCATTCAAGTTTCGTCGTTCACTTTCTTTCGAGAAAGACACTCCAGGACCGATGGCGATGATTGTACCACACATAGTACTGCATCTTATTAGAAACCACTAGTGGAATGTTCTGTTGCATGTTAGTCACATTTAATGGAGTTTCTCAAGTGAGTCATTGTTATCTTAACTGGAATTCGATCGGTAGTAACAATTATCCGGACATGGGTCTAGAAAGTGTGCTATTCTGGAATAAAACAGCCTGCTGGGGCTCTGCAGGCTGAAACTAGCATTCAGATGTACAATCTGCTCAAATACTTGCAACGGGCAGATATGTCACCAAGCTCATGCTGCACCAGCAACATGACGGCTCATGGATACCTAACACTATACCTTTGACGGCGCCGTTGATTACATTAGCATGCGTCCGATCGTGTATGTTGAAATTTGTATATCTCTATCACAACTAAACTAATTTGGTGCATCGATGATGTCCTTCTGTCAGATGCGCTTCACCCATCCTCCCCCCGTGCCAGACCACAATGTTGCCAGAGACAAAAGCGTGAAGGTGTGGTTTCTGTGTGACAGGTAACAATGCGGGACTTGATAACTGCTCTATTTTTTGGGCTGGAAAAATTTTGAGGAGGGTTTTTGAGGCCGTAGAGTTCACACAGAGAGTTATCTATAGTTGTAACAACCAAGAGTTAGTTACTCTGGCGCACACAAGAACACACTGTAAAGGTAGTGATGAGGGAGTGGTTACCCCTTAAGCTGCAGAGAGTTTGTTGGTACACAACAGGAGGACTCGCTGAGGAGTCTCTTTGATCTATTGGGGTATTTATACTAATACAGAGTGTTTGTACCTATATACTGTACAGTTTGATAAAAGCAGTGGCTGATGATGTCAGAGGGCGCAGCCCGTGTGACCAGCTCCACTGCGTGAGAGAGTTTGTGTCTAAAAGAAGAATAAAAGCAGTGCTGCGCGAGAAGGTGGAGTTAGAACGAAAAAGGAAAGTGCCGCATGGCACGGAGTGTGAACTATAGTAAAAGATTAAAGCGGAGAATGAAATTTAAAGGAAAGGTCCGAAAATTGTGTTATTGTAACAATAGTACACTGTAAGTGGAACATGCTTATCAGATAATTGTCTGAATCCCCAGTACGCCCGAAAAGATGGGGAATGACAGTAGTTGTGCCAGTTTGATAGGTATCAGGAGATGTGACTACGTAGTGTTCGAATACTCCATACATCCGAAATGGTGGGGGGGCGACAGTAAACCATCCATTTTCACCGGGTCCAACATAACCAGGTTTTGACCCTTTCATCAAATTCACCGTCATCTTCTGAAACAGTACCTTGTGAAAGGAATGTTCATTGCTGTTATTGTCTGATTGAGACGGGAGATTACGACTACCTGCACTGCACGTGTTTTCTCATATAAGATACATTTGTCTCTAACTCTCTGTTTAATCCTCTATTCTACACGAACCTTTTAGTTCATCGGCTCCACCCATTAGCAGCATCTTTACAGACTCTGTAAGTCTGCACATTGTCCTAATCCGCTCACATTCTAATGTCGACATCCTGACCTCCAGGAAGAAATGAGCCAACCCAGCCACCAGTTCATATCGTTGTCATCACATTTTGTGAGGGGCCAAGTTTATTCTACCTCCAGTCCATTGTATGATATATATGGAGGAACTCTGGACAACAAGCCTGTGTTCGCGCAGATATGTAGATTTGTGAGCCCTCAGACAACCTCCAGACAGGAGTCTGATGGTTTCATTCAGATGATTTCACTGTTATTCCTTTATATCCTTCGTTGAAGTCTTGTCTACCTGTAGACACTGTCTAAACTTTTGGACATCTGGGCAAAGTGTAATAACTGCAATATTGTATTGTTTAAAGGCATATACATGGTAGATGATTGTATATCATTGTTGCTTATCCCAGGCTATACGAATGGCTTCGTAAAACAGTACTTGGAGGACAACCCACATTGCAACCTATTGCGCTTAGTAAATCATTTTGTCGTGCTTTCGCATATGTAATACTCACAGCTATCACACAAAGGTCTTGGGCATTGCGGAAGGCCTGAAATACCTACACGCTATGAGACCTCCAATTATCCACCGGGATGTGAGAGCTGTATGTCCTTATCCCCTCCCGCATCTTTTGCTTACTGACTATCTATCAAGCAAAACATTCTTGTCAACGATGATGGAGAAGGCTGTCTGACTGTCATAGGCACAAGTCTCATTCACCACCCCTGCAGCATGGACATTGACCCTATTTAGCTCGCAAGCCCCTGGATTGCACCCCAAGTCCTACGTCTTTATGTGAGGAAGGATGATGGCGGCAAGTTAGTAATGACATCTGAATCTGATGTATATAGTTTCGGGATGACTGTTCTGGAGATATGTCATCTGCAATATGACTCCACTTTCTCCCCTCTATTGAGTACCCTAATGCTAGAATTTTTCTGGACGTCCCCCTTTCCACAAGAAAGGACCTTACACTTCTGTTCTCGACACCCAGAAGGCGTCTTAAACTGGATCGCTCCATCTACCTTAGCATCCTGGACAACGTTTGGAGCTTAATAACACAATGTACGCCGGAAGGCCCATCAGAAAGGCTCAGTATGTGCGAGGTCGTCTTGTGACATTAACAGGATTGGATGATCGGAAATCATAATAGCTAGCTCTGTGACTTCCATTTGTTTTTCAAATATGATTGTGCGGTTATGCTTTGTGAGAGAATTCCATAACTATCGATGACTGGTCAATGCATGTATTTGCCCCGATGGTTGCACGCTTACGTGCAAGCGTGCAGGGTCGATAAATTTCGGACATGCGTTGTGGACGGAGCGATGGTCTTGCGATACATGCACGCATCGCAGCAGAACAGCCCAGATAACGGTCAGATGATGCTAATGTGACAGTAGGCAGGGAATAGAAAAGTGCTGTGATGTCTTTGTGCACCTGGATACTGCTCCAAGGTCCCCACAAAAACTAAACTACTTATTGCCTAAGAGCCTGTGCGGTAGCTCTAACTTTTGGTTCAGCTAGCACCTTCAGTTTGGTTAATGCCCATCCAAGTTGGGGTACCCCAAGCAAAAAAGGTGGTGCTTCAACTTACTTTGCAGTGCTGCCATCAACACTGTAATGTTCCCAAATAGGTACTACCATTGTTGGAATAGTCAAGGTCAAAAGCCTGTTAGCCTTATTAGACAGCATACATCATAAGTTGACATTAGTACAAGGGCTGGTAGCTCAGTTGGTTAGAGCACCCACCATACATAGGCAGAGGTCCTGGGTTCAATCCTTGGCTGCTTTTATGCACTCCCTGTGATTAGGTGGCTATGTGAGGTCATATGGCTAAATCCAATAGTAGTATGTAGGATAAGATGAACAATGTGACAAAACCGGATAAACCTGGTCTCTGCCAAAGCAGCCATTGTTCTCCATGGAGCATAGCCACCACTCCATGGAGTCACCATTGTTCTCCTAGGAGCACAATTGTACTCCTAGGAGTCATTATACTATAGCGAGTAGCACCTCTGACTATAAGTAGTAGGGGGTTTAGTATAGAAATACCTCAGTCGTTTCTATAGCCTCTTGGGCAGCGGCTGAGTTTCACTTAGTTTTATTATAATGAACAATAAACAATAACAGTGCTTGTGCTGCTGTCTCACTTTTGAGCTGGCCCTCCCTTCTACAGAGGCAGCAAAAACTAACCCAATCATCAACCATCATCACTTCTCCTGGATTAGCTGTCTTCAACTTTGCCCAACTGCTATAAGGACCCCTGATAATCCATATGAAACCTTGATGGGGTGTCTGGACAACATTTGGGAAAAATGACAAAACACCTACATGGGGATCCGGACAAAAATCCCAAAAATTGTTTAATCTTGATAAGGTGTCTTGACACAGGTCCGGACACCTGGAGCAGAACCTTGTTGAGCTATCCTGATATTGAAGGAGGTCTATTAGAGTCAAGATATGAAGAAATTGTACAGCATGATTTAGTATACTGGTAAAGTTATGTTTGTTGTTGTACTTAGCTGTCCATCCTACATGGTTTGAATCTCAATGATTGATTATTTTGCTTTCTGTACTATGGAATGAAATTTGTGGCACAATTTTGTGGGCCAAATAAACATTTTGATGGAAATTTTTGTAGTACCCTTTGCTGAACCACAATATGCACGGCATGGATTTAACTATCAAATCTCCTATTTTCAATCCCTTGGAATGGATAGGAGTTGGTCATAAGTATCCAACCAATCATATACCAGTCTCCCTTTCAGACGCACATCAAGCAGCATTTGCTGTCCCTCCACAATACAACAAAGTACTGCATAGCAGTCACTCAATGTTACGCACAAAGTGCTTAACAAAGTCTGAGGGTTTGTTGAGGTTTCAAAGAGACTTATCTGAAGACAAGTTAGAGGACGTAGTTCTGAGTAGAGTTCTTCCAACAGCAATTGGTCTTCTTATGAGTAGAAGTCTGATCTTAGTAGTCTAGCTTTGTAAGCGTAAACTGCGTAGAATTGTATTGAAGAAATACTACTACTGTTACAAGGGTATTTATAGGAAATAGGATTGGTGATAGGAGTTAGGTCCTATCTAGGGGAGGTTTGCCCGTTGAGGGCTAACTACTATACTAGGCAATGCAGTCTGCGAAGAAAACGGAAATGTACGTGAAGGAAATGAGTCATCGGTCCGATGGTATAACTGATGAGTAAGGAAAAATGAGTAGTCCATAAAAGGAGTAGAAGTTGCAACACTCAATAGCTAGGCTTCTCAAGTTCAACTTCCCTCCCTTGTCATCTGCATTTATCACCATTAAAGCCAAGAATTGGTTTAGCCATGATGAGCCCACCAGCAGTGTGGAAGGACTTACCATACGGCCAATCCCATGTGATAGCTTCCTTTAAGAGCTGGAAGTTGCATCAAAACAGGAATGGCTTGATGGTGCATGCTCAATGATTGACTGGAGGTATAATGACGGCTGTGAAAGACTGCCTTTATGGGTCCTTTCCGCTTGCAAAGACCTACAGACAGTTATCAAAGTTCGTGACATGTGGAAAAAAGCTGGAGACTGGCTTGCCAGTGATAGCCGCTTGAAGGATAATGCCATACAGGAATATGAATACACCAAAAGGATATTCTTAACCTTCAGTTGAAATGCCCCCATCCAAGGATACCCATCCGTTGACTCTATCAGCATCACTACAAAACTACTCATTGTGCTTCTTGGAACAGACTAGATTAATGATGAAGTGATGGATATTATGATGGAGCAAATGACTTACCGTGTCTCTGAGTCCAATGCATCAGAACCATATTTGGCTGTAATTAGAGGGACAATGTTTGTAAGGGCAATTTATGCAACAGGTGGGAAAACTGACATCACAAGGACGGGATACATTAGTGTCTTGAAATGGTATGAGAAGTGTATGAAAGAAGTACCGTCTTGTTGTTCTACTTTCCGGTGTTCACAAATGGTAATCACTGGATTGCCATGTTCATTGATGTAGGAGAGAGGTCTATTGGATATGGTCAGTTCTGCACGTTGCATGTAAACCCAATATAGGAGACTCTCTTGCCGGTAAAGTGCAAACACCAACCAAATTTATTCATTCCCTTCAACAATAGATTCTTTCTTGGGTTGGAGTTTAATTCACAAACCTTGGGGATATCTTGCAACACGGAGAACAAAAGGACAGCTATTCATGTGGCATATGTACAGTCAACACAATCTCTCATGCAATTTTTGGTGATGGTTTGTGGTGTGATGGTAGTTGATCTAAGGAGCGAGTGAATTGGTTTTGCACTCTTGCTGAAAGACACATGAATGAGGTATGGAGAGGAATAGAAGTTTAGAGAAGCACATAAAACTGTCAAAGACTTCACTATGCTTGACTTCTAGTACATGCTTCCAAAACTGCATATCAAGCTCCATAAAGCAGTCTTTGCAGGATACACAAGCAATTTCAGAGGAAGGGCCAAAGGATACAATCATACACATTATCTTGACATTCTTGCACTATCTCGGTTCCCATCAGATATTGAAATAGAAAATGCAGCAAGCCAAGCAATAGAAGAGTGCGATAGCCTTGTTGCGCTACTTGGGTTGAATCCAATTCAGCTGCATTGAACCATCTCTTCTCAAAATCATATTTGGTTACCAAGCATTCATTTTTGGCTCAAAAGCAAGGTTTTGACTAATACTATGCATGGAGATGGGTCTGATCCTGGCTCAGATACTGGTGAAGGCTCAGATTTGGAGTCAGAGGTTAACGAGAATGCAGAAAACGAAGACGTTTGTGAAGCTTAAGAACTCCAATACCTCAATGAATATGTGGTTTTGCCATTTTTGATGCAATTGGATAACAGCACAGATAAGCAAAAGATACTTGCCGAACTTACCTTTGCATCACTAACCCTCAATGTTGACAACATGTCTCAAGTGTAAGCTGACCATTAAATTACACCTGCCTCTTCTTGCTCACTATTTCTTTTTCTTGTCTAGGTTGGGTCTTCTAGAACTTAAAGAATATGAGGAATACATGGATGAAATATACGCAGAGGAAACCCATGCCATTCACAGCACTATTAAGATTTGCTCAACCATTAAAGTCCCCAATGCTGCAGGTCACCAATGAATTGAGCAAGCTATTTGGAAAAGGAGAGCTTCTGGATAGACGAGAAATTAACCTGCAACAGCTTGTTACCATGTGACATAAACATGAAACCTGCCAAGCCAAGCTTGGAGTGCGTACTCAAACCTCCAAGCCATCCCATGACCTGGATAATACTACCTCTCAGCTGCGCACACTCTCAAGAGACAGCTCAGCCAAGAAAAATAAAGTTTGTGGTGATCTTATATGACAATTCCAGTCCATCCTGGACAAGCAGCAAGATCAAGCAGTTGGCTCCGGCCGTGAGCGCGCAGTAAGGTGGATTTCAAATATACTTGCCAACAATGTTGAAAGCGAGCGAAGCGGCAATGTTGCAAATGCCATACTGGTAGCAGAATAACTTGCCTCAAAGGTTAGTCATATTGAGTCTGCAGCTTGTAGCTAGATGCTCATGGTGTTTGACTTGTAGTCAGCAGCTCAAAGAAAGAATATCTTCCAGACTATAGACATCTTGTGCTTATCAATTGTGGCAGGAGCTTGTGTTAGTGCAGTTCGGCCTCTACAACCCACTGATTTGGCATTTATCTTTACCAAACATGATGGTCTTATGATTGGGAAAAGTGCACTTTTTTGCTCTGCTCTTCTTTACTGTTTGCTAACTTGTCTACCAGTTCTGACAATCAACTCTAAATCTGCTGGGAAAAATGCTAGCCACACAATAGTAAAATGTGTCAAAAACATCTGCATAGCCTCAAACATTACCGTGCAAATCTATCAGCACTTTTTCTCCCAGTTTTGCCTTCTCGAGCAACTGGTCAAGGTCTCTGGAAACTATATCCATATTGGTAACGAGGACTACAAGATGTTCAACATATTTTCTCGTGAGCTGGACAAATTCAAGAAAGCCCCAAAGCCTTTTTTGCTCAGGGCACCCCAACTTGGATGGGTGTTAACCAAACTGAAGGTGCTACTATTGTTGGACACCAGATGCAACCAGTAAGAGATATGCATTTGGGCCTCCAGAGGCTTAATGATCACTGTACAGGTAGCTAGAAATTTGTCAGATGTAGAATAGAGTATAGAGACTATATCTGTGAAAGAATTTAGTGAATAGCTTATCTGTAGCAACAACAACAGACCTGACATGATGTTCTTAAACTCCAGAAGTGTAAATTTTGAGGGAAAGATGGCCAGATTTGACCAGCTCTTGTGTTGGGAATATTGCAATTTCTCTCTAGGAAACGTCAATAGGTAGGCCCCTAGTCTGGAGAAACAAGAACAATGATGAAGTCGTGACTAGGTGACCAAAACAGGCAATCACGCACCAAGATAATCAATCAAAGCCCACTAGCTCCGCTTCAGTACGTACTGCACATACCAGTGTCAGGGCTTGGTATGACCCCCAACCTGCTCGGCTAGCTCGCGCTTATCATATTTGCCGATATGAATTTGTGAGCTTGCAAGCAGGCTGGGACCACTTATTGCCATTTTGTGAGGAGGATGAATTCCTCACCAAAGATGAGGTGGGGACTTCGTCGTAGGGACTCAGAAGTCAGAAAAAAATGTCAAAAAACTTAGTATACAAAAAAGCATTTTTGTAAACAGTAGATCACTTTTTGTTAATAGATATTTTTTGGAAAAATTTGAGGTGAGGTTGTTGTTGCTGTCACTACCATTTTCTGGCAAAGTTCATTTGCAAAAAAAGTCGCAAAAATTTCCTATATTCAATGTGTTCTACAAGTTACAAAATTGCCTTTTTGTATAGTAACTTGGGGAAAAAAAATTTATGGCTTTCGAGTCCCTACGATTAAGTCCCCACCTCATCTTTGGTGAGGAATTCGTCCTCCTCACAAAATGGCGACGAGCGGTCCCAGCCGTCCACTGGGTGTGCTCGAAGCAATTTCGGCTAGTAACCGAAATTAAACCCAGTGATCTGGCTGGGTACGAGCCTAGGTATGACCTGGCGGAATTCGACTGGTAAGCTCCGCCTGATTTGGTCTGTGAGTGCCGTTGTGACCCAGTGTTACCAGAAATTGCAGAACTATTCCAAAACGTGTGTCGTCTTTTCGGTTTCGTTCCGCTGCTCTAATGCTTCAAGGTCTTGCTTATTTTTCTACATAGGCAGCTAGAAAACTAAAAATTATATCTACTGGTCAAGTTCCGACGGTCTCAAGCTCAACGACTGGTGAGTTATTTAACTTCTCCCCAGACCAATTGCACCTATTGTCCAACGATAGTAGCCGAACCAAAAGTTAGAGCTACCGCACAGGCTCTTAGTAAATGCTTAACTTACTAAGACCAAAACCATCTGTAAACTATTTATTTATTTGATCCTACCTTGAAAGAGATTGTTCATGATTAAAACCGGTGAAAGCTGGGTCCAGGTCTGCCCCGGATGGCCATGCTATCAGTGTGGAAGGTATTTTTCTTTTCCTAGGTCAAAAACAGGTTGACAGTTTATCATAGATAATCAGAAATCTCCCCGGCATTATAGCTACAATCTCTTGACGCTCCACTTCAACAAGTATGGCTTCTTGTCGATCGGGTTGGGGGTAATTGCGTCCTTGGGTTCGGGCTCAAACAATTTCGCTTCACACTCGGCAGCATCTGCGCTGAACACGCCGCCTTCTCCTACCCACAACTCCTTCCAGCTCAGCGGACACTGGCCAAATGTCTTATAACCCATCGCACTTGTCCTCTCGCCCGCCTCTGCCAGGCCCACCTGAGCTCCAAAAATGATAGAACCCGGTTTCGGAGATAGTAGAGAAGCCAGCGTGCATGCTAGGTTGTATTGTTGTTCTTTGCTGAAGAAGTGGAATACATAGGAGATGTGAATGACTGAGCAGCGCTGATGCAGGTCTGATAGCGTATTCGGTGCCGCTAACGTGTTATCTGGTGAAGGCATGCTCTCCAGAGCCTTTGGATCCAACTCCGTGATATCTTCTTGAATGAAACGGATCTTATCGCCCTCTGCATCAGCCTTAAAAAGTTTCTTGCCTTGATACCTTGTCAGTTTTTCGCTACCTCTCCATCCATGATTTTACTTACCAATATCCCAGAACTCTAGAACCAATCGTCTTCAGGATGTGATTTGAGAAAGTCAGATACTAGTATCTTAAACTCACCGGAGCATAAATCACTGGCGATCACCTTATTCGGGGGATAACCATCTACAACCAATTTACGGACGTCTGTTCCCACTGAATAATAGCTGGTTAATGGCGATCTTCATGGCAGGAATTTGTAATTGTGGAAATGAAGAACGTACTACAGCAGCCTATATCAAGGAAAAAATTGTCATCGCCCGTCTTCCCCAGTTTCAGTACGTCCTCGTAAACCCAGTGGCGAGTTAGTCTCATACTGTATCCCTAGAGTAAGTCATCGTGTCCTTTTTTCCTTCGCATTCAACGGCGATACACCACAGACCTGGTATACGAAAAGAAGCGAATGCAAGGATACGGACATATCTATGGCAAAACATAAACGCAATCAGTGGTAAGAATAATATCGCAACCGAGGACCGTCATTAATGAAAAGCTTGTTACCTTGTAGGCTTCATCCCGGATTTCACAGATATGTTGCTTCAACTCCTCGTCTGATTCTATACCCGTGAGCCTCTTGAAAAGTTCAGTTTCCTGGGCGCTTAAATCATAAAGAGAAGCATCTACGAGAGGTGGGTTCATTTTTAAGAAACCTTCAAACTAATCCTGCAATTTAACCAACCCATGGGTTTACAGCGGATAACAGTGATCGTTTTTGTCACGCCTATCGCATAAGATCGACTTGTCTGTTTGTTTATGGAAAATAGACAGGTCACCAGGTGCCGTAGAAGTGATTATCGATCATGGACAATCGCTTTCGCGGCCTCTTAAACCGTTTCAAAATTGAAATGCTCCATATGGTGGGCCCTATGAGCGGGCTTATCGCAGCTTGAACTTCTTCAAGTTGATACTCTAATTTAAGAGACGCTATCTCTTCCCATCTGGATGTTGGACAAACGTATCCCTCACCTCCAGATCGCAAAGTTCTACCTTGCACTCGGCCGCAAACTATATGAACTAGTAAGTGCAAGGAACTCACCATGAATTATGTCATGGTTGGTAGTGAATATAACCTACGAAAGATACTCGTCTGCAGTCAACATCTGCACATCTCTCCCCCATCCTGAGTTTCAAGTTTATCCATGGTGGGAGGACACTTCTCTCAGTTAGGAACTGCATCGTGTGCTTTTGATTAACATCTGTTTGTTTATGGTCAGTGCTTTGTTATGTTAGTTTGAGTTATATAGCTCGCGGAGGGCTGTACTGACAGGTATCATGATGCTGTTATATCCGTTATCCTCTAGGTACACCATCAGCTGCAGTTGCACGAGTTTACCGCGGTCGACCGCACATACACTGATTTGGAGTGAATGTTTGCCTGTCATGGTATCATACTACGTGAAAGCAATGTGAGATCGCATTAATTCATCATAAATATGGGTATTCGTCAAAAAGATAACATAAGATTTAAGGCAGATAACTATGCAAATATGCAAATAAAAATACTACAGATACAAATCAAAAGCGGCTACAGCACCTCGATGAACATTACATCTGAAGAATCTGTCATCAAAAAATCTATCAATGCTCTGGACGAGGAGCATCAAGAACGGGGGATGATATCAAGGCCATCAGACGTTGAGCCTCATCCTTGATATCGAAACTGTACGCCTGCGCGAACTGTGAGTGGTGTAGACGGAGGATTCAGAAGCAGCTTTGGAGGAATCATCCTCGGGCGACGCGTCACTGGAGTTTTGGGATTGTCTTCTGAGAACGTCGCGCAAACTACGGACGACGTCGTCATCAATCCTCATCGACGCTCGGCTTGGGTATCCCGAAGCGCTACCGTGAGTACTCGTTGATGGTGGCCGTCCGTGAGACCCATATGTGGGAACAGGCAGCATCGGCAATTCTTTATCTTTACCTTTCCTACCTATTACGAGACTATCATCAGGCTTGGATAATCATCAAGAAAATGGGGACTTACTACTGTCAGAGCACTTTTGGACACTTTGGACCTGCGAAACAGCTTCATGTTGAGGATTCTCTTCCGACGGAGTTTCCTCTAGATCACTGTCCCCGTTGAGAGGTCCAGATGAGATATCATCCTCCTCATCCACGTTAACGACATGCATTCCTGGCTTCACTTTGAGGTCGGTGGAGAAACCATCCACAGCATTTACGACATGCAGGGCCGACTTCCGATTGCGATCGTAGAGTGTGGAGCGTTCGGTTGAGATACCATCGCCATCCACAACATTTACGACATGCAGGGCTGACTTCCGTTTCACATCGCGGAGTGTGAGGCGCTCAGTTGATGAGAGACCGTCACCGTCCATAGCATTAACGACTTGCAGCCTGCCTTTGTGACCGTTGGGCGCCGGCAAGGAATGTACGCTGTGTCCCTCGAGATGATCACCACTCTGCTCTCCTTCCTCTTCTCCGTTGTTATTTCCAGAGCACCCAGGGTCGGTTTCGGTATTATCTAACCATTGTTGGACTCTTCCAGAAACATCGTTACGAGTGTCTTCCAGGAAATAGTTTATAGCATCATAAGTGACCACTTCGCCCTCATCTTTGCTATCTTCGTAGTAACGACTACCTCTGTTGTTTGGGTCTCGAAGCCATTTTTCTACCCTTTTGGTGGCTTCTTTGCGGTGGCGGGTTGGGCGTGGTGGAGGAATATCATGCACGGCAGGGGCGAAAAGTGCACTTTCCAGAAGTTCTTTATGATCTATGACAGGACACTTTTGTTATTTGGTGTCTTTCCACCAAAGAGTAAGAAAGCGTACACGCAGAAAGGAGTTTAAGGCCAGCCTCAAAACGTAGAATTCCCAGGGTCCTATCGTCCTTGATATGTACTTCTCCAGCAGTTTGTTTGTCTCCGAAAATCGCCAAGTCGTCTGCCACCAGAGTTTTAGATTGATCGGCGGAAAGGGAGCTGCGACTGAATATCCTGTTTAACTCATCCCTTGGGCTGATATGACTCTCGGCGTAGGGGGCAACTGAGTCGACATCAAGCTTAACGCGCACGTTTCCTGCCGCTCCTTTGTCCGTTCGTAACCAGATATCATCTATTTTCGGTGAAAATAATTCAACACTGCAATATGAGATGTAGGGGGATGGCATACTTTTGATGGCTAGTTCTACAACACCTCTCTTGACTTTGCAAATACTGCGGTCAAACCAATCCATCCTCGTGCAGCTTTGTCGCTTAACACATATCTCAATGATGGAAGAAGGCCGAAGTGTCCTGTTTTGTATTCCAATTAGTACGACGGCGCAGACGAGGGGATAGGGCGAAGATGACTGGAAGGTATTGAAGCACACAATACGTACACATCTATTGCCTTGGGCATCGCCAATGCAAAATTTGAGTGTCTTCCCAAATCCACTCGTTTCTGCTCCTTCCCATCGACCAGGACAGTTACATAGAAAGTAGGCGACCGTCCCCGAAGGTAGTCGACTTCAGCGATTTCGAGGGAAGTCACTAAACAGGACACTGTCAATAACGATACATCAAGGCTACAGCGTGGCGGGTACCTTGAAGAGACGCAGTGAACTTTTGGTTACTTTTCGACCTACACTCATACTTAGATTAGAATGCGCTGACGAATAGTAAAGCAAAGGAACGGACGATTTATGCTTGCGGAACGGCATCATAATAGCTTCGCAGGCAAATGAGGGAGGGTGAGGGAGGGAGGAAGAGCGTTGCTGGGAGAAATAGAGGCTAGATTAATCATGGGAACAGGTGTGGTGAACAGCGTTTGGGGATTGATCCGTGTGTTGTAGCGCCCATCAAAGATATGAACACGAGTGTGGCGCTTACACTGCCTCCAAGTTAGTTACAAGGGGGAGCACAGGCATAGAATACTTGTATGAGGAAGATGTTTGACAACATCAAGAATTCAAACACAGCTACCAGCAATTGTGCTAAGATACCCGTCGGGAATGGCAGTAAAAGTACCAACTCATCTCAGTCCCGCCGGCATCGATGATGGGGCTTACTGGGCTTCTATATATCTTGACATGTAGACAGTTGAGCGACGACGTGTTCAAGCCTTGTTCCCATTGGCGGGAAAGCGCTTAAATGATATTTTACTCACCAAATATTACGTCAGATACATTGATTTTCTAGCTGCCAACGACCTTGCAACAATGAACAGCTTCAAAATCTTCATCTTGCGATGTAGGTGGTACTTGGACGTTTCCAGATCGTAGCGAGCATACCAAGCACATAACTGGGCTTCGCGACTGGACTGCTCAAGCGAGTGACAGAGGACATCGATCACGCGCGAGCCGCGTGAAAAGACATAAAACTGCATGTGTTAGAACGTTTGTCAGTATCTTTTCCCTTGACAAGTGGACCTTCACCGACCTGAAATTCCGAACTTGAGGCGATCTCCATTTAAAGACCAGGTACTGTCTGTCTGTAAGCCACCGCATTTCCACTACACAGCAATGCCACCCATTTAAGTCTCATGGACTAGTACTTATGCTGATGGCTATATTCGTGTATCCTCTTGTCGTCCGTTCTATGATCGTCCATGCTTCAAAAATGACAAGATACCACAATGAAATCAAATCATGTGCCAGGGTCACCAGAAACTCGAAAAGCTCGTCGTGACGAAGTACCCATCAGTGAAGTTCGATGTAAAGGCTCCGCCATGGGGATGAAGGCGGGGTTGGGGTTATTTGCAAAGGTGGAACTTTTAACTCGGAACAAAATCATCAAGTTCGAGATGGAGTGGTGTTACCGCCACAGTCACAGTTTTCTCCACTCGGACTCTTTCGTTCGCCATCTGTTTCCGCTATCATACAAAACTGGTTAGGTTTAATATCGATAGATGGGACCGATATAACGCAGACTAACATTATCACGGCATGAAAACGCAAGGTCGAAGTTCATCAGACTCCCCATCGACTAAAGTCAACAAAAATAGCGTCTTCTAATCTATGTATCTCCTCTCCAAAGCACAGTTGGCACAACAATGAAAAGGTCGCGATAACGCTGAGTTTCGCACACTGCAGGTCGAGAAAGGCTGCCATGGCACGCACCACTCAGACTCCAGTGCGGGGCAAGCACAAAAATTGTGTCTCGGATGCATTACTGGTTGTCGTAAAGCAATAACTAGACTTTCCTTATATGGTATTCCTGTAGTTCTAGCCTGTCCATATGACCTCTTAGACTCCAGTTCCCGTGATGCACTTCTCTCCATAACCTTCGGCTCCCGTGCCTGGCTGCCATCTCTTGAACCCCAACCACGACCACCACTCGACATCATACACAACGACAATGGCGAGCACGCCAGCAATGAACACACCGGTAGCAACAGCGACGACAACCAGTGAATCAGTGACCGTGTTAGACTGTCCTTCACTCTCGCCATCGGGCAGCGCAGAAGAGTTTGAGCGCAGTGTCCGGTTTGACAACCAATGTGTGCTCATTCCAGAGCCAGAGCCTCGCCAGAGAATGCCTAGAGTCGTCACCAAGTCGTACTCTTTACCTATATGGCGTAGGAGGAAAAGTTCACCAAGCGCTAGTTCACCTGGCACCGCAGAACAGGATGCTCCACTGGCTGGGGAGGACGGCCAGGTTTTTATTCGGCTTCCGATTCCAAGGTTTATTCCCTTTTCCCCTTAGAGAATGCTGAAGCTAATCGCGACGCTACAATACTCCTATCCTTAGTTTCGTCACACACAAGTCGCCACAGTCTTCAACGCGTTCTAGCGAGCAACCACCACCTCTTTCTCCTTGCCTCGTCAATCGTCTCCCTTCCTCCCCAACCCCGCTCCCTTTTGCTTTGACGATCCAACTTCCCCAATCGCCACGCCCATCCAATAGTCGACGCACTCCCTCCCTTTCGCCCACCTCGCCCCGGGCGGATCTTGTTACTATACCGCTTCGACCTTGCTGCAAGGCCTGCATGCCCATCACTGAGGCATGTCTACAACAAGGCGATGACTGGCATGAGCATTTCTCGCGCTCTGCGAGAAGAAGACGTACTATTGACAGCACCCCGCGTCGTGCCAGCGGAGTTGGCAAGTCCACCAAATCGGGCCCTGACACTACAGATTTAGCCTCTGACAGTTTGAGAGTCGGATTTCCCGACTCCATCAACGTTGATGAGGTGGACAAAAGGCGGAGACTGAGTGATTCAGTGGAAACCCAGCCAGAACCGAAGTCTGTATGGCTCAACGATGATGGCGACTGGGTCCCTTTGTCCCAGTGCAAAACTCAGATTCAAAGTCGCACTGCTCTTGATTCTCGTCGAAGCGCTAGTGCCGATAGCCCTAACTCCATTCTTCCTCAGTCGGTGCCTTTGATTTCCAAGATTCAGGAAGAGGATGATGGAGATTTGTTCCCTTTGCCCTCTCCCCGGCGTACACCGAACGGATCTCCCATTCCTAGTCCAGTTCCATCCTTTTTACCCAGTCCAGTTGTCTCAACTTCTTGCCTTGCTCTCAATGACACGAATCTTGCGGCCTCATCTTTGCTTGATTCAGACGACTCTTGTGCGACGACTGAATCATCTGGTGACCATGATGAGAGCCTGAAAGTGGCTGAAGCTAATACAGATGTGTTCTGCCGTCCACCTTCACCATTGCTTCTTGGATCTTTGCCGTCGTTGTCAGCGCGTAAACAGGCAAAACCGGTACAACAAGCTCTCCCTGCTTTATCCACAAGTTTCGACGATCCCCATTCCCCTACTTTTTCGGAGGCGTTTCCACGCACCCCGTCTCCAGTCATACAGTTCTCTTCAGGCTCACCTGCTCTACCAGTCTATCTTTCACCTCCTACGTCACCTGGCACTAGTCATGTTTTATCGTCCTCTCCACCCTCAGAGTCCCCCTTACCAGACTTCTCTCCCTCTTTGTCTCCGACACAGTCCTTCCCTTCTCCTACGACTAAAAAGCGCGCTTCTTTCTCTATGCCCAGACCTTCGCACATCCTGCGTGTTGGTGCCGACGTGCTGCGTGGTGTAGGTGCGATTGGTGGTGGTTCTGTGGGTGTAGGAGTTCGTGTTTGATCCGTATGAAAAGGTTATCCATTCGTTGAGTTCTTCGCATTTTTTTTTATATCACCATACCATTCTCATTATTATACCTTCATGTGACTTAATGCTCTTCCCAACCCGTTTTTGCTGGGCAGCTTCCAGTTTTATTATACAGACTCTGACCAACCTGAGGGTGGTCGTCACTATCATACTCATTCAAAGCTCGCTGTTGTATACTTCACTTTTCACTTTCTGAAACTTGTTTACAAAAGTATTGCATTCTTGTTTCTTTTACTTGTCCACGAGCTTTACCTGATTTTATACTGCTACAGCACTATTGTTGGTTACACTGTACATCACATATTTTGATAGGTCGCAACAGAATTCCCATGACACTACTAGTACTTTGACATGAGTTATTACAGTAAGCAGTAAATTCCAGGCTCTGTCAAGGTACTATTGCTATAACTGTTTCAATGTATTATATGATATAACTTGTCAATGTCGGTTCTGTCGATATCTGTGTTGGCATTGCTACCGGCGCTGGCGATGTGGTGTGTGACCTGTGTCAATAGCGACAGGTGCACGCAAGAAGACGTAATACCACTGTTGACTCGGACGTCTTATTTACTCGAATGGTTGGGTTCTGGGTTCTCCACCTTACCAGCACTTTTGCTCGCCTTTATTCAACTTAAACAACCTTGAAGATAACTATGTGTCGATTCGTGATTTACAAAGGCACCTCTCCAGTTCAGTTATCGCATGTAAGCACCTCAGCCTTTTGATCCGTCGCTGTCAGCGCTCCTGACGCTGTACCAGCTTTTGACACGACCCTGCCACTCGATTATCAACCAGGCTTTCGATTCTCGTTTACGCTTGGACCGTAGACGACCCATCAATGGTGATGGCTTTGGCGTTGGTGAGTGGCGACTCTGATTTGCATGTTTCGTTCTAATCAGGTCTGCCTGTCCCAGGATGGTACGACTCGGTCAAGGATGAGGAGTTGGGGAGTCAGCCGTGTATGTTCACTTCTGTAACTCCTGTGAGCACTGATTTTAGCCTGGTAGTGTGTATTTGATTCTGACTCGTCTTCAAGGCGTGGAATAACGCAAATCTAGTACGGCTGGCAGAGAAGATCAAGTCTCCTCTAGTTTTGCAAGTATCCCTTTTACCCTCCACCCCGGACGTCTTGTTGATGATGCTGATATCATCAGCGCCCATGTTCGCGCTACTACGGCTGGTTCTCTTTCGCTGGATAACTGCCATCCATTCGTGTTCAAGAAACTTATGGTAATGTCCATCTTCTGACCTAGTTTCGGCATGTGGACCAATGCGAATTGAAAGTAGTTTATGCACAACGGTGGAATCGCCGATTTCCCATCCATCAAGCGAAGACTTCAAAGAGATTTATCAGATGAAATCTTCGAAGTCGTTCAAGGCAACACAGGTAAATGCTATAGCAGCTCATCCTAATCATGCGGCCCCAGCCTGACGAATTACTCAGATTCGGAATGGGCGTTTGCGCTATTCCTCTCGAAGGTAACGTGCCATGCACCAGTTCAATGCATAACCTTCTAATTGTGGCGTAGCTCCCAGACCCTAATGCGAGCAATTTTACATATGAAACGCTGAAGAAGGCAATGCTTGAAACTATTTCTACCCTCAACTCGTTTGCCGAAGCCGCTGGCATCACGGAGGTCGGTTTTTTTGACGATGCCACGCCTATACGCCGATCTGACCGAGTGATTGATTGACAGCCAAGTTTGATGAATTTCTGCGTCACTGACGGGGAAAGTGTTGTTGCCACTCGTTATATTTCCTCACGTCATGATGAGGCTGCGTCTTTAGTACGTATTGGAGTTCCTGATGTTTCATTTGTGCCTTATGTTTTTTACTAGTGGTTTTCTTCTGGGACAACGTTCAGTGAATATGCGCAGGGTGGTCATTACAAGATGTCGAAGACCGATAAACGGGAAAATATCATCATGGTAGGAACTCGTTTATTTGGCATCTTGGGTTGTGGCTAACATTTCCTCGTTCTCCCCAAGATTGCGAGCGAACCACTGACTTTTGAGAAAGGTAGATTCATTTATTCATGAGTGCCAGCGAACAGTATCTGAGTAGTGACTTCAGCCGACTGGATGGAAATCAAGACGAACAACCTGGTGATTATCACGCCCAAGATGAACATCCTTCAAATACCCATTATCGACAAGTTCTACGTCCCACATACTGACCCAGCAGCTCTGAGCCGCGGGACAGATTTCGCAGCCGCGAAGGGTCTGCTCAGTCCACGTTCAGCGCTTGCTCCAGTCCACAATCGGGAGACCACCCCAATGATAGCTGTATGATATCTGCCCAGGGCAGTGCTGGCTGCTTTGCTGGTGCGTGTTGGGGAATAGAGAGTTAATGTCGTTATAATCATAATACGGCCAGCCATAGGATATTTTCTCGCCTTGCAGGGCACTTAGAGCACGCTTTGAAATTTCTGTTCTCGTTCGATTAATGTTATTCCCCATGTAGGCTTTACTGTAGAACTTGTCGTAGGTGTAGATCACGTGATATGATGTGGTATCCTTGCCAAAAGCCCAAATAAACCAGTTAAGAGGCTGCTATTTACACGGCGATCTTGAATGCCCTATCTCAGACCTTTCTTCTTGCCACAATCTAGCCATTGACCTCTTTATACACTTCAAAGGGCTGGTCGACGTCCACGATGTCTGGTTTCTCCTCTTTCTTTCCCTCCAAGTTTCTTCCCTCCATGAATCCACGAGATCGTCCCTCAGACCCTCTCCATCGTCTTCGCTTTGCCCTCGAAACGATGCCAGGCTCACGGAAATATGTATTCACGCCTGCCACCCGAGCAGAGATACTTTCTGAGCTTTATGATGCTTTCTGGGGCCCCTACTCCCACCTCTTTCTGCCTCTCTCAAATTCGAGTCTGCCAATGCATGCCACTCTTGGTCAGGTTCAGGCAGAACTCAATTTTTCAGGCGCAGGTACCGAAGAATCTGTAATACCAGGAAGACCATGCTGTCACATCTTCACAAAGGGCGAGAGCTGCTTCCGGTGCAAGTGAGAGACCTCTTATCGGTGACTTTATGTAATCTTAACGCTGACTGTGCTTAGAGATTGCGCACTGGACGACAGCTGTGTTCTTTGCTCCCGCTGTTTCCATGCATCTGACCACTCGGATCACAACGTCAGTTTCTTCGTAGCGCAACAGTCTGGTGGTTGTTGCGACTGCGGAGACGACGAAGCATGGCGCAATCCTATCAACTGTCCGTTCCACCCTCCTTTGCCAGAACCCGACAGTGCAGCCGACATATCCCAGGCAACACCAAAGGCCGTACCAAGATCAATGACAGGAGCCGATGTGCCACCAGTACAGAATTATCCAAACAGAGTCTCGTTTCCCCCTGAACTACGAGAATCTATGGGTAGGACGATAGGCTATGCGTTGGATTTCTTACTTGATACGCTCGACTATTCTCCAGAAGAAGCTTCGGTACCTAACAACGAGGCGGACCTGCGTCTACAACCGTCGGCGGATCCAATGCAGAAAGATCAATACTGTTTGGTGGTCTGGAATGACGACAAGCATTCATTTGACGAGGTAGTGAGACTAATATGCGCCAATACAAGTCGGGATCGGAAGGAGGCGTATGCAGTGGCCCATTTGATTGATGAACTTGGGCGGGAGGTTGTTGATATGAACACTAACGTAACGCGGCTACTTGAAATTGCGCGGACGTTTTCGACAATCGAAATTGGAGTAACTGTTCGGAGGGCATATGATACGTTTCGAGAACAAATAGTTGTGGTTCTTATCGAGTGGTTGGTCGATCTCACACGGAGCCGGTTGGGTGCGGACATCCTCGTGATCAGGGAGGTGATCGCATCAGAGATGTTGTCACCACGGAAAAGAGAGAATAACTTTTTTAGCTCGAGTCCACAGTTGCCCAATGTCGTTGCAGATATTCCGAATCCCTGCAGGCTGGATTGGTTATTCTTGTATCATCCGCGCCTATGGAAGAAACCGCGGCTCACTCTAAAAGAAATTTATGCGTCTCTTCTCACTCTCAGTCATCAACACAAGGTCGTCATTGGTGAGCTTTCGCCGATCGTAGTACGACGATGATCCACCGACTGATTGTGTAAATCTCGCAGCGGGACGCTTTGCCAATGTGTATCCCCGACTAGTAGACGCTTACCTTTTGGTTGACCGTGAAGCCGAAACATCTATCAAGTATTTTGCCTTACAGCTATTTACCACACCCTCTGTTGCACTCCACATTGTGAGGCATCACAATCTCGTTTCACGCCTCCTGGATATCATCACGGGTTTTTTCACGAACCAAATTCAGGACAAACGGATCGTCAATTTAGCGGCCACGCGCGCATTAGAGGCAGAACTTGATGTCGACAGTTTCCCTTTCAAGTCAAAGCGATTCATGCCAGTCTTCAGCGATCTTAGGTATTTATGCCACAATGAACCGGTGCAACGTCTGATTGCGCACCATCATATATTTATACGTGAGTTCGCCAAGGTGTGTCAGCTGTTCATGTGTGTAAATCCGAATAAACGGGCTGCGACAAATCATGTGGAGTACGAGACGGACGCCTGGATCAGCGTATTCAACGTCACCCTTTCACTGTCGCGTGTCATCAAAGTATATGGTGAAGCATTCTCGCGGGCTTCAGCTTCGGAACTTGTCACTGCCATTACGGGCATTGTTCATGAAATCCTGCTCGTCTGCACGCTTGCAAACGGTCGGCTTGATAGGGCGAAGTACTCACTGCCGTCATTTCACGAGGTTGTTTTTGGAGATGCTGCCTACACGATTATCGATTTTGATGTCCTTAACGGCTGGATCAGCTTTCACCATTCATTGCACTGGCTACTCGCAGACCTTCTTAAGCACGTCGACATCCTCTCGGAGGACTCATTAAAGCAGGTTGGTTTGGCAAGTGTCCGAGACATCTTCATGCGAAATGCAAGTGAGCAGGCAGTTCTGACTATCATTGACTTCCCCCTGAGAGGTTGGTCTTCATTGCCTCAATCATGAAGCGACATATTAACTCATTTATTACCAGTTCTTGCAATGATTGCGCAGATACGTACTGGTTTATGGGTACGCAATGGGTTCCCCATCCGTGGTCAATTACTCCACTACCGGGATTTCATGCTACGTGAATTGTGTTACGACCAGGATTTGTTCATCCTTCAAACATCGCTGATTATTCTCGATCCCAATACTGTTATCGTTACTATACTTGATCGTTTCGGCCTCCTCGGCTTCTTCCGCGGAACTGTCGTACACCCATCGTACGAAGGTTCTCAACTTTCGAGCATGGTAGAGGAATTGCTTTATATCTTCATTACCCTCTTCAGTGAGAAGGCTAGCGCTTCCAAGATGCCGCTGCGAGTTGCTGTGCGTCGAGAGATTGTCCATGCTCTCGCCATGGGCCCTTGTTCATTCACCGATCTGGTGAAGCGGGTTGCAGAGCGCATGGTGGATGATATTTGTTTCGAACGTGTTCTGAAAGAGGTCGCGCAATTCCGTCCACCGGAAAACATTGCCGATACTGGAGTGTATGAGCTCAAAGACGAAGCCTATGACGAAGTGAATCCTTTCTTCTACCACTATACGCGTAATAAGCGGGAAGATGTTGAATCCGTTCTTCGCAACCGATTGCGGAAAAAGACAGGCGTTGCTGACCCGATAATTATCCCCAAACCCCTAGGCATCGAGAATGGGCCTTTTTCCATCTTAGCTTCAGCATTCGAGTCAGAAGCATTGCTACAAGTGATGTTCTATGCAATATTCAATATCCTCGTCCTGACGGAGTCCTCTGGCACGCCTCCTCCATCTGCTGAGGCTATTCTTGATCAAGCTGTGCATCTCGTCATGCTTGCCTTAGTTGAAAGGCAATCTGTCTTCAGCTGTCTGGCTGCTGTGAAAGCTTTCGAGGATGGCAAGAACCTTATCGATGTCATCTGCGCGTTGGAACAGGATGAGAACTTCAAGCCATACAAAGCCCGCATTGGTTGGATTCTCGAGCAGATCTCGATCCACGTTCCAGAAGAAGTCCAAGCTCGCAGAAAAGTCATGGACACGTCTGCTTCTGATCTGCCGGATCCCGAGAATGCAAAGAAACGCGCAGCCAAAGCTAGACAAGAGTCAATCATGGCACAGATGAAGGCCCAACAAGCCAGCTTTGCGATCAACTTTGACGATGGAGAGGACGAGGATGAGGACGTTATGGAAGAAACACCAGAAGAACACATCTCTTATGGCACCTGCATTGTTTGTCAGGAGGACCTGGATATCAATCGAGCTTTTGGCTCTCTTGGATTTGTGCAGCCCAGTCGATTGCTTAGGAGGCATCCTGACTCTCATAGCCAATTCTTGAATGAGGTGTTGCACATGCCCCCATCAATGGATCGTTGTGACGCCACTTCTAGCATGACCTTTCCTCCAGATATACATATCCAGGAATTACCAGGGAGCTCCTCGCCGAATTTTGACTCTTTCCCGACACAGCATACTCGTTTTGGCCTACACACATCTGTCTGTGGTCATATGATGCATTTAGACTGTTTCCAAGTGTATAGTTCATCTATCAAGCAGCGACATCGAGCCCATGCCACACGGAACCACCCAGAAAACATCTTACGCAAGGAATATATTTGCCCATTGTGCAAGAGCTTGGGAAATGTGATTCTTCCTGTTTCTCGACCTTTGTCGCTAACAGCAAGCACTATACCTTTCCCTGACTGGATACGTGCCGCCGGCATAAGCATATTGAAGTCTAGACCAGATACTACCGTGGACCAACTGCAATTCAGAAATGGGACCGGGGAGTTCGTATTCTGGAGTGCGCAAGATCCCGGGTATGTGGCCGCTAATCGTCGTCCTGATAGACAGGAAAACATGGAAATGACAAAAATGGTTGATACCTTAATGACCATCTCCAAAAACATGTCATCGCAAACGCGGCATCTCCGTGAACGTCCTGAGCCAGAGCCTGGTGAACGAGGGGCGGGGATCTACCTCCCAGAAGAGCTGGTTGGTTACACTATTTCTGCTATAGAAGTAGCCGTTCGAGGTACAGAAATTCCAGGAGGGACTGTGGCCGATAGTATAACAGAGTCGCAGTCTCGGATGATTCGTGGGCTGTTAACTTGCTTAGCCAAGTTGGGTGCTGCAGAGTTTGAAGGAAGGTCAGATGGGGGTCGCGAAGGTATAAAGCAAGCCATCATCAAGAGATTACTACCAGAATGGAGCCGCACGTCGTTAACATCATTCTCGTATCCATTGCTTTTGCGCGACCCGTTCTCCGTGTTGGTCGAGACTGCCGCAGTTGCTCCAGAGATGCTCCAACATGTCATTGTCCTCACTTACTATGCATGCCTGGCTCGAACTGTCATCGGGATGGTCTATGTTCTCAACAAAACAAGAAGCTCTAATACGGTACAACTTCCTGCACGCAGTCATGTTAGCATCTTCGGTGATATTCGAATGTTCTTCATGTCTGTGGTGCGACATTCGCCGGTCTTTGAGCACACTGCGACACTAGTTTTCGAGACCTTCGGTGAAGCCAGGATAGAAAAGCTACTATATGCTTTCACGCTTCCATTCCTCCGGCGAGCTGCGATTTTGTGCCGATCTGTGGTACCATTGACGTTCACAACGCCATCATTTGGAACCCGTGATCCCTGCGAGTATAGTCGCTTATTGGCCATGCTCGGGATACCTCCTTTGTCGGATCTGCCAAACCAAGACACTCTTCAGAATGCGCTTTCAGGCTGGTGTGCCCACTATGGCCACTCTCATGCTGCATCTCAACTGAATTGCGGTGTCGTATTGGATTATCCTGCCATTTACCGAATTGCCCGCCTTCCTCTTGTGCTTGATAACCTGTTTGGTGGACGTGACAAAACTATGAAGTGTCTGAAATGTAACACCGTTCCGACTGATGCGGCAATTTGCTTGATATGTGGAGCAACATGTTGTATGCTCAGTAACTGTTGCATGGATACGGAAAGAGAATCCGGAGAATGTAATATGCACACACGAGAGTGAGTTATGAAGCTGATGCAGCCTTTAACATGATCTAATACATGTTTTGCATCGATAGGTGTGGTGGAACCATAGGAATGTACTTCGTGGTGAAGCGCTGCACTCTCTTATATCTCTACGCCAGCAACGGTACATTTTCTCCTTCCCCTTACCTTGATGTTCACGGTGAAGCGGACATTTCCATGAGGTGAGTACATTGCCTCCACTTTCATCTTTCTATGCTCAATGTAAGTTGTGGTGCGATAGGAGAGGGAGACGGCAATACATGCATCCAGCTCGCTGGGAAGATATCCGTAAAACATGGCTGACTCACGGCATTCCAACTGTTATTGCCCGGAGACTCGAAAGCACAGTCGACAGTGGTGGTTGGGAATCATTATAGAACTGTCATGTCTTGCCATTGTGTCTCCATTCACCACTGTTTGTTGTATAATAGCAATATCCGCAATCCTGTACGCAATAGTTTTATATTCGTGGACAATGATCAGATTGATTGTGTATCAACATGACCCATATGAACTGCATATTTAAGTCGCGCTAAAGTCCTCTGTATACCGAGCACTCCAACTATTTCTGGGATACTGGGACCAGACTAAAAAGTTTTGCTCAGAGGCAAAATAAACATAGTCGAACAAGCTACACTCACCTTCATTCCAGTAAGAGCGTGTCGAACAGCAGTCATGAATATTCTCTGTTTAAGCCCCGACTTGTCAGCTTCGTCATGGAGTACCCCTGAAATATCTATCGTCTCCGATGATTGAACACTGAGCCGTCGAGCCACCGCCTGCACAGAATTATCTAACCCAAAGTTAAATAAAGCCATACCATTGCATACTCTCAAACTCACTATAATCAGAAGAAGTCATGGATCGTATCATTGCTTTGGCCTCATCTGTCGAATAATTTGGTTCAATAAAGAAAAATGGAGCTAGCGACGGAACATCATGGAGATTGACGATGCGACCCTGCCCATCAGACATCAGACCCGTCAGAAGAAGAAAATAAACTGTACAGGTGAGTTCCACGGACCTGTAAGGCGCGTATCACTTCTACGATGTATTCGATACTCGTATACGGGCTGTAACGGGGAAATAGAAATGTACTATAAGCGCATATGACAACGAATGAAGTCGCCCTTCCTACCTGGAGGGGAAAGCAATTTTCACAGAATCAGAAACTCTTTTGGCGTGGATTTCAATTCCTTCGTTTGTCTGCCAGCTTCGCATGAGATGGTGTTTATTGAGATATTCCAATTTCAGCGGGTCGAGGATGTTCCGTCGATGAGTCAATGAAGGCAAGTCAAACTGTTACAGATCGTCCGTCACCAATTTCCGGCTTGAGAATATAGGAGCATTAAATTGCACCAACCTGGTCTATAAGCTCTGAGAGCGACATCAAAGTAGTGCTGTCAGGAGCTTGCAGAGAAGTACGTGAAGGCGATGCGTCGGGAGTACCGCCATTTTCATGGTGAACCCCCCAGCCCGCTAGTGCAAGCCAGTTTAATAGGGCCTCAGGCTCCCAGCCACGACGCTGGAACATGTGCAAGATCAACTCATTAGAATAGCCTCCCAGGTAGGTGAGAAATCGTGCCCACCATGAAATCAAGAACCTGCACATCGCCTTTGCGTTTCGACATTTTTGTGCCGTCTGGGTTTAATAATATTGGGAGATGAGCGAATTGGGGCGGACTGAGGTTAAGACAGGAGTATAGATCAAGATGGAGAGGGAGAGATGGAAGCCATTCCTAGAATAAGGATTAAAACACCGATGGAATGCGGAGAAGACCCATCCCAGCTTACTTCTCCCCGTAGCACATGTGTGATGCCCATTTCATGGTCATCAACAATAGAGGCGAGATGATAAGTAGGGAACAGGTCTGACTTGAGTAAAACGGGATCTGTCGGTAAAGACGCATGAGCGTCCTTCAGTATACCAAATATGATATCCGACGGCGTTTGACGTTTTGGAAGCCTATCGTCCTGTAAACAGTCATATTGAATAAGAATAAAGTATAATTCATGATGTTGTTCCTTCAACATGGGAGCATAACTCAGACTAAACCACTTACATTTAGCCTTACGATTGATTTTTCTCCAGCGCGAACACGGCGTGCGACTTCTTCTTCTGTGAGGCTTAAGCACGCTTTGTCGTAGGTTACATTTGATCCTGTGCGCGCTAGTTTCTCCCGAGTTGAGTTAAGTTTGTCAGACGAGCAAAAACAACGGTAGGCATGGCCAGACTAGATGGATAAGAGTTTAGACGCGAGAACATTATGATCGTATACAAATGAATATCCAGAAAGGTTGGTCACCAAGGGCTCTAGGGATTTCCGTGTTCCCTCATTGCAGACTAATAGTATATACAGGATGTAGTGACTTACATCGAGGAGCTTCCGAGTGTATGAGTGGTAAAGATCTAAGCGTTCAGACTATTTCGAGATAAGTGAGGACCACCGAAAGGCTGGGCACAAATTATCTCACTTGAAAGTAAGGTCCATGAGCGCCATCTTTTCCTGGACCTAAAAGGAAATTACAGTAATAACATCGGCATGGCTGGCTGACTTACCATGATCATACCCCAATCCAGCCCACTCTAATGCACTGCGAATTCCGTCCACAGACCCAGGTACATATCTGGCCTAAAGCAGGGTCATTTCGTTTCATCAAACACGAGGTCCGGATGGTCACAAACGGAATCTGTGTCTTCTATCCTTAGTATCCACTTTCCTCCCAGTTTTCGAGCGTATAGGTGGTTATATAGTGCAGTTCGTAGACCTCCCAGATGCAATGCTCCAGTTGGAGACGGAGCAAATCGTAAAAGAACCATAAGTATATATCAGTGAACAGTTATAGCAACTGTACAACTTCAAGTTGAAGACGCAGACACGGTTGCAATAGATCACTTAAAGCAGGCCTTTGTTTGGCAGAAGCTTGAGATCCAAACAAACGCCGCGGCTGCTGTGGACCGATTCGGATCTGCCATCAGATACTTCTGATGAGTCCCTGGGCCCACACTGGTATACAATGTAACACAAAGTAACATAAAAGTGGGAGAGCCTACAGCCAGCGTTCATAATTCGAACGACCATATCAATGTCGAACACCGTACGTTGGCCGCTCTATTTCGTTGATAGTGTGTGTTCTTAAAGTATGATTTAGGGCCTGCCAGAGTCTTTGCGTGCATGGAGGGAAATGGACGCCTTGCGTGATCCGCGTTGGCCGGAAACATGGGAGTCGCTTCGTTCATACTTTCAGGACAAGGGATACGATCTTTTTCGAAACAAGAGTGGTGGAGTACTCAGCGTTCCTAACGGAATAACACAGTCCCCCAGCAACGATTCTTTTGGACTATATGGAGACAGAGGAAATGACTTCACGAGCGACTTTTGTCCTGTAAGTTTTTTATCATCTCTGGCATGCTAATCTACCTTAAACGATATACTTTCTGATGAATATATCACTTAAAGCATTCACCAGTCGTCGCCGCTCGGGATAGGTATGTTTGTGACTTTATGTTACCCCGTGAAAAGAAGTGGCTATGAAATTGACGTCGCCATCACCAGACAAAATAGAGATGTCGTTATCAAGGTAGTTGCAAAGGGAAATGAAGGATTAAAAGAGCTGGAAATTTTGCAACTGCTAAACTCAGAGCCCTTAAGGTCTGACCCGTATAATGCGACGGTACCTGTTCTAGAATTCCTCAAGTATGATGGCTGGCATTTTATTGTCATGCCGTTCTATGATGACTGCAGTAGTCCTCCTTTTCGGAACATCCACGAATGCTTGGACTTTGTGGAACAAGTTTTGAGGGTGAGGTATATTATTTCGAATGCCCTACCCGTATCTGAAACTTGTCGAAGACCCTAGCATTCCTACATCGCAATCGGATAGCACATCTGGTGAGTCAGATCTCACAAGTCGCGGCCTTCCCAGAGAAAAGCAGAGAAACTGAGGCTATCACTTCGTCAGGACGTTGCATATGAGAACATGCTGATGAACCACCACGGAAATAAACCATACATTGACTTCGATTCTTCTTCCTGCGGGGTTCCTGAGCCAGTTTTTCGATCCAAATTTCCGGTGAAATACTATTTGGTGGATTTCGGGTTTTCTGTCAGGTTCTCCCCGTCGTCACCTCTTAAACCGTGCCTTGTGGCGCCGTTCCATAGTGCCCGCGACCAGCGGTCACCCGAAGAACAGAAATCGAAGAAGTTCAATCCGTTTCCTGTAGATGTTTACCAGACAGCGAGACTATTTTATGCATTGTTTGTTGTGAGAACTACTATTTTCTGGTTTTCGTCAAATTGTGGCTCAACTGACGATCGTAGAATATTGTGCCGGATGTACCAGGGTTCCTGGAACTTCTACAGGATATGTCATCATACAATCCTTCGAACCGTATCTCAATGCACGAAGCTTTAGAGCGGTCTTGCATGTTGCGCGCCAATCTCCCATACGCCACCGTCGATGATGAAGATTCAATTTTATTCAGGCCGCGGTCAATTGAGCTTCTCGCCTACTATCTCGTTCCAATGGGATTCTGGCGCATGCTACGCGACATTCTGCAAACAGGCGAGATGTGGCTAGCTTGCCAATTCGCATGGTATACAACAAAGAAATGGTCCGTGTCCTCTTGTTCGTGACGCAGTATACCTCATTCATTGGCTTTCATTAGGTTTTTGGAACGCTTCAATGGCAGAGATATCCATTTTAAGGACACCTGAACGATTAGTTTGTGCGTTTGTGGATTGCACAATCGTGCATTGCGCAGTGCTCGCGTTCCATCCTGTGCTTGTGGGCGTTGTCCGTGAATTATATAGTGCTGCTCGTTTTCTTGATTTATGTATCGTATAACAATCCCATCTGCTCTTCAACCTATTCAAAAATACAAATCGTCAGGATGCTCAACGTCATACAACTTGGGTCGCAACCTAGAATGAGTGTAAGGGCAATTTATATTTAAAGTCTCAGAGTGAAGCTAACGGTCGTCGGACCACAGGGCTTTATCACAGTCACAGAAATAAGCCATCCACGATATGGACAGATTGGTGAGATTTATTTGAGAGGTAAAACAGCACAGGTAATTATTTCATTTCTGCGTTATGCATCTATCTATGACTTATTGATTCAATGCTAGTCTGCCAACGGGTCAATTACCTATAGCGTGAGATTCAAAGATGCCAACGGGGCTGGGTACGTTATAGAGATATTATGTGACAGGCAGATGGTCAAGAACGACGAGATTCAGAGGGCCAGAGTTGTTCAACTTGGATCGAGCCCGACCTAGTGATTGAGACTAACCAGCACAATGTTATGAATACCATAAATGTACCTAAGTATATAAATTGTACGAAGCTCGAATCCCCAGTAGAATTGATCTAGGATAGAAATCCCCTGAAAGGCATGTTCTCAGCTACTTGTGAGTCGTAATCGCTAGCTCTACTCTGAATCTGAATATAAGCACACTTCCCGCTCATGCTAGGTGTACATTTTGAGGCTGATTTGATATTTAGGATAACCAGGAAAGTAAATCGGGTTGTTGAGCGGTACAAGAAGGAAACATTAGGACAGCAATATATTTCACGCATACAACACCACACAAGTGCTGCACAGTGAATAACTACGCAAACGCACAAACGCTGTGACAGACTGATCATTTAAGCGTGCTTGTCATGGATCTCTCTGCTATTCAAATGTTCCTGAAACCTAACGGAAACCAGTAAATAATGCGTGCTGTGTCGTAAAAGGAGGATGCACACCATATCTTCACTATATACCATGCGAACTGGCAAGCTAGCCACATGTCGCCTGTTTGCAGAATGTCGCGTAGCATGCGCCAGAACCCCATCGGAACGAGGGGATAGTAGTCGAGAAGATTGATAGATTGTGGCTTGGATAAATTCGAATCCTCATAATCGTCTGCGGAAGATGGGAGATTGGATCGCAACGCAGAAAATCGCTTTAAAGCTTCGTCTATTGAGATGCGGTTAGATGGATTATAGGACGACATGTCCTGTAGCAGTTCTAGGAATCCAGGTACATCGGGCAAAATATTCTATAACCGTCAGCAAAGTATGATCTTATCAACGCGTACGAAAACTGTAATATTATTTGTACTCACAATAAACCATGTGTAAAAAAGCCTTGCCGTCTGGTAAACATCCGCCGCAAAGGGGTTGAAGTGTTTCGATTTTTGTGCTTCTTGTGGCCGTTGCTCAAGGATCGAATTGAATGGCGCCACGAGGCATGACTTCAGTGGTGAGGATGGAGAGAATGTAGCAGAGCACCCGAAATCCAGGAAATAGTATTTTACAGGAAATTTAGATCGGAACACTGGCTCAGGAGCCCCACAGGCACGAGAGTTTAAGTCAAAGTATGGTATTTTCCCGTGATGATTGATCACAATATTTTCGAAAGCAACATCCTATTGAGTTGAGAACATTAGTTTTCTCGCCCTCACTCCCTCTCTAGAAAAGATTGTAGCATGTAAAATCCAACTCACCAAATGTGCTATACGGTTTCGATGAAGAAATGCTAGAGTCTACAACAAGTTTCAGAACCACGAGAAGCATTAGATATGGTATAACTCACTCTCAAAACTTGCTCGGCGAAGTCGAGACACTCGTGGATGTTTCGAAAAGGAGGCTCCTCGCATCGGTCGCAGAACGGCATCACGGCAAAATGGTAGTCCTCGCACTGAAGAAACTCGAGAACGGGCACCGTCGCGTTACACGGGTCAGACTTCAAAGGTTCTGAGTTTAGCATTTTCAAGATCTCTAGTTCGCGGCATTCTTCGTTTTCTTTTGCGACGACTTTGATAACTACGTTACGATTTTGGCTGATGAGAGTCAGGTTGACCTCAAGTTAGACAACTTGACACGGAGAAAAGAAAAGCTCAAACATACGCATCTCGAGCGGCAAATGCTTGTGCGTACTATGGGTGATAATTGTCCATCAGAAAGCATGTCATTTGAAATAGACTCGTGTGCGTAACCATGGCTCACGCGTTCAAATTGCACGTTGAAGTCGTTACCTCGATCCCCATACAACCCAAAAGAATCGCTGTTGGGTGGTGGCGGTGTTCCGTTAGGAATGCAGGAAGCGGAAGGGTTCCTGATTTGATAAAGATCGTAGCCTTTTTCCTTGAAGTATGGACGGAGAGACTCCCAAGTTTCTGACCAGTGCAGACCATTCACAACGCTCATTTCTCTCCATGTACGCAAGGACTGCGGCAAACTCTGGGTTATAGTTTGAGAACACAGATGGCGTCGAAGAAATAGAGCAGTAAACTTACGGTGTTCATCATCGATGTGGCTTCTGAAAATTGCCAGTCAACTGGCCCTTTGTTGTCCCAGAAATGTGTTGCATTGTGTATCACTGTGGGTTGGTATGAATACCAACATTTACAAAACACAGATATTCTTGCTAGGGGACCTAATGCAGCCAGGGACAGGGAGGAGGGGGGTCAATTCACTGGGATCTCTGAAATATCTGACAAACCTTCGGATTACTATCTGATCGCCAGAATCAGACCTTAAGCGAACAAATTGTCCACTGCATCTATGGCTCACGAACACGCATAATATAGTTAAACTACACGTGTTAAAAGTCAAGCTTGTTCAGGTCGGAGGTGGGGACGCCAAGCTGACAACTCACTTATACATATTCGACATTTTCCCGAGCGCGTGACAGTTTTTGAAGCTGAGAGTGTCATTATGCCCAATATTTATGCGCGACTTGGATAGCTATCGTGGTCATGCTAGAGTAATAATGTCAGGATGTGGTGCTGACACGCTGACGATTCATGGACAAGTTCCTGGCTTTGGATGTCCAACCGTAGTACTAGCAAGCCAAACAGATATGTTTTTTTATTCATGTGGATATTGTTATCCGTAGTCAGTGAATCTCGTGGTTTTCATTTTTATCATCGAGTGAAGGTGCAGTGGAAGAGCGGGAAATATGAAACATGCCAGTGGGATTGTCAGAAAAGCGTCACAGCCACAATTGTTACTCTTATCGACTGCACATTACCACAATACATTTACTGTAACAACGCCTGACAGTATTCATGTCTTCCCGCAACTCGTTCCAAAGTGCAGGGCCCTCTAGCGGCGGTCCCCCCGCCCTCTCCCTCGCCACTCTTTCAGACCCACCCGCTCGTCTCGTCGATGGCGCAGCAATGGATTACTTCCTCATCGAAGCGGTCAACGCCCTCCGAGCTTCCTCAGCCGTCGCAGCAACACGTGCAAAGGAGACAGAGCGCGCAATGACCGAAGCTGGCCTTCTCCCCACCCCGGCACCTCCACCTTCGACCAAAAACCAGAGGGAATCGACGGGGAGCACGATGGGTGGAGACAGAAGGTCAGTCGTGCTGGATGTGGAGGAGGAAGCGGTTAGAGCGCGGTTGGAGGCAATTGGGACGCATGTGGGTGCAAACTTTACGGAGCGGTGGGTGCGTTTTTGTTTCGTATCTGTTCTGGCATCGTGCTGATCAGACGTAACGAATGGCAATCGTGTCGAATATGCTGTCTTGTAGGCTGTGTCGTGACAGACCGCTGTTTGGGGAAACTCTGGACGCGATCAAGTTCATCTGCAAAGACGTTTGGACATCCTGTTGGGATAAGCAAGTCGATAATCTGCGGACAAACCACCGTGTAGGTGCCCCATCCTGCTTTCTTCCAAGCTGCATTCAGCTTCACATGGAACTGGATTTTTGACCTATAAACATCGCTACTTACGACTTAACTTTTGTTGCGGTACAGGGCGTCTATGTGCTACAGGACAACGCTTTTAAACCAATCTCACGCATCTCTTCATATGAAGGTCGGGGTGAAGCCACTAAGCAAGCCAGAGTGGTACGTTGTGCTGCTCTTCACAGTCCTTGCGTATATACCTAACCATGCTGATCTACGTCTTTCATTACCCCACGACGTTGAGTAGTACGTCGCAATGTCTGCAGGTATCATCAAAGGCGCACTATCGCGCATGGGCCTACACGGTACAGTAACACCCGAAATAACCAATCTTCCACAATGTACGTCCTGTAAAGTTTTAATGGCGGCTATATATTTTAATACGGGCTGATGTTGTATTCTTAATTTGGCACAGGTACGTTCCAAGTAAAGCTGCCAAAAAGTTCATGATTTTAGTTTTGTATTCTCGTTTTGTATTTCACGTCATTTCACTTGCGAGGTATTCTGATAGGACTACATGCGATCAGCCGTCTCTGCCGGGTCGTGCCTGATGTTTCTTCCGACGTCTTACTGAATAATTGTCTAAGAACACTTAAATAAAATTCAGTCCCACGAAAACCCAGTCATACGAGCTACAGCAAAAGATCTAAATGTGTACCAGGATGCTCAAAAGCCCATTCATTGATTCCCTCCGCTTTCAATTGAATCCACCTATGTCTATGAAGAGACACAGCTCCGAATAGGTGTTACAGTAAGTGCCGCTCACATACGGGTCATTCGTGAGTTACGCGATAGATGTCACTTGGGTAGCTGTGATCACAGTGGATGGAGCGGATGATGCCACCGAGGATGGAGCGGATGATGCCACCGAGGATGGAATGGATGATACCACAGAGGATGGAGTGGATGATACCACAGTGGACGTAACTGGACTGGGTAATGCTGAAGTCGTTGACGCCATAGTGATTCTCACTGAGGTGGTCTGTTGCACGATCGTGGATGTGGTAGTGGGTGACTCCGAGGTAGTCGTATACACATAAATTTCGCTAGCCGTGCACAACACTTCATCAATGTAGATGTTGGTGCAGTCCGCATTAATGTTGGGGTTGTTGGCAAGGAGAGTGCTGACGGGTATTCCGGCCTTTGCGGCGATGGTTGCGCAGCTGTCGAGAGACTGGACGACGTAGGTTGTCTGACAGTCTTGGCCGGCAATACCGAGACAAAGGTCCTTGAAGGATTACCATGTCAGATTGATTGATTGGCAAAACAACAAAGGAAAAGGAAAGACAAGCACGTCTCATCCCTTCAAAATACAAGCCAGGATTTTTTGAGCGAAGATTTATGAACTTACCTCGCCAACGAACAAGTTGCTGCAGAAGGAGTTGATGACACCTGCGTTCACAGTCGCGAGCTGATACCTGAAGAAAAAAAGGTGTGTGTATTTAGTTTCAACAGAAGAATACGCGCAACGACTTTGGTGGAGCTACTCACGTAGACACGTTCTGTGCAGCGGAGATGCTATTGCAGTCCTCGTCAGGCTGGACTATGTAAAAGCGGTCACAGTTGGATTGGGCAGTGACTAGGAAGGTATCAAAGAGGTAAGTCAGATGAATATATTTTACTCAAATTATGATACGGAGATAAGCTTACCGACTGAAGCAGCGAAGAGGACTGCGAACGTGACGACGGATTTCCTAGGAATGAACATCTTGAGGGCGGAAGAAGACAAAAATAAGATGTTATAAAGGTAAGTGTCAAAAACGGACGTCTGGCTGGAGACTGGTGTATGGAGGGCAACAAAGTGCGGGTTTTTATACCACCTCCAGAAGCTGTGTGGACAAGGTGAGAGAGTGAATTTTGACAGGTGAGTCAGTGTTACGTCCAAGGCACTTACTGCAACTCCTACGCAGTCATAATGGCGACTGCGCCTCAACGTTCGGCACGTAAACGGATGAGAGAGCAGGTCCAAGACCGGACGAGGCGTCTCGGTGATCATGTGTTAGGTTTTATTCCTGTATCGGCCTGAGCTCGCCTTAGGACGGGGATGGAATGGAAATATTGCGATGATATTCAAATGAGGGGGGACCAGCCATGTCCGTTGGTTATACTGGTCACGGTAGAATAATGGGCCCCGCCATACAGAGAAAAGGAGGGCTGTTTTTGCGAAGTAGAGACCAGGGAAAGCGTGATCATCAGCATACATCATGATGCTGAGGCGTTCAAAATAAATGCCCGTGAGCGCTAAAACGAGTGCATCAATGACAGAAGAGCCCGGGGACTGTATTGAAGCTGTGGGACGACATGATGACAGGCACTGACTGACACTGAAGATGTCTTTGACAGGCATCAAATTCGTTTCCACGGACTTCGTTACCCTTCCGAACAACAATAAACTGATATGTTGTACGTGTAAAAGCTATGTTGAAAAGGTTTTTGGATATATGCTATGAGATGATAAAGCTTACGAATGACATCAACTGGAGAGATATATACCCGCGTAGTAGGATCACACTGGCATGATCAGAAATCAGTTTACATTTTTAACGTTTATGAGTTTCAGGACAATTGCTTGAGAGAATGGGCACTACCCACACCGAAAAGCTTGCAGGGAATGAATACCTGACGTCAAAAACGAAGTACGATCCGTTTGATGATTAGTACCGATCCGACGAGGAACACCAGTAGTCATGAATACGAGAGATGTTCCACTCAACTCAGTTCATCGAGACCTTTGAAATTTGATTAGTTACACAGCCTAGAAGCACAGACTCGAATTACGGTCGGATCTGAGTAGAAATCGCGACAACGCAGCTTTAACAAAGATTTGAACTCTCCCAAGGAGTGCTATCCGGAGATCGAGTGACACTGTATAATGTGTACCCGATCATCATTTTGCGTAAGTAAACAAAGAGTACAACTTTTTTTTTTTCAGCCTTGCTATGAATAGACGCCCAGCGCGATCAGCATAATGTGCAAGATACACTTAGACCAAAAACCAATAATACTACAGCAAAGGTATCTTCATTGAAACGTTGTCGCTCGTGATGATCCTAATCTCCTATCAAAATCAAGTGCCATCCCAGTGTCCCGGCTTCATATCGACATCACTTGATGCATGACCTACATGAACGCTGTCATGGTCCATGGCGTAATCAACATCATGAGAAACATTGATTCCAAGGCTAGGCAGTTTCGAACTTGAACTCGATTCGTCCGTAGTATTGGCTTGAGAGTTTTGGAATGTAGATAGTGGGATGCTGTTCTGCATTGTCCTCCGTTTGTCAACGTTTATGGTCGGAAGTGTGGAAGTAACAGCTGTCATGTTCTCAAACGATCGACCTGAAGTGATGCGGATGATGATGAGGTTAAAAGACACGCCTACGATTTGAACAATCTGAGAAAAAAAGAGTCAGCATTGAATAAATGAAGCTTAGCAGGAAATTTATTTACACTATCCGAGATTACATAGCTGGCATTGTTGCTGGCCGCATAAGTACATACATAGATGAGAACGGAAACAGCATACAAAGCGGCAGATTCGACGACGATGCGAATAACGTGTTTCAAATGCGAGCCTCGATGGGAGCTAGTGCTGGCCGCCATGCTTGCTGTCTGCCTATCGACAGACCATATACGATATACTATCAAAGCTAAAATGCAAAGCCATGAGAAACAAGACACACAAGATGCGCAGAGCTAGAAAGATGACTCACATGTAGTTATGAAATTCACACCCAGGGTTGTGCCGAGTAGAGAATCTACGTACGGCTCCGCTTGGCTTACATTCAGGAGGGCGCTAGTGTCAAGCGTTGAGAAAGTGATCTGGATGATGAGATGAGTCGTGATAAGGAGTAAACGGGGCATACTTACAATTACTACAACGCCACATGAGAAGCTAGCAAGCCAAATCATGAACGAGGGAATGATAATTTTCCAGTTTCTGCCATATACAAGGTAACAGCGATAGATCTATCATGGAGGATATCCATTCGTTGAAGTAGTATTAACGCGTGCACGGAAATAAACCCTACTTACCAACATGGCATCACCAATCAACGTTTGAAACCCATAACACACGGCCTGCTCATCAGGCTTCGATTAGAATTGCGGGCGGGAGAGAAAAGGTGTAAGTGTACCTTCATGACATTTACCCAGTAGGAGATATTTTCAAACTCTGCTGTAGCTCCACCCTGGCCAGTGTAGTAGACGAAGGCTACGAGATTATGGCGAAGACCAAAGGCGACATCAAGAGTAGCAAAAGTACATAGTAAGAGGGTGACTACGAGCATAGGCCAGTTGACCGTGTTCCTCGACTTGAAGGCATGGTTTGAGTCGGACCACAAGAGGGCGCGCAGACATTGCACGAGAGTGACGAGATAAATGCCATACAATATGCATTCCATGAAGAGGGCCACAACCTGAGCGGTGGTGACTGGAAAATTGTTTGCCATGTTGCGAGAGACAGACAGATTCGTGATACCCAGCGAGACCTAGGGATGTGACTACGTCAAGTGTTGAACTTGGCAACGGATTTATAGCTGTTAGCTTGGAGCGATGTAGCTGAATCTGCTATGGGTAGCGGTGTTGATGCATTGATGAGCGACGAGCGCTGATGCCTAGATAAAACCCCATCATGATGACAGACGAACTTCACGTTCGCAATCCTTCTATGCTGATTGGCTTTCATGTCTTTGTATTATTGTCGACAGAAATATTCCTGTGACTGTACTGACTGACATGCAGAACTGATGTACATGTTACGACTCGCGTTGTATCTGGTAAAGCAAGTATTTGGTCGGGGTTTCAAACTCACAATGTTGTGTCGGTTGTTCTATCACCATCGCAGACAAGCGCATGATGAATTGTTGTGATGATGGTCGTTCCGGTTAGAATGAAAGCAAAAGGACGACTACACAGATGCAGCTATAGTCACCCTACATGGCTATATATGCGCATACAAGACTCCCTACCAGAGCTCGTCACTGTTCCATCCATCACCCAGGACGTTTTCGTCATTAACACCCATAAATTAGCTTTCGAACTCCTCGATAAACGTGCCAACACCTCAGATCTCGTAGTAGACTCTGAGGTGATACGTGGCAACCAGGCCTTCTTTATAAGTAGGTAAGAGAACGGAACCAGGATTTTTCTGATGGTATATAGGGGTGCACGGGCCACCCGTACTTACACGCCTTCCTTTCTAGACGCTTCGTGTCGGCTTGTCTTCTCACTCGACACTCTCTGTCCAACACAAGAACAATCGGCATCTGTTTTTGCCACCACGCTCTTCCACACATGCGTGCACAAGCCTGTTGACGCGGGATAGTCGCATTCTGGATACAAGTTTCTTGAAGTCATTCGACAGGTCATAGGCATGAATGTCGTCAGCATCATTTATGGCCCTGAATCTATTGTCCAAGGTGAAAATAGAGGCAGTGAACGTCTGACTGTCGGCTTGTCGAAACAAGACATGGAAAAGTACATACATGACGCAGACGAGGCGCATGCCCTTTTTGCTAAAGCACTTGTTTCAATTGCTTACATAGTAGACTAGATACCATGGTGTAAGTCTTCGAGTCCCTCCATTTTAAGCCTGTAGCATCTAACATAGATCAATATTAATCAAGTAAAATTCGTTCCCGAGTCTACGCCTTTCGTGTCATTCAAAAAAGAGGCTAGACAAGCTCGAGAAAATTTAGTCAAATTGACTATGTTTCCTTATTCCAAAGTCCGGGAAAGGATCGTAAGGAATCTTCCGTATAGCCCATCTGCATTTACTGGTATATCTTCTTTGGAGGTTATGGGTCTTCCACAGATCTCCTACGTGGATCACTGTTTCACGACTACTCCTGACCCCACCCCCGAAGACGAGGAATCTATAGCATGGACTGCTATGAGTGCCTACACTGGCGGATCTGATACGGTATGCACATTTTTTCCAACTTGGTGTCCAGACTACATTACCAACGAACGGCAAAAATAAACAAATAAACAGACTATCGCAGCCATCAAGACTGCCTTTCACGCAGCGTCTCTCCATCTAGAAGCTCAAGCGCTCGCTCAATCAGAACTAGACCAAATCGTGGGACAAGAGCGTATGCCAGAGATGAACGACCGTCCTAACTTGCCTTACGTGACGGCCTTTGTTAACGAATGTATGAGATTGATACCTGTTGTTCCCATCGGTAATAAATCATCTACCCAACTACCCAAACCATCATTCAGAGTTCCTATCAAGCTTGCCGTGAGATCCACAGCCATTCCTCGCAGGGCGATGGAAGACGAGACGATTGGCGAGTACTTTATTCCGAAGGGCGTTACTATCTTTCCAAACCTCAGATAAGGAAGATCAATATATCTGAGAGCGTAGTTTGTAACTTGTTTTGACCTTCTGGCATATTGTCATTAGTAACATGCTCCGCGATCCCGACATATATGAATCACCCTTATCCTTCGATCCCGCTCGTTTCCTTCCCGAAACAGGCACCCCAACCCATCCAGACATTAAAGGCCGGTCTGGGCTCGCCATTGGCTCTCTCTCATACGGATTCAGCAGGAGGATATGCCCTGATATGCATTTGGCGGATTCTGGCGTATGGCTCTATGTGTCTACACTTCTTTGGGCATTTCAAGTCTCGATGGTAGACGATGATGGTAGTATCGTCAAGGATAAAGCAGCAAAGTGGGAATCTGTACAGTTTTCTAGCGGGGCTATCCAGTGCGTACCTTTCCTTGACTATTTATAGTTGCTGAATATTGAGATGCCTTAGGTATCCTCTTCCGTTCAAGGTGAAGCTTGTATCGAGATCGAGTGCTGTGGAAAATCTGCTCAGGAATGCATGAGGTGATCTGGGGGACACGAGACACGGTTACACACGATGTGATCAATCTGCACTTCCCCCTCCCTCTCAAACGGACATTGTGATAAAACTACTATCATTCGCAGCATCGATTACAAGAGAAGCGTTAAATTCAGGTAGGGACATGCCAAGAGATTAACGTACTAAAGTCTTGCCATTTCCATAGCCCCCGCCTGTTTACGATGGTGGTCAGCAAGACAGACATGCTCACTTTTCATCAGTAGAAAATGCAAAGCAATTCACCAGTGCTAACAATGATACGTTGCCTCACCTGTCCGCCATCATAGCGATGCTAGCAGGCGCGCCCGCGAACATCCTGCACACGCATGAACTTGAAACCTTGAACGCCTAGCCTCGCGCTAGTTACAAGTTGTAACCGGAAGTCAAGGAGATCACCACTGCCCATGATGAGCATCGCACTTCTGGCTGAGAGCATCGATTGTGCCAGTACTACACCGACTAACTTCTGGCACGACTTCGACTCTTCCCTGTTAGTAATCAAGCCCGCGTCCCCCGACGCACTCGCGCTAGGACGCAAAAGACTTTACATCGTCGTCGCCGCCACCCTGTGAGCAAATTTTCCAACAACAGCAAGAGCGCCAACTCTCTAAAACCGAATAGTCTTGTGGCCTCAAGCTTCATGTGATATTTTAAATCAAAGGTTGTGTTTTCACAGTTATCCAGAGAGCATGCTTGGTGATGCAGCTCATTTTATGACGTAGTACAAGCATAGTATATAAATTATCTGCCAATGAACGCCCAGTATCAACTCCAAGTATTGCATAGTATGGGATATATGTCAGCTTCATCACTCAATCTTCCGTCGAGCTTTCAGATGGGAGTGGTTCGATGATTGTGACTTCAGATATTCGGAAGGTTGACCTCGTAAACGTAGGCAGAGTTTCATGATCGCGGGATCCATTGTCCTCGCTTTCTGAGAAATGCTTTGGCTCGTCATCTGCGACTGGGTTGGCTATCCGACGGCGACACTCTTGACATTCCTGTCGAAAGCGTAGTGAAGAAGATAAAGCTCCATTCCTGTGAGGTGCCTCAAAGATTGTTGTTGAGACTTGAAGCTGATCCGTGTCACGGCTCAACACCAGTCGAGCATTTAAAGTAGCCATCATGCAGTTAGCATATCTACAAATTCCATCAGTGTGAGCGCGGTGATAAAATAGACACCTTACAATTTAGAAAGTGAATAAAATCTGGAATATTAACAAAAAGTCAGCAAGAACTTGGTTGAAGAAATTGAAGACAGTCGTACATTAGAAAATGATAATAAGCGGATAGTTTTACGGCCATTATCAACTCTACCAATGTGGCTACACTGGTAACCATTCCAGTCTCGATGGTCAGTTTAATAAGCTTGGTGAGGAGCGATTTTGTCTTCTTGAATTCCGAAGCGGATTTGTTTCTAAAAAGCTAGAGATCATAGAACAACATCACAAGGAAAGAATATCAGGGATGTACTAACCAGTCTGGTTGTTTGCACGGTGATAATCACATCACACACAAGACTGCCGCCTAGCCACAACTAGTGTTGTGAAAATGTTCCTTGTCAGAATGGCGTATCATTAAGACACCTTGGCACATACATAGCTACCCCAGGCTGTTGGGGTTCCACCCAGAGAGTCTGTCGGAAGGCTGTATATCTGTAGAAAACATTGTCATCGACAGCCTTCACAAGAGGCACTTACTACACCTACGATGGCGCTGCCAATGGCCTCATATATTACCATTATGCATTGAAGTAACGATATCTAAAAACTTCATTATGCAAGAGATAAGGTAATTATTATGCATTGGCTCACCGTCATGACCACGCAGGGTACAATAAGCGACTTGCTAATGACCCAAAGTCTCCAGCAAAAAAAGCCGTGTACCATAGAAGATACTAGCCCCACTGTTCAGAAAACAGATTCAAGTAGTAGAGGAACGACATACTCAAACCTGTTAGAGCTGAAAGGCCCACAAAGGACCATACAGGCTCCACTGTTGGAGAATAGCCTCCACAAGAGAAAGGGTAAACCTGTAAATCCGCGAATGGATAGATGGAACATGAAACACATGAACGAGACAATCCATCGATAAATCCGACAAGAGTAAACGCGAAACTCAATGTTTCCAGAAGGAGGATCACACAGACTAGAGAACTCTATCAAAGGGTCCTACTTTGGAACATATTTGGGAGGCAGAACCTACCAAAGCATTTCATCGCCTTTGTATCACTGGGGAATCTTGTTTGATATATGACTGCAGCACGGAAATTTTATAAATAGCGATATAACGAAGGGATGGTGCCCTTACAACCCTGAACGACAAGGATTCCAAAAAAAAGAAAGCTGAACCCATAGCCGAGGCCCTGACACCAGCCCAGTTAGTTCCACCAGACTGGATGGGGGGTCTCAAATTACCCACAACAAACGTGTCCCTACATTGCATCCAGGAAGTACTTCAAACAAGCAAAATAAGCCAAGGAACGTACGGTGTCGGAGAAGACTGTGAGGTATCTCGAATATATACAGTGGTATAGGCTGAAGTGTAGAAATACCAAAGGTTAGATGGTTGGGATAGGTTATCAATTTCTGGTTCAATTGCACTAAAACTACAAAAAGTGAGCACGGTAACACGTTGTGTGTAAGGTAAGGGCATATACTTACTTATTGGTACAAAGCAATGCCACTCCTGAAACATCCATTGTAAGCTCAGGCGGCTTTGGGGGAGTAGCGATATAGCAAAGCACTTTTCAAATGTATTTGAATCACATTTTATACTACCTGAACCAACGGCAGTACATTAGACTCCGAGCCATTGATATGCTGTGCTTGTTGCTGGAATCAGAAGGACCCAACAGATAGTCGTAAGTTCAAGATGCGGCATGCTAGTGATCTAGTACACATAGCTTTGCGTAAAAAGGCATTGCCTCGTGCTGAAAAAAAGTGACTCAGCGCCTAGTGGGTAACCGAGGGGATTACAACGAAGATATTCGCTACTACCACCGGATTGAAGGCCAACGATAGCATCTGTGAACGAACCACGCAACATGCGTTCAAAAATATTGAGTCTTCCTTTGAATCTTGAATTAGAAGTGGAGACTAAAGTTACGGTACGGGACAGAAGGGTGCGGGAATTGCAACTACCGCCACCATCGCAAGGAGTTCGGACAGACCAAAAAAGAGTCTGATATTGATGAAACGGTCGGGCCAACAGATTATCATGATGACAGGAAGCCTAAGACCTGATGTTGATTCAATCATGCCAGCGTCAGTGAAGCCATGACAGGACACCGCCTAAGTTAAATTTACACTCCATAGCCACCGCTATCTAATCAACTCCCCATCGCAGTTACAGTCTGAGTGACTCCCTCAACACTCCTTTCAATTGTATGGCCCACGAGCTATCTTTCGCAACGAGCTCACGGTCGGAGACACAACCAACGCACCCGCTATATCATTCACACTCTGTAGACAATGGTTTGGTCAAAAAAGACCTTCTCCACATCCATGTAAGTATCCTGGTAGATAGTGGTTATATTGACCCACCCCCAACACATGTCTCCCAGCGCATCTTTCAAGGTCGCACAATGGACAAAACAGCACGGACCTCAGGCTGTCTTCTTGCTGCGTAGAGGTTGAGATGTTTACGTTGTCATAGGCCGTCATCAGGTGTGTTTTGTACCCTTGCGTCCTATTTACCATATCATGCTTAGGCTCAGGGACGACATGAAGTTTTCAATTACGGGTTTGGACAGAGGTGGGCTTTTTCTTGTCTTTTATTGATTTTCAGGACCCCTCGTGTCTTACGAAATTTCTAACGCGCGCATTTCCACTCGTGTCTTCTCCCGTCAACACGGGATGCCCAGGCCATGACTTCGCTATCCATCGCTCGCCACTGCACATTTCCTCTGGGCTTTCCATGTTTCCGAGGACTTGAAGGAGAAGAATGATACGATTGATACGATGAAGTTCACGGATAGTAATTTCCAGAGGTGGTGGACATCTCAACCACTATGTTCATCAAAGACGTGGCTTGAGAAGCTTTCCAATGCAACCTGATAGCGGAAGTAGTTGCAGGCATTTGACGAAGGTCGATGACAATATTCCTGATAGAGCGATAGCTGTTAAGGAATAGGGACTGAGCAACACGGTCAACTGTAATTTATGAGCTTACAAGTTGTTTTGGTTAGTGTACTACTGAGCACCGTAACCGTTGGGAATGTAGGGGTCCGCGTCTAAAACGACTCTGTAAGTGAATGACATATGGACGTGTGGGTGGAGGACTAACCGCCAAGAGTGAGAATCCTGAGTTGGCGAGGGGGGTTGGAGGATTTTTGGCGTCACCAGTCATCTGTGTGTAATAGTACACGTTGATCGCGGAATAGACGACATATATTCTACAAGCGGGAAGAATTTAGCAAAGATAAACCCAGGATGTAGAGGCCAGGGCTCATCCAGAGAGGAAGTAAACAATAGCCGGCCGCAGGATCGAAAATGCACCTCGTCCTTCCTTCAACAGGAATGGGGGAATTGCGATAAAATTAGGTGTGAGTTGTAAGATATTGGAAGGCTTTGTTGTGGTCCGCATTGCTCGCAAGATCAACGACAAGGGATGGATCAAGCAGATGATGAGTGTGTCCGGCGACTGGAGCAACTACTGAGAATGAGCTGCGCAGCAAAAGCAATGGGACACCTCACGTTCTTGACTGCGCGTTGACCTTGGCATGAAGATGGGTCCTGAAATAGACAAAAACCTCTGCAAAAGAGAGACAAATGAAGAACGATACAATTCGAGGAGTCCATCAAGCCCACTGGTCATCTTACATACACGGGTATCTGACACTCATTCAGTTAAAGAAAATAGCTAAATGAAGACCGATTCAGAAAAAAAATTTCGAAAAACCAAAATCCTTGCCATTTCATACATCAGTACAAATATCCACAGATCGCTTACATGCCCATTGTAATTCCTTCATCTGGACTTTCAACACCCTTTGCTTTTAACTGCTTGGGAATCTCCCCCACCAAAACCGCCAACTTGGAAAGAAGTGGATAACACCACTCCGGTGTATATATCAGTAAGAACTCATGTTCGGGGAGCGTTAATCGAGACCCAAGTTTTTGTGTTTATGCCTACGGAGTGGCCATCTCAGGAGCAGTTATCGTGCCAATGGTATGCAGGGAGGGGACAGTGGAGCGCGTGGGGGAGCGCACAGCGGAGGTCGTATGGGAGCCCGTGTGGGAGGGCGCAGGAGAGCGTACGGGGGTGCTCTTGGGGGAGCCCGTGTGGGAGGGCGCAGGGGAGTGTACGGGGGTGCTCGTGGGGTAGTCCGTGTGGGAGGGCACAGGGGGGCGCACAGCGGAGGTCGTATGGGAGCTCGTGTAGGAGTCCGTGTGGGAGGGCGCAGGGGAGTGTACGGGGGTGCTCGTGGGGTAGCCCGTGTGGGAGGGCGCAGGGGGGCGCACAGCGGAGGTCGTATGGGAGCCCGTGTGGGAGTCCGTGTGGGAGGGCGCAGGGGAGTGTACGGGGGTGCTCGTGGGGGAGCCCGTGGGGGAGATATTAGTAGTTTGTGGAACGTAGATTTGGTTAGAAGTACACAACACCTCACCAGGGTAGATATTGCTGCAAGCCGAATTCACGTTCGGGTTGTTAGCGAGAAGAGTGCTGAGGGGAATCCCAAAGTTCGCGGCGATAACTCCGCACGCGTCGCGAGACTGAACGACGTAGGTCGTCGTGCAATCTTGGCCGGTGATACCAAGGCAGATTTTCTTTGGGGATTGTGGTCAGATAAGCGAGGTTACAAGAAAATATAGAACAGGAGGGAGGATGAGCGAGCGGTGTGTGCCGCCAACATAATAAGCGGAGAACAACCCGTGGAGAAGAATATACAACTCACATCGCCAGCGTATAAGGTTGCACAGGCGGCATTGAAATGGTTTACATTCGCAAGTTGATAGCTACGTCATGCATGTGAGATCGGATGTTTGAATTTAAGTATGCATAGTATGCAGCATGTGGGTGAAGATAAACTCACGTAGACACGTTCTGAGCAGCTGAGATGGAGTCGCAAGTGTCACCAGGTTGGACAATGTATGAGCGGTCACAGTTGGTAGGCAACGCTTGAGTGGTGACTAACAGATAGGTGTCACGAAACCGATGAGTTTAAAATATATTCTCCGTGGCGTCGAAGTAAGGCATGTAAACTCACCGACAAAGGCAGCGACGAAGACCGTAACTCCTACAACATATTTTATGAATATGGACATGCTGAGCATAGAAACCAGATGGAGATCTGGGCCGGTTCTAGTGCGCAAGCCGAATAGTGAAAGTTGAGAGCCGGGGACTTCTCTATATAGGACATACCATGTCAGCCTTTTATACCGCCCTGTAAACACAGAAGGACTTTGTTGGGGTCTCCCAAAGTTGAATTATGACGTTGATGTCTCGGTGTCCGCCACGGAAAAGAAGTGAGGGGATAGACTTCATTTCGAACTTGGATCGGACATATTGGACAGTCCGGGAAGCATCCGCGTGGGTCTACGATCCTTATTCAGAAAGCACATGGTGAATTTGATGTTCCAGGGAAAAAATCACAAACGTCCGCGGTTATGAAACCCAGTCTCCACACATCAGAAGAGAAGGGGAAGATTGAGCAATTTAGAGCATGCGGAAACGTAGTCATAACATCGAGGGATTCAGGGTACTCACCGAAGAACCTTGATATTGAGACTAGACTGAACCGAGAAGAAATAATGGAAGCAACGAATCACGTTATGCCAGTGAGCGAAGTAGGTCCTGTGGGATACTACGTTCACGAAGCGAAGAACTTTCCGCTGAGCAATTGCAGGAAAAACTCATACCGACGGAAATGAATCCATAATCCTTCTCGAGTGTTAAGGATACAATTATAGACTGATTGATTGTTTTGAACACGTTCGAGTGAGGAACGTTCAAATGATCAGAAATTAACTATGTGTCTTCAAGCTTCAAGCTTCAAGCAGAGCTGATCAGCGAGAAGTGCTTCATCTTGACCCGGAATCAACAGGACATGGACGAATGAGTAGATCGAATATCCACTTAGTTAACCTTTACTGTTAGTGATACGAGGCCTCCAGATTCAGATTCTGTAATACTGATACGAGAGTTAAGTTAAGTAAGTAACTTGCTAAATTACAAGCAATGAGACACCATACCTTCTGGAGTAATGATACTTGGAGCTGAAGAAGTAAACTGAGGTTAATGAAGTTTTCGTTCCTTTCCCATCGAATCAAAACCCTTGCCATTTCATATATCAGTACAAAAAGTCACAAACTGTTTACCCACCCATTGTAACTCCCTTCATCTCGACTTTTAACACACTCTGCGTTTAACTACTTGAGAACCTCCCCCACCAAGTCCACCAACTTGGAAAGAAGTGAATAACACCGCACCAGTGTAGACATCACTAACAGCTTATGTTCGGAAAGTGTTGATAGAGTCCCCAACTTTTGTGTTTATGCCTACGGAGTGGCCATTGCAGGAGCAGTTGTCGTACCAGTGTAGAGCAGGGTGGAGACAATGGTGGTCACGGTGTAGGGCGTGGTGGAGATACTAGTAGTTTGAATCACATAAATCTGGCTAGAAGTACACAACACCTCGCCAGAGTAAATATTGGTGCAAGCCGAATTCACGTTCGGGTTGTTAGCGAGAAGAGTGCTGAGGGGAATCCCAAAGTTCGCGGCGATAACTCCGCACGCGTCGCCAGACTGAACGACGTAGGTCGTTGTGCAATCTTGGCCGGTGATACCAAGGCAGATTTGCTTTGGGGATCGTGGTCAGATAAGTGAGGTTTAAAAATATAAAATATAAGTATGTAACTCACATCGCCAGCATACAAGTTTGCACAAGCGGCATTGAGATTGTTTACAGTCGCAAGTTGATAGCTACGTCATGCATGTGAGACCGGATGTTATAATTTAAGTATGCATAGCAGCGTTGGTGAAGAGAAACTCACGTCGACACGTTCTGAGCAGCTGAGATGGAGTCGCAGGTGTCACCAGGTTGGACGATGTATGAACGGTCACAGTTGGAAGGCAACGCTTGAGTGGTTACTAACAGATGTGTGATACGAAACCGATGAGTTTAAAAGACAGTTGCTGTGGCATCGAAGCAAGACACGTAAACTCACCGACAAAGGCAGCGACGAAGACCGTAACTCCTACAACAAATTTCACGAAAATGGACACCATGCTGAGCGTAGAAAACAGATGGAGATCTGGTCCAGTTATAGTGCGCAAGTCGAATAATGAAAGTTGAGTTGAGAGCTGGAGAATTGTCTATCGAGGACATACCATGCCTGTCTTTTATACCGCCCCCTCAAGCAAATGAAAACGGGGTTTAGTAGGAAGATGGTGAACTGTAAACACAGGGGGACTTTGTTGGGGTCCCCAATGTTGAATCATGATGTTGATTTCTCGGCGTCCGTCGCGGAAAAGCAGTGAGGCAACAGACTTCATTTCGAACTTGGATCGGACATAATGGGCAAGCCGGGAAGCATCCGCGTGGGTCTACGATTCTTATTCCAACGTCGGCCTGAATTCCCCTTGTGAGGAGGCAGAGAGTATGTAGTGAATTTGATGCTCCAGGAAAACATCAGAAATGTCTGCAGTTATGACTCCTAGTCTCCGCGCATCAGAAGAGAAGGGTAAGATTGAGCAGTTTAAAGTAAGCGGAAACATAGTCAAAACATATGGCATCGAGAGGTTCAGAGTACCCACCGAAGAATCTTGATATTGAGACCAGACTGAGCCGAAAAGAGATAGTGGAAGCAACGAAACGGTTATGAACCGAATAGGAGCACGTTCACAGGCACAGCGAAGCAGGGAACTTTCCGCTGAGCAGTCGAAGGAAAAACTCATACCGACGGAAATGAATCCAAATTCCTTCTCGAGTGTTGAGACTACAATAATAGACTGACTGATTCTTTTGAACACGTTCGAGTGAGGAACGGTCCGAGAGCGACGCGACGGATCACATGATCAGATATTAACCATGTGTCTTCAAGCTGAAGTACTTCATCTTGAGCTGGAATCAACAGGACATGCGACGAATGAGAAAATCGAATATCCACTTAGTTCACCTTTGCTGTTAGTGATACGAGGCCTCCAGATTCAGATTCTGAAATATTGATACGAGAGTTACTGTAAGTAGCTTGCTAAATTACGAGCAAAGAGATCACCACACCTTCTGGACTAATAATACCTGGAGCTGAAGAAGTCAATGAAGCTTTTGTTCCTCCTCCATCGAATCCAACTGTCGTCTCACATACTGATCAACTTTGAGGGAGAGAAAAAAATCCAGAATCTTCGCCATTTCATATATCAGTACAGACATTTCAAAACATTACCCACTCATTCCACTTTATGGTTCTCTCCCTCTTCACTTCACACTCCCTCCGCAATCAACCGCTCAGGAGCTTCTACATACCCTCTCCACGTCTCCACAAACGCCGCCAACTCCGCGCCCTCCAGCACCCTATGATCCGCACTCCAGCTCACCCCCACCTTCAGCCTTCTCTCCCCCTTCCCCTCACCCCTCTCCACATCCCACACCCACTTCGCGCGCCCCACCGCCACGATCGCCACGCCCCCACCAGGGACAAGCACAGGCGCCGCAAACTCCCCAGCGCCCACCGCGCCCACGTTCGACACCGTGATCGTCCCGCCCCGCTTGGGCATCTCGGCAGGCGTGAGCGCGCAGGGCGTCTGACGTCCCGCGTGTGCGAGGTGCTTGAGGCGCGAGGCGAGCGCGTAGATGGAGTGTCCGTCAACGCAGGGGATGGTGGGGGTGTAGAGCCCCGTGGGCGTAGAGAGCGCGATGCTGATATCGGCCTGGGGGCGGATAGTGAGGGTGGGTTTGCGTCCGTCTGCAATGGAGTCTGGGGTAATGGACGAACGGAGGATGGGCCACTCAAGCATGGCTTTTGAGAGCGTCTTGAGGAGGATGGGGAGGTAGGTTAGTTTGGTGTATTGGCCGGATGGTGAAACGCTTGGAGGGGAAGGAGCAGGGAAGAGTGCTGAAGGGCTGATGGAGAGCGGCGGAAGAGGTGTGCTTGGGGGAGGAGCATAATGCGAAGGTATGTGTGCGTTCAGGATGGGTAACATGTTGTTTAGTGCTGTGATGTCCAGTGTTGTAGAGTATCTGTGATGAAAAGAAGGGGTAGCCAGTGATCTTATTATTCGGTAATATGACTGCAAGGCGCTGTAGACTCACCCAAAATGAGGTATTTCCAAGCTCTGAGAGGAGAAAATAGAGTAAGGGATGAGACAGAAGAAAAAGTACACATATACCTACCTTTACCATTGCCTTCCACATCCCATATCTCGTTCTCCCCAGTTCAACGACCACATCAGCGCCCATACTTGCGCCAGGAGCCTTCACGCTGAGACTACCATCGGCATCAACACCTGACGCTCCAGACAAATAGTTCTCTACATCTTTCTTCTCCACCCTCCCATCTCTCCCACTTCCAGGAGAAAGATTCGCCAAATCAACACCCATACGTTTAGCAAAGTGCCGCACGGAGGGTGTCGCGAGTACGTTCTCAGCATTCGTGAACACAGCGTCGGGTTTGTAATTAGGGTCTAGGGGATGCAAGCGTCGTGGTGTGGACTGCTCTTCTGTAGGTTTCTCAGTTGATGGCGGTGGCGGAGGTGGTGGGGCAGGAGGAGCAGGAGATTCTGAGGAAGGTGCTATTGGCTGTGGACTGTCCTCTCCCTCCCCATCCTCCTCGACTTCAATGGTACACAGCCCCTGCCCAACCTTTGCCACCTCACCCTCTTTCACAAGAAGCTCTTTCACGATTCCATCGAACGGACTGGTGATCTCCACACTGGCCTTGTCACTCTGCACCTCACACATCGGGTCAAAGGATTGGATAGCGCTATTTTCCTTCACGCTCCTGTAAACACATTTCGCATTTCTACTCAGTGAAACGAAGAAAAAAAGGCGACAAAAAGCGATAGCCAACACTACCACCAGAGGGCAGAGAGGACTTTGGATCCGGCCGGAACTCGCTACGTACCATTTGATGACCTCACATTCAGTGATACCCTCGCCAATGTCAGCAAGCTTGAACTGGCGTAGGACCTTTGAGGACCAGGATGGGGAAGTATGGAAGTGGGATATAACAAAGGGACGACCAAGAAGTCGTCTCAGTGGTCGGGTCAGCATAGTTCAAGGAAGGAAATAAAGGCTCGAATTACACAACTTCAAGTGTTCGATCATGATCCGTTTCGGTTGCGTCTTTCAACCTCCGCGGCGCTCACTCCATTCTACTTACCTTACTAGGGACTACTAGTAGAGGCAATGTAAATACAACACTTGAATATACTCCTACTTTTCTTGCTATCATTTCTCTGATTTACTTTACTTTCTTCATAGGTCTGAGGCGAGGTACATTTCTGTAGTATGATCCATACAACTACCCTCGGATCCGCAAGGACGATTCCCCCTCATTTCCAGTTGCTTCCCCCACTACCTGTTCTCTTCTTACGATGGGGCAATCCCAGCTCAATCTGCAGTTATTCCAAGTCTTCCGTGGATCATGCACTACACAGCTTGCAACTACACGCCTAGGAGCTTAAATACCGCAAAGTAGACCGCCTAAGACACATCAGCATCACTGACTGTGGTATACACCCATCGCCGTAAACACATCACAACGAACTAAACCAAGCACATACACAGTCTCAGTGAAGATAAAACGTACTAGATACTATCGCCTATGTTTCGGCTTCTTCCTTTGATTGGTTAATCTACAGGACGTGATACTGCTACAGCCATCCGTAATGAGTCAACGGTTCATAAGTAGTGGTTAGATGGCATCTGAGCTTACTTTTCACTCTCAAAGCCACCTTGTACCACCTGTTAGAGGCCTCTAACGTGTTTAGTACGATCACCGCCCCTATGAGCGCCTTAAGAACTCCCTTTCGCCTACTTATTCTTTTCACCAGCGCTCCAAATCAGCTCCCCCAGACAACCTGAGCTCGCCCTACCTTTATACCTGACCCCATAATACCATTCTTCTTATCGAACCAACGTCGTGTCCAGGGCAACTTAGTGATAGGTTGGACTCGACGGGGTCGGTGTCTAACCAGAAGAGCATTTTACAATCCCAGCGACGTCGACGTCAATGTTGGTCAAGCCAGGGTAGGTGTGAGTGGATGTGATCTATGATATGCCTCTGAACCCCAAAGAAGTCTAATGCAAATCCAGTTGCATCACAAAGACCTCAAGATACGTACACTCCCTATTGCGATCAGAGCTGGCTACACTCAAGCACTACGAACAAAAATTCAGCCATATGAAGCATCACATAAATCATTGACTACAAAACAGAAAGAACATACTACGAAATGGTTAATAAAGTCAAACCGTATCTGAAACTATGCGTGAAAGCATGAAATATGCATAATTACACAAGCCTTCCATGAATCCTCCTCCAACTCATAAAGTAGAATTAAGGAACTGCAGCAAGTTCTCCCTATTTGCGTCTCTTTCGTGATCAGCAGCGTCCTTGTGGACTTTCAATTTGATCTATTGACAACATTCGGGAGCCAAACCAGAAAGAAGAATAAAAACAAGCAGAAGGGGTTAGGTCGGATTTCTCCAGATGTATGAATGAATAAACCAAGACCACTCGCCTTCTTGCCTGTGAGGACACTGCGTCGTTCTCCTCTCTCACGATCCCTGTCCTTGTCCCTCTTCTTCTCCTTTCGTTTCTTATGTTTCTTGTCCCGTTCTCTGTCCTTGTCCTTATGTTTCGACCTCCGCCTCGACCTATCCCTGCTGCGTGAACGAGATCTCACGCCTGGAGACACTGATTTCGACCGTGACCGTCGACTTCGCTTGATCACCTTCCTATCCTTCTCATCCTCAGAATCGGATTCTGAATCAGATGATCCTTGAGAACTGAGAGGAGACTCGGACCGACGACGCTTTGCACGAGTCTGTCAACACCAGTGTCGCATGGCTTGGGAGGTCAGAATCGTTTACTGGAAACGAGGACGAAACGAAACGAAAGGGGGGCCAGGCAAGGGAAGAGACGTACCAGACTTCGACTTCTCCCACGTTCCCTCTTGTCTTCTCTCCCCTCTCTCTCGTGGGGTCTACGATCCCCAGAACGAGAGTGAGAGTGGCGATCGTGATAGTAAGAAGCGACATCATCGTCATCGTCGCGACTATCTCGTCCCCTTCTGTCACTGCGCGATCTCTGCCCGTCTGGGACGTCAGGATCCTTATACCTGTCGCTGGACTTGTAGTTGTAGTGCTTTTCCTTGTCGATAGACTCGTGGTCTTTTCGGTGGGAGTGATGTCGGTGTCTGTGACCGTCGAGGTCTCCGTTGCTGCGGTGTTCGCGCCTTTCACTCCTGCTTCCTCTCCTCTCAGCATGAGGTGACCTCGACCTCGACCCATTTCTTCCCCTGCCACGACCTAATTTTACGGTAAGCATGCCAGTGTGCCACGTAACCCGGTTGACCACAGTAAACGAACAACATCATATTGAATGACGATAGAAGCCGTGACGATAAAGAAGTGTGTAAATATAGCGCCAAGAAGCGGTAGCCATACACAGGGACCAGGAAAATCAAGCGCGCGCCAAGAAGCAGAAACGATCATACACAGCGGTGTGAATGGAGTTGTATATAAAAACTAATCTTTCAGCAAGGGGAGCACGGAGGAGGTGAAAGATAGCCTCACCGTTGTCTCTGTCGTGTCCACCGGTACTCGTGGCTTTTGGGTGGGGTTCTGGGGTGTGGCCCATCGTGAGTGGTTTATGTCGTTTCGAGGGGTGGGGTTGGACTAGGTGGATCTCGTTTATGTGATGGGGTATTTGTTGCTTTGAGTATCCTTGCAATACACGTTGACTAAGTGAAATAGCGCTGAGGAAACCGCAGCCCTTTTTCAAGGTTGTTGTGCTATATCGTTGTTACTTGTTTGACGACAGCTTTGGAAAAAAACAAACAACCAAACAAACTCTGTCTCACGTGCCCAATCACCCCTGTCTTCCGCCACCAACAACTTCGGTCCTCGGTCACCACTGTATTTAAGATAAATTTTTCGTATCTTGCAAGTCCTTCAGGCGAGAAAGAGTATATTTAATGTATTAGATGTGTTCAGAATGTACATACATATCGTGACCTCATATGATGTCAAGACAGTGATAGTGTAATGAAACTCAATTTCATTTGGTAGCGCCGCCAATGGTTATCCTCGCGAGGGAGTGTGCTGAACTACTTGCCATCATAGTCCATATTTTCAGTATATAACCGTAATCCTGCTTTCACGACCAGTCGCTGAGCAGACGTTGTACTGGCGTGTTATGAAGTAGGCATGGGCACGGCGGGTACACCTCTGATCACGAAACTGACTCGACGCGTCCAGTGGGCCAAGCCATTGAAGAAACCACTTGTCTCATCGTCTTCCTTGTCAATCACTCGGGATCGTAGTTTCCAAGTACCGAGCTCCTTCCGAAGTCCCTCGAAGCGAGCGACCACTTCGTCCATCGAAGGTCGTTTGGCTGGATCGTCTTGCACCATGTCCGTCACGAGCGGTATCATGAATTCAAATCCTATTTTTCCCTTGAACACCAATAACCGTCAGCAGAAGTTCACGAACACCTCAGTCTATATAGCTTCAACTTACCTCTATAAAATCTTCTCGAATAACATTTCCAAGGTAGTATACATCGGTATAATATGGATTTTGAGGATCAACCGACGTTTGGAATTCTGGTACTGTTTTATCGCCTCCCCATATGGGGTCTTCCATGTGCGCTTCATCGCCAGGATCATAACGACGAGATATACCAAAATCAATAAAGAAGTACTTGGGTGGACTTTGAGTGCGCGTACGATATCTTGCATAACCCTTGAAATCACGCCTCACGAAGGGCTTATAAGGATGGAACGCATCGATGCAGAGAGGTTTCGGATCCACCATGATATTCAGGGTCATACAATCTCTGCGCGTGAAATCAATGGTCAATGGAAATGTTCTTTTTTAAAAAAAATAATAATAAAAAATAATAAAAAGAAAAATAATGCTCTTGACTTACCGATGGGCCACATGATGTTTATGTATAAATTGCAGACCCTGATCAAACAATAAGATCGAGTGGATGGGAGGGCATGAGACGTCGGTACCTCAAATAGCTGTCTAAAGCATTCCACAGCTTCGCCAAACGTATCAAATGGCGGATCGTTGTACATTCGTAGCAGAGGCATGACCATAACCACCTTATCCTGATCTTCTGGCACTTGAAGAACATCATATACGGGGATGCAGTGATTGTTTGGGTGGCTGGAGATGGATTCGGACGAACAATATCGTGCTATGTCAACCTCAAAAGGATGACGCGACTTCACTATGACTTTCAACGTCACGAAAGAGCCATCATCTATCCTAGTGGCGTCCAAAATGTGGTTGTACTACGCCATTAATCCAGCTAAGGACTTGAAATGGAACATTAAGAGCACGAGGCAACTTATCCAAGGAATTTGAGCATCCTCACAACGATACCATAACTTTTTCTTGGACGTTTTCCAGGATGGCACCCACCCAGGGGCATATCGAGGACGAAGTAAATATCCCAGGTCCTTGAACCACTGGAAATGGTTATGCCACCAGAGCTCGCCATCGCTAAGCACTTCAGAACTGGCTCCTGGTGATTTCTTTGTGGCACGAACGTCCACTCCCGTAGCCTCTGCGGCATCCCCTGTCTCGGTATTGTTTGCATCTTTCGAACCAGTCGGGCGTTTCGAATGATCCACTACCATAGATACAACGTTGGGCCGAAGGAACGATGTTGCACTTCACAGTGAACGTCGATAATAAAAGCGACAGGCAGTATCGTTCGAAGGAAAGAACAACAATGGCGGTAAATACGATCACACACAGCTAAATAAGGACCCATAGTGGGAAAACATGTACTCCCTGGGCCATAACTATGAATCTATCCGCGACAATGTTCCCCCCTCGAGATCACTGATCTAACATCTACTATACAGTACACTACTAAGAACGCAGATCTATGACCCACTGATTTCCGCAAGAAAGAATTCAGAACTTGCAATAAAAATACTTGTTAATATCGATACTCATACAGGCAAATGATGCACAAGATATAAAATCGGGCATGCCAACCACAGTTGAATCCTATCCAAAATATCAGCTAAGCTGATGTTGTCGAATGTGGCATGAAAACATGCTCATGATTGCTGGATGTCTCTTGGTGGCGATTGGGCTCTACACTGGATAACTAGAGGGATACGATATCATAGTGTCATTCATTGTTATCGCGTTGCACCTACCTGATCCGCTATTGGAAGTACCACCCAGGTTGAATGTACAGTTATGAAGAACGCCCCGAAGGTCGATATACACATCTCTCATCTCAGACGCACTATCGGAGCTGTCAGGTTCGAGACTATGTACTACGCCTGACTCCTGAGGTTCAAGAGAAGACTGCTGTGTTTCGTCGGATCTCAGGGCAGGTGCTTCATTTTGAAGGAAGTCGATTGCACTGGGGCCAACCTGGGAGCCTTCCACATCCTCTGATATTATTCTCAAACGTCTTGGACTTCCAGCAGATGAATGATTATGTAGACAACGGCTTGCATTTTCTATCAGTGTCGCAGTTCCTGGATCTGGGGGTTCTGACAATTGTAGTGCAATCCCTGAAACCCTTTGTTCTGTAGGTAGAGTGTACCCTGGTCGTTGATAATTCATAGTCAGTAAACACATACACTGTGGGACCCAAGTAAACGATACCTCTTCTTGCCAAATTTTGGCATGATAACCTCCTTCTCCTCAGCTCTTCAGATGTTCTCTGAAGACGAATGGGACCTATGGTTGGTTAGCTAACATAGTAGAAAAAACAGAATCGGAAATGCTGACTTTCATCTGTTTATAAAGTACTTGACTGGACTTTTTAAAATCGCGAATATCGCGCTGTTTAGCAAGCCATTTTAATGGGTTTCTAGTCCCACCTCTACTTCCGATCTCTTCTCTCAGACCGTTCAACCTGAACATTGTTTAACGATCAAACAAAAGACTGGTTCAACTGACAATACGCAGTGATCATAACGTGCTTTCCCTCCTGACAGGTATTTTTTCACGTCTAAACCATGAAATCTGCACTGATCTTCAATAAATTCGACAACCAGTGCCCTCCCTGCTCGAAAGCGGTATGAGAGCCCTCCGCTTGGTAACATAAAAACTGAGCTGGTATGTTGGTGACACTGGCATGGATGCAGGGAGCCGAAAGAGAGTTGAAGAGGCTAAACGATCCTTATCGTATATGAGTTTACAACACGCAAGGCTTGAGAAAACAAGCTGTCATCATTGGCATAGGAGCCAGACTCTTGAGCTGAACGGAGAATGGATAAGTAAGAGGTAATTGTAGTCTCCTTTTCTGACCAATTCAATAGATCGATGACAGCCACGGTTGTCAATAAGAAGTTAAGTAATTGTTACTTTGTCACAGAAATGGTTTACCTGAAGTATACAGGTACGTAGCTCCAGATTTGTGCACCAGATGAGCCTAAAATGAGTTGTGTGACAATTGTATGTGTGATGTTTGCCCAATGGTTTTCGTTCAACATTCTGTAGTCTGTAGTGATATTCTGTATACCTCGGATAACAGACACATGACAGGAATAGACTCGTACAGACTCAACAAAGGTATACAGCAGGTGTGCCTGGCGCACTGTGGCGCTGACATAATAATACAAACAAGTAACAAACAACAATGTGTAATACATTTACACCGCACCATATCAGCTAAGGAAAATAATGAGAGCCACACTCCATGATGTGAAAATTGAACCATAAGATCTGAAGAAATATAGTGCCAGAATTAAAATACCAGGTGAAATACTGGTGTCACCCTATATTATATGATACTATTGCCCTCCGGGGCAGACCTGGATCCGACTGTCACCTCACATGCCTTTTAGAACTGTTTCAAGCAATTTATATGTGGCACATTGCAGTATTACGTGAAAGTGTACAGTCGCACTGGGAGGTCCACTGAAAAATGACAAAACTGGATAAACCCGGTCTCTGCCGAAGCAGCCATTGTTCTCCATGGAGCATAGCCACCACTCCATGGAGTAACCATTGTACTCCTAGGAGTCATTATACTGTAGCGAGTAGCACCTCTGACTATAAGTAGTAGGGGGTTTAGTATAGGAATACCTCAGTCGTTTCTATAGCCTCTCGGGCAGCGGCTGAGGTATGTTACATTACATTTATTAGAGATCACCTTAAACTAACATCTATTGTAGTTTCACTTAGTTTTATTAAAAGATGCAGCATCAATGTCAAAATGGAAACCTGGAACCTATGGGTCCAGGAATACATTGTATGAACCATATCATAGATAACCATAGATTGGTATGGTACTGGTGCACCATCCCAGGAAAATAGAATATCAGTGGTTAAATAGCATATAAAGAACTACCATTATAAGGGTGGAGGGATGGTTCAGAAATGTCTATCTCAGAATTTGTCATAACTGCACCATCAAATGACCCATGTGATATGGTGAAAGAAACATATATAAACTGGGATGGTGTGGCGGAACCATTAGGAGGGTGTAGAGATGGTACAGGGGTGTTGTCTCTGAGGATATGTCATAACTGCACCATCACTTGACCCAGGCAATATGGCGAAAAAATATACATGTATACACACTGGGATGGAAGTATAAAAACAAATGAAAATTCTATAGAAGTGAAAACCACCCTCAGTCTACACCTAGCATTTTCCTTATCTTAAGATGATTCCAAATTGATATAAAGACTTTTGTGTAGAGTATTGCTTGGTCTTGTGACATGTAACTGACTGACTTGCAAATTTGTTTGAGTGCACTATTACCACATTCAGCTGAACTTGAATTGAATTTTGCAAGATGTGGATCGGCTTGAGCATACATGGTAAGAAATGCCGCAGGGGAGCATTTTGTGTGTCCTTTTCCATAGAAGCCATCCACAACGGACAATGTATCTGCAAAATAATTGGATTCCCTAGTCATGCAATAAGGGCCCAAAGCACAAGCAAAATTGTATACAACAACTTTGGGCTATCTGATTATGATGGCAGAAAATATATCGTTTTGGCCTTCACTGTGTGGGATGCGATGGAATCCATAGCAAATGCTATGGGTACACCACATGCACATAATACCACCTATTCAATAATTTTTGCCATACTGTGAGTAATATTTTGAACACTTTCCCCCCGCTGTCAATGATGAAGACTGCCTGCTAGAAAACCACACACAAAACTAACAAACAAACAATCCTCCCAGATTCCACAGAACTTGTTTATGGGCTATGCCTCCTAGAATGGTGGGTGCTTTGGTTGTTTGTGGGGTGGTGAGTGTTATGATCCTTCAAAGCAAAACCCAGAGATGTGCGGGTTTGGAGGAGGGATAGTTGGGAGTTCAAAGATAGGGGCTTTGTACTGGAACAATAAAGATAATGATATTCCCAGTAATAGCGGGCTCCTGATGCACAAACGGTAGTGCTCAGAAGGACTCTAATTGAAAGGGATGATAGTGACTTCAACCATGGAGAGTGACAATGACAGCAGTTAACACCAGTAGCAGTGGAAAGTGTTGTGACCACACTGGATCACAAGTAGCAGTAGATGGTGGACTTGAATGTCCTGCTGAGAAAAAGGAACTGGAGCCGCCAGTTCACCACCTAGTCAAAATCCAACAGTTCCATGGCCTTATCAATGGTCTGGTTGTAATGGACCACCTGGTCAAACAAGGGAGGGAGGGGAGTAGTTCCAATCTGGAACATAATAAATCTAAGTGAAACTCAGCCACTGCCCAAGAGGCTATAAAAACAACTGAGGTATTTTCCTATACTAAACCCCCAACTACTTATAGTCGGAGGTGCTACTCGCTAAAGTATAATGACTAGGAGAACAATGGTGACTCCATGGAGAACAATTGCCACTTTAGCAGAGACCAGGTTTATCTGGTTTTGTCAGAACAGATGTGTCCCAGGCAGTGTGTAATAACTGTAGCTGTATCAAAAATGATGGACAAAGGATAAGTGTACCCAAGCAAATGGGACAGCAATGTACATGGGCGACACAAGAGGATAGACCTTTTCCAACTCAAAAACTACCCACCTGCATTCCAGCCAAGCGAGATGAGCAACTGATGATTTGATAGTGTATGATGGCAGATTGATGTCATGAAGGTGTACAGCCACAATCTCGTGGCTTTGCGGGTAGCCACAGGTAATTGTGATCCCATATTGCTCTTTGCCATCTGATGTGGCTGTTTTTTTGACTCTGTAGTAGATATAAGGCCCTGATGTGACACATTGAAATTTTTTTTGAAATTTTTTTTAGCTGAGTCAATCAACAGTCTCGACTCCATTTATACCACCATGAGTAGTAGGTCTCGTTTTTCACACTGCTATGTATCTAACATCCCAAGTTTCAGGTTGTACTTTTAGTCCAGATTCTCCAGCAAAGCATACTTGCTCAAGGGATGTTCTCAGTTTTGAAACACCCCAGATTTCCTCACCTGCTATTCTCATATCACCTATCAAGAAGTATAAGAAGAGGGGTGATTTATCTGACATTGAGGTCTGGGATTGGTCCGATGAGGACATTATTAGTAAAATTCTGTAAAATTTACTGTTGCATCTTAACAAATGCTTTGTTAAATACAGAAGAAGCAGAAGCCAAGTGGAAGTCACCAGTTTACAACTATTATGTCACTTCATTGAAGTGCTGCTATTCAAAGGATAAGAAGCCTTTATATCTAGAATTTCACTTCACATGAAAGTCTGATCCCAAAATACACAGAGCACAGACTCGCAAACAAATGCATACTGCACATGGGACAACAAATTTAACTCGTAAAAAAGAGGAGTGCTTGGCGAGAAGGGGTATTATAATGGGTCCAACACTAATGCAGGTGCTCAGCAAACACTGCATAGCACAATATCAAGGTGTATACCTGCAGCTTACTGTGCTATCATTGCTATGTGGTGTGCTGTATCTAGACGGCCATTCAACTCTGTTATGGACCCACATTATTTAGCTGAGGTTGAACTCCTTCGGCCAGGCACTATTTTGCCCTCTCCATGTATTGTCTCTCATGACATTCAAGCCATCTATGCTATTATCTCTAGCAAGATCAAGTGTGAGGCAACGATAAACTATAATAAAAACAAAACCTGTCTCCTACTGCACTTGCAGGGAGTAATGGGTTCAATGAGCTTGAGGTCGACAGACGCCAGTAAATATAGCAAGTAGAGGACTTGGGGGATAAACTCAAAGGTTTCGATTGAGGAGTGAAGCGGGTAAATTCAGTAATAGAAAACTAAGGAACTATACATGAATAGGTAAGGCTTTATATAGCTAACTGTCCGTCCCTCAGACCGAAAAGAGAGTAAACGAAAAGTGGTCTGAGGAATAAATTGTCCAATAAGAAAAAGAGAACAACTATTGTACGACTTTAACTTGATTAATCAGCGGGTGAGAGAATTGTACTAATAATAGATGTTTGTCACGCGTGTTCAGGAACCGTATCCTCATGATGAGGTACAATCCTGATCAAAGTGTTTATTAGTATATCCAGGCCTTAATGGGGCTTGGAGCTGGTTGGCGAGATGCCTACTACCAGTCCCTACCCATTGGGCTGGCTGGCTGGGAGTGATACCCAGTCTCTGATCTGTGATATAAAGTGGTAACGGTGGTTAAGAAAGCCTGTGAGGGCTATGAGAAGTAAGATGGCAAATGATACCTCTAGCCCTAGAGCCACAGGTGTAATGGGAAAGGTGTTCGAGAACCAAGACATAGAGAAGATAAGAAAATAATAAAATGGTCCTTACATCAAGGAGTATTTTAAGGCAAACTCATATATCATTTGTTACCAATTTGAAGGCTAAGTATGTGTTAGGATTATGTTGGCTCAATCCATCTAGTCATTGACAGATGGACAGCTCCCTTTGTATACAGTTATTTGGGTATAGTAGTAGTTTGGTATGCGGAAGGAGTGGTTTGGCAGGTCATCTTAGAGTTCATCCAATAAAATTGATTTGTGGTTTTGTAGCACATTTTCATGATTTTCTTGTAGGCTATCCCAATGGCACACAGGTTTATACTTAGCTGAAGTAACAGCTGACTGTCTCTGCTGATTTGGAGCTGAGAAGAAGGTGAGCATGTTAAGATATCAGATTGTATACAGTCTAATGCAACTCGCCCCTTCAGTTTTCATACAATAGCTCTTGGTCTTTTTCCAAAAGTCTGAGTTGTTTCTACAGTTACCTCTGTTGGTTTATGAGTGCAAAATATACTAATAGATATTCCTTTAGGTGGCAGGTTTGACACAAAAGCTACATGATAGTCAAAGAGATCTAATATAAACCAAATGCTCAGACTTCGTGGGTGAAGCTCTGAGGTGGGCAATCGTTGCTACGAAGGTTTTTAAACTCGAACGGAAGTATAACTAAGGGGGTAAATTGCCCCATCAAAACGCACGGGCCATCCTACCACTACACTTTCCTAGTATGGTGTCCTGCGCCATACTTTCCCTTCGTACGACGCTTGTCTTTGTCGACTCGCATTTTCTAACAGATAGCCCTACACTTCAGGAAAAGTTTGAAAGACTAGTCACAGTGGAATGTGGAGCTAACAATCAAAAAAGGTGCCTTAGTTGGCAGGTTGCCACCCGTTGGAATTCTGATTTTGCCTGCCTTGCTGATCATATGGAATTTCAGACTGAAGTGATCCTAGATTACGCACTCAGTGAAGCTCAATGGAAATTGGCAGTTGAGTTGCAGGATGTTCTTGTGGTAAGCCATACAACTATGTACACCGCGACATTGCGAAATCACACCAAAAAATTATGTTTAGATTTTTCAGCGAGTTACACTCCTGTTTTCAAAAGCTGATGTTCCACTTGCTCATGAAGTTGTTCCCATGCTTGAAGACCTAGAGCATGAACTGGAGGCCGTACGGGATGATGTGTCCATGCAAAATATCATCCGCACTGCAGCTCAAGCAGGGTTATTGATGGTCGGAAAATATGATGCATTATCAGATGATAATGCGGTTTACCGCATTGCTATTGGTACATTGGTTTGGTAGCAATAATGACTGGCGGAGTGAAGATTGTGATGTAGCCAGAGCCCTTTGTTGGAGGAATAAGGGAGATACAAGCCTGGTACGGTGTCGTACAAAGGCAAGAAGTTGCACAAGGGCCAAATTGGGAAAGTCCAGTAATTGAGGTGGCCCATGCACCTAATATACCGCATCAGAAAACTTTTGGTTCTGTCTTCACTTATATATGCTGCCATTGTCAGGCAGACACCTCAGACCTTCTCTCAAAGTCTGAGGTGAGATACATTTATTCTAGAACTTATGAGTACTTAGCTTATGTCTCTTTTCAGTTTATTACTTGCTAGGTACATTCCTTTGAATATTACAGACCTTCTCTCAAAGTCTGAGTTTATTACTTGCTAGATAATTAACACCCTTGTGCAGAAACGATGCCGAGAATCCTATGCAACCACCCCAACAAGACCAAGCCAGGACACGGCCACTGAACTGTCACAGCCTGGAGTGAAGGTTAGCAAAAAAAAAAAAAAAAAAAGGTCCAGCAATCAAAATGGGCAATCTCTCACAAGCCTACAATTAATTTGCTGCAATTCGCCGGACTCTATTGGATATTACCTTGAAACGCCACCTATCTCTGAAACTGAGCTGGTTGCTGGTGGTGGTGTCTTTCAGTATTGGACAAACACTCGTAGTACAACCCCACACTTGGCACAGATGGCTCTTGACTTTCTATCAGCACCAGGATGAGATTACCTGCTTTTGTATTCTTTTGCTGACAATGAATCTGTCAAAGCCTCTTCGGTCGATGTTGAGAGCATTCTCAGGCGGCCATTTACAGATGAATCACTTACAGCACAATATGAGCTCTCAAGCATTCAAAGCTCAAATGGCCGTCGGATCATGGTCAAAGACACCTCTTATGCCAGATCTTGCCATTCCAACAGAAATAATTTGTAGCCAAATGAACTCGACCAAAAAGAAAGAAAAAGAGGAAACGAAAGAGGTCGAGACACAAATATTATTACTGTTGATTCAGACTTGGAGTAGCACCATAATACATACACCTCTGATTTACTGCATACCCATACCGACCCACAGATAAGCCGTTGACCTGGAAGCATACGTGTGCATCTGTGCGTGGATCAGGTGCAACTATGATAGTGCCTTTACCTGCAGATACTACTACGCATAACTCGATGCAGTTTTGGCATTGGGCACATGGAGAGGAACACTGTGTTGTGAGTCGCGTGGAGAGTCGAGGAAGGGGACGTGACGTGACGATCGATAGGCGTGTGACGGGGTCTGGGCAACCAATCATCGGAGGAACGTTGAGTGCAGCACATGCTGTGTGGCTGTGCACGCCCCTAGCCATGTCTGGTCTGTCTTTTATCTGACGAGTGCCATCTTGTCCTCGTCCCACCATGCGTACGTCCAAATCCTCATCCCCTCGACGCTCACTTCCCTTTCCCCCCAGGTCTCATCATCCGCGACGACCCCGAGAACGTAGGCACCTACATTGCAAACTACATCGCAAAACGGTATGTTCTCTCCTCGCCCACTCGATTGCTGCTCACTCGCTCCAGGATCATCGAGTTCGAGCCTACACCCAACAAACCCTTCGTCCTCGGTCTCCCCACAGGCTCGTCCCCCATCCCCACCTACAAGGCCCTCATCCAGCTCGTCAAGGATGAGAAGCTATCGTTCGTCCCTCTCTCCCTCTGGCACTGCCATTAACCCTCACACATCCCAGATTCAAAAACGTCGTCACCTTCAACATGGACGAGTACGTAGGTCTCCCCCGCGACCACTCCGAGTCCTACCACACCTTCATGTTCAGAGAGTTCTTCTCACATAGTCAGTCACTACCCCTCTCCCTTCTCACTCACTCACCTCCCACAGTCGACATCCCCCCCGCTCAAGTCAACATCCTCAACGGCAACGCCCCCGATCTCATCGGCGAATGTAACGCCTACGAAGAGAAGATCAAGCAGTACGGCGGTATCGAGCTCTTCTTGGGCGGTATCGGCGAGGACGGCCATATTGCGTTTAACGAGCCTGGTAACCCTCCTCCCGTCACTCCCACCCCCACCTGCTAACACCCTCTTAGGCTCCTCCCTCGCCTCCCGCACACGCATCAAAACCCTCGCCTACGACACCATCCTCGCCAACGCCCGCTTCTTCAACAACGACGTCTCCGCAGTCCCGCGTATGGCCCTCACCGTCGGCGTCGCCACCGTGCTCGAGAGCAAGGAGGTCGTCGTCGTCGTCACCGGCCAGAGGAAGAGTTTGGCGTTGAGCAAGGCTATCGGTGAGTCTCCGTCTCAGTCTCGCTGTGGGACGAGTGGCGTTGTTGGACGATGCGATGCTGACTGACTATACCTCCACCCTCCATCCGTACCCCGGATCATAGAGGACGGCGTGAACCACCTCGTAAGTCTCTCTTCTACACCTTCTGATTTCGCTGTCTCACCATCGCGCCTCCCTTCGATCTCGTTCATCTTCTCTCTCGATCTGTACTTGCATCTGTGATCTGTCCATGATACTCGCTCTTCTCGCCTCGTGTTCGATCACACCATCATATGATGGAACGCGATCTTCTCATCATCTCATCGCACATACCGCTTTTCGACACGCTTCGAACTTCGCATCTCACCATCCCGTCTCACCTACCTCGATCTCTTGATCGGATCGTCGAATCGTATAACATCAACTGCCCACCCTCGACCGACCGATCGCACTGCTCGCCATGTCGCCCCGTCATTTCTGGAATGCGTCGTGTTCTTCTTGCGTTCCTGCGTGACTTTGTGATCTTGCGTTCTTTATCTCGCATCTCGCATCTCCGAATCTGATGTCTTACTTTCTTACTTTCTCCACCATCCCACCCCGCCCCGCCCCATCCACCCTCACGGCTTCACGGCTCACTGCATGATGACATTTGTGTCTTTGTGTCTTTCTTTCTCACTTTCCCTTTTGCTTATTGTTTTTGCTTATGACCTTTTCCCCCCGCCTTCCCCTTGACATCCCTACTTTACCCCCCCCCCCACTCCTACCGAACCGCTCAACCGCACTCGCTCGCACCGACGCTCACGCCGCCAGTGGACACTCTCCCCCCTCCAACTCCACCCGTGGGCGCTGATCGTGGTGGATGAGGATGCTACGGCAGGTACGCGTTCGTCCTTTTCCTTTCGATTCCCTTCTTTCTTTCTTTCGATCTTTTCCTTCTTTCGTTCGATCCCTCGCGTCTTCGAACGGGCCCGCTTACTGACTCGACTCGTGGCTCGGACGAACCCGCGGGGCAGACGAAGGGGAACGACCTCCCCCCCCCCCCTCCCCCCCCCCCCCTTTTTTTTTTTTTTGCATCTTATCGCCATCTCTTTCTAGATTGTGCGCACTAGCAGCCGATCTTGTAAGATGTGGATATATGGAGCCGATTTAAACGAAATGGGAATATGGAGTTTGGAATTTGGGAATTTTGCTTTGTGGCGTTTTGAGAGGATTCGGTTGTTTGGCTTTTCTGAGGGAGTTGGGGGGGGGGGGG